TATCAAATAATTTCCTCTTGTTCCGTTCACGTTGGCCATATTTTTTGGACAATCGACCACGAAGCACTTGGCTATAACAAAGCGTAAAACAGCAAAAATCATATTTTGATAAGGGCGTGCCTAAGCCCTAAGTATAGTCTAGAGATAACTCACGACCGAAACTCGTGAAACGATAAAACCAACACTTGAAAGTGCGAACACGCGAATTTCAAATAAAATTTTACTAGCTAGGAACTACAAAAAATAATTATGTCAAACAATGACTTCAGACCGCCACTTGTACGTCTAACAGGCTGTTAACACGCCAGTGTTGGTCTTGTGTGTAATTATATTTATTCAATGACCTAACCGGCGAAGGGTAAAATTCATATAACAAACTCGTATTAGGACAATATACAGGGTGATCAATTTAACGTAAGACAATCATTTTCTAGGAATGTAATAACAATTTTCATAGGTCATCTTTTTGAAACCAAAGACACTGTAGTACAAAAAATAGATATTATTATGTAAATTCGATATTTGTAAACGTACGTTTTCAAAAGGATAAAAATATGTTAATCGTTTCCATTCAACAAGCAGAGAAAGTAACCACAAAACGATTTTTTTTTTTTTACCCGATTTCAGGGCAATATGTTCTTATCTTAGAACGCGGTCAGAGCAAATCGTTGGCATATTGAAATCTTACACAAACGGAAATTTCAAATCAAATATTATAAAGCTTTACAGCGAGATACTTGCCCAAAAAAAAAAAAAAAAATGAAGTTTATTGCGATGCTCGTGACGTCGTACGCGATTCTCGGATAAGCACCGCACCGATTTAGTGTAAAAATAATACAACAATATCAGTCGATCTAGGCTACCCCCCGGAGTGTAGTCTAGCTGTGCACAAACCATTTGAATTGTCACAATAGAGCCTCGAGGAATAAGGTAAAAATGTAAATTCTCAACGCTTATAAGTTATAACTAAACTTTATTCAAATGTCTCGGACGGTATCTTTTGGGAACAAAGCCAAAAAACGACTTATAACAACGGCAGCCTTTAAACGGTGGTGCACATTCAATGTCAATTCCCGGCACAAAAGAATGGCGTTAAATTATTAAAGTGATTATCGTTTAATTGACACGTCTAGACGAATAATAAAGGACCAAAAAAGAAAAAAGATAAAATGTGAATCTCGAGAAACAAAAACATTTGTTTGATGTTATTGTTACGCTTTTGAGTGGACGACAACTTTTGAAATCACTCTCAGAGTTGCATTCAGTGTTGTGTATTTTGTTTCTAATTGGATAACCAGCGATAAAAAAATAATACATTAGCCCTCTTCTGCCACCTACTAATGATAATTAAGTATAGCATCATCCCGGTTCGTTGACAATCAGCTTCGGATTAAAAAAAAGGGTTGAGTATATATTTTAATCTCGAAATATAATTTTATAAAATATTTTCCCCTTTATATCGTCGTTAAGCCAGAAACGTAACCAATAAAAATAAAATTGTTTAACAAAATAAACTTTAAAATACTTGAGATTATATTATACAGCTTCATTGAGATAGATTTTAATATTCTTAAAAAACGGTTTTTGCTTGTAATTTTATTTTAATCTACTTAGTTAAATCTCAACTGGGCCCCAGAAATTAAGGTTAAGCAATTTAGCAACTCAAAAATGTAAACTTCCACATTTGTTTTTGTAAAATTTCACCATTTAAAATCAAATATTTTATAAGCCATAATAAGAAATGTGCAGTTTTGTTTTCTTATTAAATTAATTAAACGCTACAGCGCAAAATGTGGCAGTTTAATATTTTTTTTTTACGGGTGTCACATCCGGTTAACAATTATTATGTTAAAACACCTCAAATCGAAATAAGGAAGTCTCGAGTTTTTAACCGTAAAATTAAAGAAATTCAATATAGATACAAATTTGTATTATAGAGGCGTCCTCGGTTGGGTTATGACTTGTGCAGCAGACCATTTTGTAGTTGATAAAAATTACAGCAATAGACCTGTAGCCTTAACTAAAAGTAACCTAGTTATTCTCTACGCCTCATGGAAAAACATTGAACCGTGGATATTTTATCACAGAATTTATTCTGTGATGTTATCTCGTATCACATGAAAGTGTAACGCTAAAATGGCAACATGAAATCACTTGTATCCAGCCCAATAACGTATCCATGTTAAAAATCCAAATTTTGAGTTGTAGTAGTCTTTCGTCAAAGAGTGCGGCGATATATGCTTTGGTTGTGCCGGATTAACGGATGGTTATTTTTTACACCCTGTGGGTCAGTATATAAGATTGTAAACTCATCAAGATCATCAAACAGCAAGGACGGACCGTGACAAGTTGATGGATCGAACGGATGACCGGGCAAGTAGGTACTACCTGCATAGTGAAAGGCCTCTGTTGGGGTCTGTAACTCGAGACCGGATTTTGATGTGCGTTGTATGTCGGACAGCATAAATAAATCCGGCCGCGTTAAGTAATTGCAGTGGATCGCGCCCCACTAGTAAAAACGCAATTAATTCCGGCAAACGTCCAATGATCGAATTGGGGTTTGTATTTGATTAAACGCTCGCCAATTCCAACAATAATAATTATTCTGCCGGACAGCACAAATCGTTCGTGATAAGACTTGACGATGGCGCGCAAAGTTAGCTATTATTGTTTTTATTTTTACCATTAACTAAGATAAATAGTGCTCCTGCCGGAAATTACGGTCACGGTTCCGGTGTTCAGTCCCTTTGAAAATCCTGTAACACAGGTTGATTCGTTAAGGATAAGACACCGGGTTTTTCTTAAAACAATTATTGCGATTCTTCGGGGTTTTTTTTCTTGAAAAAAATGTTTGTATATTTTATTTTGTACTATGTTTATATACATTAAACGTAGTACTAAACGTTTACCTTTTTTTAATATTTTCCAGAAACTTGAAAATGGTAACGTATATAATATTTAATTTACTTTTTAAAAATTAAGAATAATTTTCCACTTTTGGATAGTTACTTTTAAAGTGTAAAATATACAAAGAGTTACTCCACATCCCATCCTAGATTTTCACAGCAATTTTTAAAGTAATTATCTAAAGCCGATTACGACCAGTCAAAATGTTTAGCAAATTATTCTTCATTCACAAAGCGAATAAATTATATTTACTACCGAGTTTTCAAGTTTTAAAAGTCTACAGAGCTCTAGAAAAATAAATAAGAATTTAAAAAAAATTAAATATTGTAAGATAGAATCAACTTGAGTGTATCGAAAAAGAGAAACTATTCTTAAAAAATCACCTTGTCTATTGTCGCAACTATAGAGGGGGTTGGGGGGGGGTTAAGAAAGTTCAAATCCTTTTAAATAGTTTGGACTCTAACAAAATGTCAGCAACTAATCAGGCATAGCCCCCTGAGTAAGGTTCATCTATTTTACTGGGATCAACTTAAGATATTTATAAATACAAATGATTTTGCAGTTAAATAAATATCTTAGTATAAAATAGCGCGAAGGTATGTTTGTGTATATATATATATATATATATATATATGTGTATATAGTTAGGTTAGGTATTTTTAAAACGGACTATTGAAAATACAACTCATAAATATAAGCTGTTACAGTCGTGTTCATCTAATTAGCGAGAGCAAGCTGCTTAATTAGTTTAAAAATTCAATCTGTAAAATTGGACCTCTCGTTTTGCATTCGGATTTAACGCGAATGCTAATATCATTAAAATTAAATGTCACAAACTTTGGTCACAGCAGAATTTGTGTGTTTCGTTTTGTAATTTTTTATTTTGCTAAAGTTTTTGTCAATAAGATTTATTTGACTCGGTACGAAAACTTTCTGCTTGCGTTCTGTAATTAAATGGAACGTTATTCGTCTATTTGCAAATTACATTTTTATTGTTAATTAACATTAAATGTATAATAAATTAGATAAAAATATCTACATAAAGTGTGCCAATTTTTCTAAACGCAAGTTCATAACAATTGTATATACTTAGATAATATTAAGATGTATATGTACCTTAGAATATATTTTAGGTACCTATTTATATATATGAGATACAACGTGAACTGTGCTCTCGATATCTTTGTTAATTTTCCTATTATAGGAAGAATAAATAGGGCAATTTAGAAGAAAGAATGTCTGTAATGTTGAGCCAATACAATAACTCGAATAATCTCAGAAGCCAATGTTATCAAATAGGTCGTAAATTAAAAGAGAGAAAATATTTCATACATAAATAAATGGACATTCTTTATACTCAATATAATAATATATGCAAAATAATAAATTAAAAGTAATAATTGAAATACATTGTGTTATACATTTATACATGGGGTTTTTAAATTTTATGAAATTGGTTTTTGTAAAATAAATCTATAAAATATTTAAATATAATAAAAATAGGACCTCTTCTTATAACTAATTACAGAATTCAAAGGTTTAACGTTTAAACATATTGTCCTTTATCTTTAAAAAAAGTTTATTTATTAACAATTTTTTTTATCTATTTAGCTAAAAATATTAAACCAAACAAACATACAAATAAAAAAATATATATATATCATAATATAACGGGTATAAAATATATTATGTAATAATTATGTACAAATTTTATATTATTTAATGTATAATACATTTGTGCATTTCATAATATATTCATATTATGAAATGCTCTTATTTATAAGAGCATTTAAATATTTTATTTAAACGTTTATTTATTAACATCTTTTATATAATTGTAAATCTGCAAATTACAGCTATGCGGATTAGTTAAATCGCCAATTATAAATTATCTATTAAAAAATGAATTTGAAAATTCCACATAAAATATTTCATACTGAAACCCCTAATAATTATGCATTTATAAGGTTATAATAGATTATAATAGTCTCACTAAGTTCACAATTATGTTTCCACTCGTTTATTTACAGTTTTCACAGCAAATTCTAAATCCTGATTAACTTGTTTATTAATTGAATACTTTTATTTTTCAGCAACTTTCCAGCAATGGACAAACTGGAAAAAGGACCAAAGGAGATCTTCGCACCAGACATTCAAAAGGTATACAATATTTCTGAGACTACTCTTATTGCGCATAACAATTAGTTATTATCATAATATATTTATAAGTGTATAACTATTTGATATTTTAAACAGGACTTACTGTTGCTGGAAGAACAAGAAGGTTCTGTCAACTTTAAATTCGGTGTCCTGTACACCAAACCTAATCAGCTCACTGACGACGAGATGCTGAGCAACGGTATGTTTATCACATTTCTTATATTGAGAACAAAACCAGAGAACGCGCAGTTTAGTTTTAATAAAAAATTAAAAAACCTAAACTATTGGCGTTCGTAAACGGTATTATCTGTAAAGGAAAGTAATCGACGATTAAACGGAAAATACTAAGTAATACCGTCCAAAACAACAAACTTAGTTTACACTTTGTGTAACTCAATTAGTTTTCGAAAAGTACGTTTGCGGTTTGTGTGAAAATTGTAACGAGCGCGTTTCGGTTTGAACTAGATCCAAACGTGGTATAATCATTATTCCCTATATTATATTACTATTATTATTATTGTTAGTAATGACTGTTTACAAACTTTATTCCGAAAAATTTCACTCCTAGTCGGCTATCTCGTACTATTTGACCATAAACAAAGTCCGCTCACGTCACACTGTCGCCAAGTAACTTGTTACCATGTTGGATATCTAGAAAGTAAAAGTTTGCACTTGGTCGGGATGTGCGGAGAACCGTGAAAATATTCTCTTCCGGTTGCCGGAAATATCGGCTTTTAATGACGTATAATATATAATATATACGTATATAGTATATACATATATGGGACATTCTGGGTCAAACCACGCGGTCGTCGGGCCGACCTCTTCAAATTTTTTTTTTTATTAACTTCTTTTGGTCTAATATAAGATCTTTATTTTTTTTAAATCATATTTACCCCTAAAATAGAGGTTTTTAAAGTTATTTTTCTCGAATATATTTCGACCAGTTTTAAAATTCTGAAATGTTTATCATAAAATCAGAGACTCAAATCAAATATTTTCGTCTAATAACGAGAATGGGCGGAGATTTATTTCTATTTTATTTTTTTTTAGTAATGAAAATTTTTAAAATCTGAAAAAAAATGTATGATTTTATTTTTAGTTTTATTTGTAAGGCACATTTTTCACTTTTTTCTCCCAAAATATGCAACAAATCAAATTTTACCATGACAAGTTTTATTTTATTTTTTTAAATAAAATAACTAGTCGAAATTTGAAAAATAACTTAAAAACCTCTATTTTAGGGATACATATGAGTGATAAAATTGTCGAAAAAATAAAGGTCTTATATTACACCAAAATATTTTTCTTTACGGCGACGGTTATCCGATGTTGTTTTTTAGTGTAACCGTCGATTGCCTTTGGTTCAAAAAAATACCTTTAGTTATTGTGTACTCGACTGTATTTTCTTAGGCGTGCTCGTCGTATTTATACGTCTCAATTGGTTTCTTTTCGTCGAACACGATATAAGTTTTTTATAAATAATAATAACAATAACAATAATTTCACACTCGCCTAACTTTACAATGTGTAGCCTACCTACGAAAGTAATACCTATAAAAATATAAGCTCAATAGCGAACAAAGTTAAAAAAAAAAAATTGTTTTTATTATAAATTGAAAATCAACCTCTATGCTTGTTAGGTTTAAAAATTATAAAACAATTTCTTTGGATATTGAGCTAAGGCTAGACATTTATCACAAAAAAAACTAATTGAATTTAACAATATTTGTTGTATACTTATTAAAATTAAATTGTTATTGACCAGTATGTTGTGACATTTTTTTTAATATAATTTGAATCACACGATTAAATAGTAACCAAAACGGTAATCTTTATGTACCTGGTAACTTGTGAACCTAATTTTTATTTTCGCGCCAAACCCTATCGTTTTGAATTTACTAGATGTTTAAAAAAACCTCTCTCTAGTCTCTGGGGGCAACTTGTGTGGTAGCGTTAGGTCGGTAGACAGCTATAAGCCCAAAAATGCTAAATCTAAACCGTCTAAGCCCCAATCGGCGGGAATAACGGACGTTAAACGTAAGAGAGAGAGAGAGAGATGTTAAAAAAAAACGTACCTCCTAAATAATGAATCTAAATCAGTAAAACATTTTCTCTTGACTTATAGACTTAAGTCATAAAATTTGTTTAAAAATAATTGTTGAAAGACTCCATTAAAAAATGCTGTATATACAAAACGGCGATTTTAAAGTTTTTGCTTTTAAATTAGTTTACAGTACTCGACGCTCTCCAGCGGTTTAATTATGGTTATCTATTATTTTAACTACCCCGTTTTTACCGAACAAAAACCTTGCTATTTGCTTGATCAGATTATACAGTAAACCGGATTTGGCTAAAAATAATTACTAAAACATTTTTTTAATCAATCAAGACGTCGGCACAGGTATTTTATATAACTACCAAATGTCTGAGACAGTGATAACGTCAATAATTTTATTTATAATTACTTTTATTATTATCTTTTTTAGGGGGCCTATCCATTGCGGTTTTCTGTGAATGGAAAATTTGTAGATTTGACTAGGCTGGGTCTAAGGGGGAGGGGGGGCAAAACACCAATCAACCTGTTCCCAAAACGATTGATAAACCGAATTTTTCAACATCGTTTAAAATACTTTCACATAAAATGGCATTCTAATTATGTAATTTTTCACTATTTCTTTCTCGTTAAATAACGGTTTAACGATATTACGAATTCTTATAAATTACTGTATCATTCCTCCATTCATAAGATGAATAGGGATCATAGGGATGATGGGCTATGACTCAAATTCGACGAAGGTAAAATAAATTGTTAACCATTCACTCTATATAGTAGTATGTGTGTTCGTTAGTCGTTACACAAACTTTCAGACTAGGTTTTTGTGAACAATTTCGGTTAAACGTATGTGTAATGTGGGAGTTTTCTCTCGATTGGCCACTAATATGTCGACGCCAAGATAGTAATGCGTTCTCCGCCTGTATTCGGACTCGTTGATGAACAAGCGCGGTGCTATATTATGTGTGGAATGGCAGACGTGGGAGTCGCCTTCGATAGAAAAATATCTAAGTTCACCCACGTGTCCGCATATAGTATATTTTATAAAAAAAAATTGTATCCTTGCGCAGTTTCTTGTTTTTTTTTTTTTCATATATTATACTTTGTCTTCGCAGAAAACGGCAGTGAGGAATTCAATCAGTTTGTCTCGCTGTTGGGCAACCGAGTCCGTCTGAAAGGCTGGGACAAATACCGAGGAGGACTGGACGTTAAAGGTAATTAATATTAAGGACGATTGTTACCGACGGCGTGCCCTTTAAAGACGATATTCGTAAAGAAATTTCCAATTTACTATCATGCATGGTCGCTCTGGGAAGAAATTCTGATTCAGATTAGGCTAAGACCGGCTCTTCGAATCCAACTTCATTTGTCGGGCTATTTGCATTACCTCTATCTAAATTAGGTACTCAAATAGTTGGACAGACGGTGCTTCCAAGTATTCTCCCTTTCATTGTAAATACCGAATAAAACAAAGAAACTATATTGTTTTATAGTAAAAACACGAATAATGCAAAGTTTAAACTATAAGATAGTTAAATATATATTTTTTTGAAATTAGTATCCACGGAGAAGGGTTGACTGCGTGGCGAGGAGAGGGTGGTGAAAACGGTGAGCCTCAGGTTGTTGGAGACAAGTTCAGTGGTTTTAAGTTTTTCGAGGGGAGGGCCTCGAGTGTCCAGTTGTGCAGTTGACCGTTTGTTGCCAGACCCTCCCCTCTCCCCCTCTCGTCTTGTAAAAACACACACGACGAAGGCGGGCTGTAATATATATATTTCACAAGCTCTTCACGTGGTACCCGCCAAAATCAACACTAGGTTGACTTGTGTGTTTTATATATTATATATATATATATATATATATATATTTTTTGGCGATCCGCAGGGGACATGACAGGCGATTACTCGGCTTACACTATTTACGAGGGTCACGAAATCATGTTTCACGTGTCCACCATGTTGCCGTACTCCAAAGACAACCGACAACAGGTGATACTTGGCAAACTGTTTGTTTTTTTGTTTTTTTTTAATACAAATTTGTAATTTGTTTTTCAGGTCGAACGAAAGCGTCACATCGGAAACGACATCGTGAACATAGTGTACGTGGACGGCGGTACCTCGCAGATGTCTCAGTTTAATCCGGCGTTCATTAAGTCGCAATTTACACGTATCCTTTTAATCTTTGTGCCAAAGTCCAATAACCTGGCGACGAACCCTAAGGAGGCGCTTGCCGGGTTCCCGTGTGTAATCGTCAACACTTTTGGACGGAATTCCCTCGCAGCGTTTTGTGGTGTACCTCGGGTGTTGTGTAATTAGCTTCGTAGCCTATAATTAAACACAATTTCGCCGAAGTACCTATATCTGGTGTATCTGTATCTAGGTAGGGCTATTCCTGGGAGTACTTGTATTTCCTCAATCGGTGTTAGTTTGAGCTACAGATGTGTTGTTGTGTGTCAGAGCATAGCGTAAACATATCCAGAGCTGTAACATCATAATATTATAATGCCCTGTATTCAGCAACGAAGCAATAATAAATAAAGGCAAGCGACAGTGAGACCGCTTTAAATATAAATAAATAATTTCCCAAAGGTCGTTAAACACTGCACAGTATAATCCGTATTCCTTATCGACCATACAAATCAGTATATAAATTCAAGTTAACCGTTAAGTCATATTATGTTTACCATCACAAGGTAGTGAAACAAATTCAAAATATATACATCAAAGCAATGTAATTTCGTCATAACGGTCACACTACAGCTTGCCTTTTCAGAGTGAGAGGGATGAATCGCCCTGAGCTCGTTTCTATTGGGATAAGAACACTAGTTGTATAACATGATATTATAATCTACCCGTGCCGACAGCGTCATACCAGAGACAAAGCCAACTGAAGTGAATTACAAAGAAAGTGCTGTATAGATAGAAAATTAAACGATAGGTGATTATTAGGGATGGTCGAGGTCGTTTCAACAACATGATGGGCTTTTAACATGCTAATTTATTGTGATCGCAGTTTGAAGTCTTCGTTTCGCTTAACGCTTAAAACCATAAATTATAGAGGTAATAATGTCTAATATAATAGTCAATACGGTATCCCAGTTACGGTATTCAGCGCAACGCTGTGGTGGAATTTAAAAATAACTACATTACTAAAGAGACAAGTTTTCCTTTCAATTTCAAAAATAAAAACAGACGTGTTTGCTTTGGTTGCATATGATTCTGTAGAAAAATGGTATAAACTAGTGATTTATTCCGAAGAATCAGTGCCGCTTTTTGGACCCTCGTTACCTTGCCCGCCAATCTTCAAGGACCCACAAGAGTTCAGAGAGTTTTTGATTGTTAAAAGTAAGTACGCATAACGCATAAGACTGTACGAGAAAATTTCGCTTTTTTTTTTTTTGGAGTTAGGGCCAGAAAAATAAAAATAAAATGCGAAATTTTGTTGTACATTGTAATTATTGCTTAAGTATATAACAATAGTAATAACAATAATAATAGTATATAGTCAGAACAAAGTAAGTTAATAAAAATAAACTCTGTTTGAAAACAAATTTTAAAAACACATACGAAACAGGCGGAAAATACCAAAAACAGTGATTTTTTTTTTTTTACAACTTGGGAGGCGATTTTTAAAATAGCTAGACTTGCCAGAGAAACTCTGAGGTCAGATTCCAAAAATATAGTTCCAAAATCGTGTTGAACAGTGTAATCGACGATTAATTAATTTTTAGTTTGCCATACTCGGCAACAGTACATGTTTTAACCTAACCTAACCTTATCAAGTATGCGCAGTATCATGGAGGTGGTTAAAAAATGCATATAATTATTGTACAGAAAGGGTTATGGCAGCGTATAAAAACGATAAATGCCGCGGCCGTGTGTGAACATGCCGTTAAAGTTTTACACTGGTTATAATGTAATTTTGTCCCCTTTTGGCGGTGGTATTGTGATAAAATTTAAATTTTAAACGACCCAACGGTATGACCGACAGAGTGGGCCTTATCCCAAAGGTTAGACACATGCTCGCACTTTTATGTTTCAAAACGCATTGTATAAAATATATTATAATGGCAGCCGTTAAATAAAGTCGGTTTTTTGGTTTTTACGGCTGTCTATTGAAATTCCATTCACGTCTCGGCGTCACAAGAACTGCAATTTTATACAATTTTTGTTTTATCTTAAAATACACATATGTATAAGTTTAGCATCAATAAGATGTAAGAAACCCGCACTTAATGCACGACTCGTTCTTATAACTGTTGCACAATGTATTTATTTATTTTTAACGACCAGTGTCAGCTTTACCATTGCAATTTTTTTTTTGTTTCAATTTTCAGTGATAAATGGCGAAAAGGCGACGTTCAACACGCCCACCTTTGCGAAAAAACGCGAACGGACACTTGACATGCTCATCAAGGACCTCTACTCGGATTACATGACAGACTCCAGCAAAGTGGTAAAGTTCAAAAAATGATAAACAATTGAAATTAAATACTTTCGGCTTGCGTTTCTGTATAGCGAGGCGAGATTTCAGACAATACAATATAAAATACTATTGTTATTATTATATTATTTAAGCTATCGAGATACAAACAACAGTCGAAATTAATAACGAAAAGAAATAAAATTAATAAAAAAAGTGAATATGTTTACAAATTACAACAATACTATAAAATAGATGTTATGGGCAAAGGAAAACAACAAATTTGTTTAATTTTAAACAAATAGTAATTAAACATCTTCAAACTAAATACTAAAATAGATGTAATCGCGTTTCATTGAAACATCCTTCGAGCAATTTATTTAGACATTTTTGCTGGTAAACTTGTTGTTAGTATTCAAACGGCGACCGAATATAAATATAGTTAAATTTGTATGTCGCATTACCTTAAGAAAAAAATGCAGACCTAAATAAAAACCGATACATGTTGGGAAAACGTACAACAAATTACAAGTACTTAATGTTTTATTCTGGTTTAATGCTCGTTTAGAAAGTTATACGAAAGAATAGAAAATTGAGGTTAGTACAAATGCGATTCGCCTTGCTCCCAAGAGTTTTGACTTTTACTAAGAAGTATATTAAATGCTCCGAGTGGTTCATTTTTTATTTTTACTTTTATATTTGTTATATCATTTGTATGCCCTGCTCGAGTACACACATTATGTCACATGCTGTGACCCCTCTTTTAAGATAAGCATTTTGCACTGAATAACAGGGAATAATTTTTTTTTAAGTCATTATTTTTTTACTTTAATTTTGAAACCTTCAATTTTTGACTTATTGAAAAAAGGAAAACGGGGAGCTTATTTGGGTGTCCCCCAGATGGCCAATCACCTATTACTTACCTAAATATGTTTATGTATTATAAAGTCAACGGCAAGGGTTTCTGGTCGGTTTGGCTTGGAGTTTGACGAACCGCGTTTGTTTTTGGTGTTTTATTTTACTGTAAACCGTCAACAGTTCTCACGGCGATTAATCGTCGTTAAAAGTGTTTTAATTAATTGTTTAAGTCTCAAGCGTTAAACCAACCTTTTAGTAGCTATAAAGTGGCGTTTCTCGTGACGCAAAAGAAAGAGGAAAAGAAGAAGAATGAAAGAAAAGGGTTAGTGATAAAACTTATCACTGTGTGGTTGAGGCGGCGAGGGGATGATAATAATAAGGGGGGATCGATCATTTCTGGATAACTGATTAGAGATAGAAAGATCATCTGATCATAAGACATGTATATTTTATTTGGCTATTTTTAATTTCATGTTGCCATTTTCGCGTTACACATTCACTTTCAGTTAGAGATAAGATATACCATATCAATGATTAAATGTTTTCCCGTGGAGTGTGGAAAATAATTAGGTTTTTTTTTATACTTATTTACATTAAACAGCCGTCTTTAAGTGCTGGAACCATTATTGTTTTGCAGACAATGTTGAACAGGAGGGCATTTAGTGACGTGCTGCCGGACCCACCGAGAAGTTCCAGGCGCAAAGAAGAAGCCAGGCAAGTGGAGTTCGTCCGGATCGGACAAGCGCTGAAGTTGGACACGATCGTCAAAGGAGACGCGCCGACCAGTCTGGCCACGACCGGGCTTTTTAAGCGCGCCCCTTGGGAACCTCAGTGTTTCTATCCGGACTTTTGCTTTGACATCGCTTGCGGCGACTCGTGGGGCGACACCCGGTTGATAATAGCAGCCGAATCCGGCGGAGTGTATCTCATCGAAGGTAAATATAATTTTATTATTTTTTTTTTTTTTTACCGATAAAACCACCACCCAATGCAACGGCACATGCCTTTTATCGAATTGGACGATACGGACAAGATGTAACCCTGGCGAAATAAGTGGCAAATAAGTAACTTCTACAAGTTATTTTCGAGCTGGAGAAGTTAGGTTCAGCCAGACGTAAATATTGTGCAAATTTCAGACGTCAAATGAGATTGCCGTCAATATAAAAACATTATCCACCAACACACACGCTGGCAAAATTTTAGAGAAAAATTCAAATCCGCATAGGCACTATCGATGGATATAGGAATTGCACACACACGCATACACAGAATGCCAAGTTGTTCTCTTACATATGATACCAATTATTATTATTTCAGGGAACCGTAGGTTTTTTTTTTAAGAGAGTTTAACATTATTCCTTTCTATATCTAAATTCATTTAGAAATTGTATATGTATATATATATTCTATTTTTTGCTATAAACTGCGGTGATTGATTTTGACAGACGGCGTGTCTCAACGGCAAATATTCGATAAAGTCATCCAGGCCAATCAGCTGAACGTGGTCGAGGCTCACGGCATCCTTTTATTTAGGGCGGAAAAAGGTACGTGATGTATAACACCTTCGTTAGGTCGTTATAGTGAACGTTTCTAACGTTGGTTTTTTAACGGCCGCGATACAGAGATGGACTTCGGCTTTGAGTTTAATTCTTATTTCTTTTTTTTTTTATTATCGCAGGACGTGATAGTAAAATATACGTGTTTAGACTGTCCGAGTTCGAGGCGGACGCGCAGAGAGAGGTGAAGAACAAACTGGACATAAAAGACCATAAACTAGAACGGACCCGAGGATGCAGCATGTACGCCGTCAGCAAACAAGGCGGTTCGCGGCTTAAAATGGTAAAAACTCTTAACGGTTTATAGGAATATCTATTTTTTGTGCACATAAACATAATAATATACTGTACCTACTCGACCGACCGACTAAATCGCGTTAACAAGCAGTTCAGACGGGCCAATAGTCGAGCAGAGATTGAATCCGTAGAATCCCTGACTGAGGGGATGGGGAGGTTCGAGGGGCGCATCCCTGAGCTCGGACATCTCTAACCTATCGAACAGATAGGGAGCACGTTCTCGATAACCTGTCCCGAGACGTTTGCTTATTCGCTGACGATTTAGATGGAATAAAATTACCGAGCGTAAAGATTATCTACCGCCTACTCGGTTAAAGCGCATAAAATTAAATATATATATTAGATATATTTTATTTTAATGATGTGACCGACAATTGCAATTTTAAAAGTTGTGAAGTCTACATATAGTTGTCTAAATATAATTGACTTATGTTCGTTTTTGCTTATATTAAAAAGAGATCTTTTTTTTTATAAAAAAAAAGTTAAAACTATTATCAGTGTCCGTTCATCGAATTGTAATGTCCGTAAATGTTTCGACCGACATTTATTGCATTCAATCCATTTCCCAAATAAACAGTTCATATAGGGTATTAAGTTATATTATTACATGCAAATTATATTTTGTCATTTTAAATGCAGTATTGTTTATGTCGAAAACGACCGAAAATTAAAAATAATATTACGGTAAACCACGTTAAACTAGCAAATAGCCCACTATATATTCGGACACCGCTTCAGAAGGGGTAAAGGGGGAGTTTTGACTGTATAATTTTGCGTTTACATTAAAATATTATTATTGAATCTGTTTGAAACTTGTGTCAATAATAACAATAATAATATTTTTTAATAACGTGGCACAGGTGGTTTGTGTGAACCGTAAGCTGACGTTGATGCAATGGAAACACTCGGCGGCTTGGACGGCTTGGTGTCCGGCCAGCGATACCGACACTGTCGAAGGGTTCGTCTGCCTTAGGGTAAGTGTTGATGCTTTCAATAACAACAATAGTATTGCCATAGCAAGCAATGCCGCGACTATAGATACTCGGAGACCCTCTTAAGTCATATACAAATCAAGGAATCATCCCAAAAGCACAGTTTTATGTACTCAAATATGTATCAGATACGGTAATTCCGTATCATCGTATTTCCCAATTAAAATAGTCGTTATCCAAGGCAGTGTGATCTTTCTCCTGATCTATTCAATGTTTTTGTTTACTATCAAAGCCACTTATGCAGATGACTGCAATACTCTACCATGGAAACGACCCCAAAGTAATTTCAAATTCCGCTCAAACACATCTAAAACTATGATGATGTCATCTACATGGAGAATTAAAATGAATTCCGAAAAATCCATATGCGTTAGTTAATCAAAACTGCCCACTAACTTGGCCACTATGGCGCCTATCACTTAAGTAAAACTGGTTATCTACAGTTTATTACCTTCTCTATCACAGAGTAATAACAGAATAAACTTTTGTTTTTTTGCCAGCTTATACTGCCATTGGCCCCTTCTGCTCGTTAGAACCCTTGGTTGAATAATTAGGAAACAATAAAAAAATAGGGACTTCCAAATATTTAAATACTTTTTATTGCTTGTACCGTGGGCGACCACTTTTGTGAACCTCAAAATCTCACTTTACCAATTAACTTTCTGTTGAGCCAATGATAGCAGCTTGGCGTACATTGTTCTCGTTGTTGAACTATACCTTGTATCTACGTCTGACATCGGTAACTAGTGTTTTAAAGCTCAGTGGCTGTATTATTTAGTCCATAGACGCCTATCATACTTGTACCTACCTATATGAGCATCTCGTTTGATTAATTGTACGATATATTAATGTGATTTGGCCTGGTCTGAATGATGCTTGCCTGCCTCCCCGTTAGGATAAGGGGTGTATTTAGTTTTCAACGTACGGATATTATTTAGGATCACCCGTCATTTGTCTAATGGATTGTTGTTCGTAGGAGTTCCAAATAGCCGAGCAACCATCAATCATAACGTTAATTGAGTCGGCTGGCAACACGGACACTTGTAGCATATGCGTCGGATACAAACATCAGTTTGACATCATCCAAGACGGTGCGGGTACGGCGCAACGGTTGTTCGCCATCCAGGAAGGAACCAAAGCGCATCTAGTGTCGGCAACGGATCTGCTCGAAGACGAAGAACCCGAATTGGTGTTATGCTACAACAGTGAGTGTGTTTTAGTCAAATACAATTTATATATTATATAACTGGACGTCGAGTCCATCTAAAGCAAAATCACAGGGCACATACTCCACAAATATTATCGCTGTGCGTGTACTTGTACACTCCCACCGCCAGTTATACACACACAGCGATGATATATTTTTCAAAAATAATGATAAATACTTAAATAATATTTCATTGAACTAAACTATTTTGACAAAATATAGCATACCCGAGACAAGAGTCGAGATAGTTATCAAGAATTTTATTTTGAAAAAAACCAACAGTCTTATGGAAAATAAACGCTTTTAAACACTTAAGCCAAAGTGTTCTTTTTTTTTTGTTTATGATTATTATAATATAATTTTTATAATAATAATTAATAACTGTTACGATAATTTGTTTTATATATTTTGACAGAAAATCAAATAACATACTGAAACTACACACATGTTTCAATAATATTGCCTAAATATTATAAAATTGATTCGTGTTTCAGTTATTTGTATTTATAAACATTTCATTTCCTGTCAAAACTCGATTAAAAAATATATTTTAGATATTTATAAACTTTTTGACAATATTAAAAAAAAAACATTCACATTTGTTGAAATAAACAAATAAAGTGATAGTTCAGCGAATTGTTAAACGTTTGATTAAAATTTTAACATTTTTTTTCATTCTTGAATAATTGATAGATTTTATTTATCATTTAATATTTTGCATTACCAAACACAAATATCACATATTCTTAATATTGTCCATCAAACCTTAACAAAAAGTATAGAAATTATTTTTTATCTATCTATCTTAGCGGGATCTAACGTGTGAATCTTTAAAGGAACTTCATTCGAATGAGGGAGTAGAGCAAGATTACTTTTTTTCCGAACACACTCGGATAGTAATAAATTATATATTGATGATGAATAATATTCTATACTGGTACATTATTCGATTGCCAACTTAACCATTTCTGGTTAACTTTCAACGCGGTAAATAAATAAAAAAAAGCAGTCCTCCGCCCACTCGTGCGCTTACTTATTCAAGTTTCCTGACAAATATTTCGGTAAAAAAAACCAATAATATTATCATACCGAAATCTTGGTGGAAAGCCACCGTCGAAGGAGCAAATAGGTCACCCGTTTTTCAACCGATATTTTTTTGAGAACGCGTTGAGATTTTATTTATGACCGTAAGGCCGGCTTTCGCCCCCTTTAAAAACCACCACCGAATAATAATAATTATTGCTGTTTTGCTTTATACTTATTTGTTGTTTGTCGCTTACTGGCGGTATCGAAACGTTCTGTACACCGTCATAGGCATGTCTGTCTCTCTTTGGCGTTATTAAGATATAGTATATCATTATATTACTATTGTGGCCCAGGTCGTACGACCCTATGGGAATTCCCACGACGAGGCGTTCCCGAAATTATCGCGAAGAATTGATTTATGCCGCCCACGGGACGACCAGCTCGACGGAATGATCTTTATGGGTTTGGACTATGACATTATTTTTAAAAAACGGTACCGGAGTTCCTTATTGTTCATTCTCCGCATAAACTTGTGTGTCGTAGAATCGCCATATAATCTGTCTGAGGCGTACCCGGAAAACGGTCGAGCCTCTTGTGCGGTAATAGAGCTCCCCCTCTATTTCCGCCCGCTCGGAGGGCCCAAAAAGAATCCATCATATATATTCATATATATATATATATCCATCATATATTGATTTTGATTGGGCCAAGGTCGAATTACAACTTCCTATAATCCGCATATTATGACCCTCGTCCCTTAATAATTGCATTCCCTTTTATAATTCTTAGCTTAGAAACTGCGTCTTAGAATGTAATCTAGCTGTACAATTAGACTGGTACATTGAGTTGAAGAAAGTGTGTTTTTAGAAGGTTTGGGTATATATGTTGAGTGTTGTCAGAAGAAAGAGACGAACGGGTGTGGAAATGTGTGGGTGTTATCAATAAGGATGTGTAGATAAATGCTGACGGATGCACAAGTGTAAAGAGGGAAAGGATTTAAATTGCCCACAAAAAAAAAAACAAATAGTATTGTCTATCACAAAAAGCTGATCCCAGTGGCGTGCGCAGAATTTTGTAAAGTGGAAGATGATTTCCAAAAGAGTTAAAACTTATATTATTTCTGTATAAGTGACCCCCCCCCCTCCCCCATATTACTACCATAGTGCGTTTACCGAGTTAAATTTGTTTGTTTATTTATCTTAATTAATATTTTATTCGTGTTGGTATTTAATATATAATATTATTATACTCGGTAGTCCAACATAAAGGTGATTGTTTTTTTTGTGTTATTATTAGGCTTTTTATTTTTAACTAGATATCGAAAAACTGTACTCTGTAGAATAAAATCTAATTCGTTTCACACCTAGTTTAAAAAAAAGATAAACCCGTAAAAAGAACCGTAATCTTTTTAATTTAATTTCACGAATTTGATCGATTGCGAAACGCGTGGAATGATTTACAATTTTAATCTATACAATATAATTACTTTAGGCCGTGTATACACACTAAAATATAGGCTTTTGTGTTGAAATGATAAAAATATATATTATATTGTACTTGGACGGTGCGGTAAAATTGACACTGTTCTTTTGCTTTCAGACACTTGCCATTTCCAAAAGCTCAGCGACATGACCAACTCGACCGAATTCGATTTCCACTGGAATTCCATTCCGAAGGACATTGGTAATTGATAATGTGTACCACATGGTACCTAACAAATTGCCTTCGAACTTTATGCGAACACTCCGTATTATATTTTTAAAAATCAAATTCTATTACTACTCTTTGAAAACGCCAAAAAAATGTTTAACGAGACAACCGTGTGTGTTGTGTTATCGCACGGAGGAGAGTTCTAAAAAAAAAAAAAGTGTTCTCGATAAGTTTGGAAACTTGACGGGTCTCCAAACTTGTTCTACACTCGATAAAGCCATTATATAAACGAATGAGACAGAGGTAATAGAGGTTGTAGAGGTAATTTTTGGGTTTTTCAATTGTGTTTTTTTATCATTAAATATACAATTTACAATATGTTAGCCTGAGGCAATATTAAATAAAATAAAATTATAATTAGATTATAAATTTAAAATTTTAATTGCTTAATATACACCAACACACACTTATATTAATATGTTTGTTCGAATCGTTCTAGTGATAAAATTCAATTGATTATCGCATTTAGTTAAGTTTGCCTCGTTTGTTTCCCGCTTGACCATTTGGTTATTATTATTATTATTATTATTACTATCGTTAAGTCTGTTCTTTTTTAGTTTGTTCTTTCCCGTACATCATAGCGTTCACCTCGGACACGATGGAAATCCGACTTATAATCAACGGCAACCTAGTACAAACGTTGGGCTTGCCCAAAATGAAACTGATATCCTCCAAAGTATGTATATTGTTGGGTTGTCATTGTATTTGATTATGTAAAGCATTAATGAACGATTAAATTATCTGTTTTGTCATTTAGAACGACATATTTTTTGCCAGTACGGCGCCGGAGTTCTTCCCCGGGAAAACCGAGAGACTGCAAATGGACCAACAGAAAGCAGAACGAGACAGCATGTCGCCGCCGGCATCGCCTCACTGTAATTATTATTATTTTCTTAAGTCGTTTAAATCCAAAGACGATTGACGATTATCTGGTTGAATATATATTATTAACGAATGAATGAACGAATTTTCAAAGGTTCGCTAAACGTGTCCTCGCCCAGGTGCGCTTCCAGCTGTTATATAAAATAAAGATATTTGTTTGAAATGTTTAATAGGTAAATTTGATCGACAACCGCTGATTTGGCTAAACTCAATTATGTCTTTGAATTATTCAAATTTGTTTCGCTCGACTCGATAAGTCAATCCTGTCTGTACGTTAAGGTCATCGCGTCATCAAACTCCTCGAGTAAACAGTGTTTTTGAAAATAATTATTAGCCGGTGTGTGAGCTTCAAAAAATAATATAGAGAAAGTAGTATCTTATGAACATTGTATTATACTTTATAAGTCCAAGTATTTGCGTCCAATAAAAAACTCATATGCCATGAGATACAGAAGTAGTTAATTAAAATAATCTAGGGCAATTAATAACTCCTTTATTTTTTTAAATCCACCCTAATTCTTTTTGACGGGGAATTGAACAAAACCCTATCAGCCCGGGGGGGCCCGTCCCATAAATATGCGCCTGTCATGATTCGATTCAATTCTTTCTATACTATTGAAAATAGATCATCTGCCTTATAAATAAAAATTATTTAACACAGTTTAACGATATTACATTTATTACTTAAAAGTCAAGTCGTAGACGGTTACCATAGCTTCAAGATATTGTATGCGGTGTCTGTTTAATTTCTTTCTTCCTAATAGATGACCGATTTGGGTCCAATGCAATTTGGACCGTTTTCCAATTTATAGCCCATAAAAATAAATCAAATTTCGTAATTGTTGTTTTATTTATTATGCAATTAAAAAAAAAAAAAATTTAATTTATTTTCGATTAATGAACCGCCTTGACTAAATTCAAATAATTTTGATTATTATTGTTTTACTTGAGAATAATAATGATTTATTACACCACTCGCAGGCCCTCCGATACAAATTATGGATTCGATGTAGTAGTTACAAATAAAGTTAAATATTAATTAATCGTTTTTAAACGTTAATTATAATATAAACGGTTGTCGATAAGATATATATATATATACATATTTTCAATTTGAATCGTTAATATTGTATTCCTGTCAAAACTTATCTGTCGTTTGCAGGAACAAAAAAGATCTTTTTCCAAAATCTCAGAGTACCAAAAATATATGTATATATATTGTGGCTATTTGTTATCCTTTATACAGTTTTTTTCTATTTTTTTTAACTGTTAAACGATCCTGTTTCTTGGCAATTTCAGCGACCACCAGATAGAATAATTCAAACTCAAATGGCCAATCGATAAAACGTGTTAGGAGTTAGGACTATTGATATATATGTAGCTATTAAATGTAACTGTACAACACGCTTGGTTCGATCCTAGAAAACCAGCTGATGACACTTAATGTGGGCTCAATTGAGGTCTAAGTTTGCTTTTAATGGTCGCTCCGTTTGACAGGGTCACCGGTGTTTAAGACAACAACGGAATTAATAGAGCAATTATCTTTTTGGCAAACGGTGTTTGTGATAGGTATGGAAACCAAAAGAAGGCCTAAAGTACGTGCCAAAAATGTAAAGTTTTATAACGCCGACCGAGAACGTATTATTTTAGTTGTGATTTCCACGGTATCTATATTTTTAACGGGGAATACTAATTACAATTTAAATAGTTTAGATGCTAATTATGTAGTCCATCCATTTATTCTCTTTAAAAGCTGTTGTACAACTAGAAAATCTTAATATATTTTTATTTGCCTTAAAATTGGTGGACATGTTTAAAATGGTTACTAGATAAATTTTTGTCAAATATTGCCTATACTTACCCCTTAATAAATAACCTTATCCGAACATGATGGAAGACACTCATCGGACAAAATGAATATTTTGAAAATTAATTTTTTCCTTTACTTGTAATACACTCCCATATAAGTCCATACTTCGTTTACGTATAAGCGACGAAGGTAAACATTTTCTAAGTATTTAAATATATATATATATATACCGACAATATGTACAAGTATAAGAACAAAAACAATTTTCAAAATATTCATATTTTCCGAGAAAATTAGTGTCAGACGGATCATCCTGTACATAAAGCATATATTTTTTCATATAATGTCATACAATGACTAATATAGCAATATGACAATGATTAATGCAGCTGTAAAATGCAATAATTCCCATTTGGGTTTCATAGTGTCGCCGGAAACGAAACCGCTGCGGCTGTACCGGATACCCTTGAACGCGCTCAGCGGTGTCGTGACGCCTTACGACAGAAAGTGCGGCAATGAGACGACGGACGACCAACGGAGCGGACGCAAGACCGTGGAAAGCCTCAAACACACGGACAACAAGAGGACGTCGAGCCGCAGTTGCACGGCGTCGCCCACCATCGGTCTGAACTTGCATAACCACAAGACATGAATGAATTGCACTCCGACGCACTCGTACCACCGATGGCTTCCACGCACCAACCCATCCCGCCCCCATCTCCTTCCGCCCCTGTATCCTCCACCCAAGGCCCCACTTCCTCCGCCCAAAGATGAGCGGTAACCGTTTCCGGTGGCGGCCGGACGGACCGGAACACGGCCTGAAATATTTGCCAGCGTAAAGACAAATAAAACTATATTGTGTATGTATATATCACGAACCCCTCCCTCCCTCCCCTCCCATCCGCGTCTAGTCATATTCGCCAATTTGTATAATATAATATTAATACCAATAGCTAAGACAAACTATCTACTTCATTCTAATGTCATAAGTTATAACGTCGCCGTTGTATAGTATTATATATCAGTGTACAGCGATTGTATTCGAAAATCTAGGTGTGGACAATGAAGGCTGTCGTTTGGGTCGGTAAGTTCTTTTTTTTCAGTTAGGTTAGATCCTTGATACAGCCAAATAATTTTTAAAAAAAACCCTTTTGGTTTTAATATTAATTATTCGTGCTACGTTTCAATGGAAACTACACGACACACAGAGTTACCTACCCGAGAATCAACTGTGAGCCCACAAACGTGTATACATATATCGGCCCTTATAAACTGTACCATTTGACTATATAATGTGACATTATATTATATTTTAATTTATGAAAAATGAAAATCATAAAAATAATTCGTCTTTCAATAATATATTTTATTGCGTTACCGAATCGTTTCGTTATTCTTATATTAATAATTATTCTCATATTATTATGATAAAAAATATATTATATTACGCATTGTATTCCTTACAAACAAATATGGACGGATTTAGTTTTCGTTTTTTGTTCTTTTTTTTTATTAGTCCTTAGTAGATTATAAATACTAAATCATATTTTTCATTCTTGAGTATATTATATAATATATATATATATATATTTATTGTAGGTAGAAAATGTGGGTATATATGGTTATGATTATATTATATTATATTCTAATAATTAAAACTGTTTTATTGTACTAATCGTAAGTTAACTAATTATTATTATTATTATTATAACTCACGAGTGTCACAAAAATGACTAAAATGTGACTAATTTTTATTATTAAAAAAAAAAAAGAAAGAATCATTGCGACGCCACTTTGATCTAACTCTAACTCGGGATTTACTTAACGTTATAAAATACTCAAAAACTTTTTTGATATGTGTTTGTTGCTATTGTTAGGAATACACAATTTTTGTTTTTGGGTAGTGCGTGTATCGTCTTCCAATATGTAGAAAATTATTGAAAGAAAAAAAAATATTTATATAGGAAATGTTTTCGAATTTCTACAAAAATATTTGAATAGCAGAAAAACTAGTATAGAATTAGATTAGTAGAAAATTGGTTTCGGCTGAAAATCATAGTATATTATGTGAAAAAGACAACGATTTCATGGAAAATAGGAAATCATTTTTTTTCATCAATAACAAAAATAATATAGTATTTATTCCATATAGAACTAGCTGAGGGTAATATTATTATATGTATGATTCGAAAGCCATATTCCAATAGGTACAAAACATTATCTAAATTATATTTAATATTAACTAATGGGCGTGTCAAAATATTACTTACCTACTTAAGAGTTGACCTATTTCTTCTACCTTTCTTATGAATGGTCTGCTGTCTTAGTAATTTTTAGCTTTCGCGTTGTATTTCACACCTTTGGACCGAATGTACCATTATTATAATTTTTGTGTAAATAAAACTTTGCGAGTCCGAAAAAATATTATAGCAAGAAATTAATATTGTTTACTTCAATTTACCAAGTATAATTAATGACGATTCAATGGTCAGGGGTGTATTTTTTAACTTAGTCTAATGGGATTAGTCCCATTAGTAGGTACTTGTCTATTAGATTAAGTATATAAAAAACTTAGTATTTTTGATCTAATTATTAATAATCGATAATAATATTAAAAAAAACAATTATAAAATATTGTAACAACCAAATTAAAATTTAATCATTTTTTTGTTGTTGTTCAAATAAGCGAGAATAAGAAGTAGTGGAATTATAGACAATATCCATTACTATTGGTTTACTGTATTTTTTTTTTTTTTTTAATCAAATAATGAAGAACAAAATTTGTTCTTAAGTAGGAACGGACAAAGGAACTAGTTCGATTCTTCGAGGCTGGAACGAGAACTGAACCGTGTTCGTTTTGAAGGAACATTCCAAGCATTGCTTTTGGGCAAAAACGGTACTCGTATTACCCAAAAACAAAAACTGTACCTGTAAAACAACATAATGTTACCTATTATCGGATGTGAACATAATTATTTTGATAATGTACGTTGAATATTGTGCGCATACAACCAGAGTAATTGTCAATTTGAAATGTACCTTCTCGTACCTAAATAAATTCTAATTATTATATTTAAGGCGATCGGTGAGAAACGTATTTACCATCACTTCTTTTGTGTTATGACTAAACGTAAAACCATCAACTATATTATAATCACTGTCTTTCGGGGTTTTTAGTTTTGCTATAACATTGTAAAGTTTCACCTATTGTTACAAATATATTATATAAATTCTACGACCCAACAACCTTTTATCCTGTTGTGTGTACAATTTAAAAAAAAAAACATTTAATTATATGAATAATATATTACTTCAAGCGTACAAGGAAAAACCAGACTTCACTTTTTCTTTGAATTTATTAAGTAACACATGTTCAACATCCATTAATGTTTATAGAAAATAAAAAATGTTTAAAAACCTAAAATGCAGTTCGCCAAAACTAGTTTTAAAATTGCCATTTCGATAAAAATAAATTGAGTTTTCTGGTTTTTTTTCTGTATCTTTGATTTGTGTTTAAATTTTATACTGTGTTATTTCATTTGAACGATATCTATTTTTTTTTGTTTGTCAGAAAACTATATTATATTATTATGATTTGTATATTATATTATATCAACTATTATTATAATTATTGTTTTCTTATACATTCTAATCAAAATAACAGTATTGTATCAGATCTATTGTAATACTATATTATTTAAAATAAATTCTAATAAAAATGAAATACTTTATAATCGATACTTATTTATATTTTATGATGTGTACACTTGATACTTGTAATTATTTTCGATAGCACATTGTCCTTTGTGGACTACTCTGTATTAGAGTAATGGTAAGTCAATAAGCCACTCGCAAGGCAATTAGACAGTCGTATGCACTAAATAAATCAATCTGTATTGGTTATAATTCATAATTAATTTTATATCATAAGGTATACTTGATTTTAATTAATTAATTAATTTGAATTATCAATTACCTCACAAATTTTCAATTATATTTACCAATAAAATACGACGTGAATGTATAAATTGGTCGATACATTTTTCAAATGGAATATTATAATTATTATTATTAATAATATTATATATATTATCTGATCACAGATTATTAGTTTAAGTACAGTGTACTTAAGTTCATATAGTTGTTAAATATACAGGAAAAAAAAAGTTTTTAAAAATAATTAACTATACTCTTAATAACAAGTAAAAAAAAAAAAAATTCATTGAAACAGTAATTAAGTGTTTTCTTCAAAACGTACTTATGTAATAGTAGAAAAAATTAGGATTGTTCTTCTGAAATTAGAGCCATTGGACTGTTGGTGTCGTTTTCCGAACTGTCGTAACTATTCGAAACGTCGAAACATATTTCCTTGAGATCTTTGATGTTCACATATTTAGGCGCAGAGTTCAGCGGCACTACTACGTCGCCTTTCATCATCTGTGAGCTGGTACGACGAGCCGGTTTGTTATGGACGTTGGTGTGTTTAAGCATGTCGTTTTTCTGCGTGAAACCGCGGCCACATATTGGACATTTGTAAGGCCTTTCTCCTGTATGTGTACGCATGTGAACTCGTACTTTTTCCGGCCTTCCGAATCGTTTTAAACACACTTCGCATTGGAAAGGTTTCACTGGCGCATGCACCATTTCGTGTTGACGCAAATTCGCGAGACAGCGGAATGTAGCGTTACACTGTTTGCATCCGAATGGCCTCTCTCCAGTGTGAATGCGTCTGTGAGTGTCGCGAGTTAATTTTGAATTGAATCCTTTTCCGCAAAATTCGCAATGGTGGGTTGTTTCACCTGTGTGTGTACGTTCGTGATACTGCTTGGATGATATCTGTAAAAAGACAATGAAAATTAATAAAAACTAATTTTAGAAGAACTTATTATTGACAAACCTGTGAAAATGTTCTGTCGCAAAATCTACACGCGTGCGGTTTTTCCCCGGTGTGCGTCCTTTGGTGAATGGTAAACGACAGACGATTGGCTAATATTTTTCCACATTCCATGCAAGTGAATCTTTGCCGATCGGTTTTATGTTTGGCCAAGTGGTCGAGTAGTCCGGATACACGATTGAACATTGTAGGACAAAAATCACACAGATACTCGTTTCTAGTGAAATGTGTGGCTACGTGACGCTCAAAGTGCAACATTGAATCGTACTTGGCGAAACAGTGAAAACATTCCATCTCGACAGGGTTGTGTTGCATAAATATATGACGGCGCATTCTGGTTTCAGAATCGAACACACGCTGGCATTTAGAACATTGAAATTTACCATTTTCATCGCTATCGTCTATTGATTTTTCCATTTCCATTTCTTCTTCCATCGACACATCATCACATAGATCATCAGTGCCAATACTAACTACATCAACGTTTTCAAGCTGAAAAATAAAATAATAATAATAATTTACAATAATATTCAATTTAAACATTAAAGTAAATATATATTTGAAGAATGGAAACAAAAAAGGCTGTAAGTGCCAATCGACGAGGAAATTTCTGCCTTCTTGCGTTACATTGGCGTTGCAACATACATCCTTTTTGGCTGAAAAAATAATTTTTGGACAAAATGGTACTTAAAACCTTTTTTGATTCCACTCTTCATTTTACAACTTACAGAATAATCTTCTTCTTTAACCGTTAAAATATTTTCTTCTTCGCCTGAATTTATGTCCATTATTTCCACTGACTCTGCATTATTTTGATCCAAAGCGATTTCTTCAATAGCGTTATCCTCATTGTCCTAAAAAATTCAATCAAAAAATGAAACGATAGTGAAACTAACAAATTGATCAGATCGTAAGAGAACTTAATACTTACAAAATTATAAGTATTGTTTTTTATTTGTCTTTTCTTCATAACCTCTTCAAGCGTTTTATTCATTTCTATCGTAGATACAATAAGATGGTGACAACTTTCTAGTCGACTAACACAAACACTACATAGCTTAAGAGGTAGATTATCATTGACTGATACCTAAAAAAATATATATATTGTTAGTAAAATGTTTTTGTGCAATTTAATTATAATTAAACATTCAATTTAATTACTGTTATTGGTAAATAAGTATTAATTTTTTCTTCTAATTGCAAAGCAACACCATCTCGGCCGAATATTTCAATATCGCCCGTGTTCCCACACGTTCGACAAATGTCCCATATTTTATCTTTTTTTTTGTTCATTTTGATTAGATTTCTGGAATAAGAAACAAATAATTGATTCAATTGATTTTATTATTTTTTATATAAGTGTATCATATTAATTATAGCTGTTGAAGGTGGAATAATTTGACTATCTAAGTGTTAATATATTTTAACAGTTTTATAATACTGTTCTGCTAGTTTATGTGTCGGATCATTTAACGTTCAGCTAAAATATTGTTTGGTGAAAAAATAGATTTGCAATTTCTTATAGACTTAAATGTTTCTCGGCCATAATACAATTCTGTAGAATTGAACAGTTTAGTGTTTCTGACTATTTAGTTGTTGGCTAAAATATTGTTCGGTGAATGAACTGTTTTGCCGATATACTTTTGGTTTATTTACGCATTTTCATCAACGCTAAACCAAAGCACCGGTGCTTTGCTGGCTTTTAGTTTTTTTTTAATTCAAATTTAAGTTTAAAACAAAAATGATCAGCGCAAGGATGATATTTATGTTTAAAGTTATTATTGTTTTTCGCCTCGTTTATATTTTGTACACAAGCAAACAACGCTAAAGTCGATCACCTATTTTACGCTATACTCGTTGATTATTGATTAATTAATAATTTCATATGGTCGGTACGTAAATTGTAATTACATTTTTAACAATATCACGCCGAATCATTACCGGGTTTAAGCGTTTGTACGGAATTTAATAATTAGATTTCGGATCCAATGACATTTCAAACAACGGCGCAAAGACATCACTAGTGCAATCGCAAAGACCATCATAACAAGGCACGGGCCTAAGTACGGTTATTTTATATTATTTCCTATAGCTGCTGTTGTTTTCTTAACTTACCCAAGGAGAATTGATAATAGACAGACCGCGTTCAGTGGGTACACCGTACGCCTGTAATCTGGTTCAACGGATCTCCCGACAAACGTCTCCGGCCAACGGCTTTGGCTGCACAATGTCGGCTTGCAATACAAATATTAATGTGATTTCGATTATTCGGTCGAAACTAAAAAGGACATTACTTTTTTTTGTTTACAACAGCATACGGCAAAATATCTGATAATGCAGTGTTTCGACGGGATGTCAACAAAATCAACGGTCGGCGGCCATTTTCAGCGCCCGTCGCCTAACCGCAAACGGTTAGGACCAAAGTCACAGGATCCCAAATGATAACAAGTTTTCCAGTTACCACAAGCTACCAAGTTATACCATTTGTAGAATAGGCAGCTGAATGTATGGCTGAGAAGTGAGAACGTATGAGTTATGACAGTGTGCCCAACGCGTTACACCGTTCAATTTTCCACCGACCCTAGAAACTCTTGGCGGCTTATCGTTGCTTGCCGTCGGGAATCGAATGTTTCGTTATGTAATAATATAATAACGACAAAAAAAACAAAACAAATTATCCTACAACGTATTGTACTTTATAGTTTATTCCCATCGTGAAGCAAATTGACGTTTGGTTTGAAGTTTGAACCGTACGACAATTACGTTGGACAAACGACATAATAATATTAATTTAAAATACATTACACAACACCTCCTTATCACGAAATCCTATTGGCCGCGGTCAGTGATAAACGATAATGTTATTATTATTAGCTGTTTTGGTTTTGTTGTGAAACGATAGGAGCTGATGGCGACCAAAGTAAACGATGCGATCGAATATTTTGATTAAAATAGGTATATTATCCAATACAATTTAATAGGTGCTGCTATGCCTTTTAACGAGTCATGCAAGTGCGTTTGACCGTCTGAGTCGACAATCGCTCGATACACTTTGTTTGTTCCATGTGTGGGACTCGACGACAATGGTGTCCATTGCGGCTGTACAGACACTAAAGTAAGTGTGATTATCTCAATGTCTGAATTGTGTTTTTAATACATTTATCGTTTCATTGACGTAGAAGAGCTGATCAACTCAAAGAACAGATTTGCGCGTCCAAGGACCTAAACAATGCCGAAACCTTGGCCTATCAACAACAGCTGAGGGTATGCGGTTGATACCAGTCGGATATGTCGTTTTTACTAACGGCGCTTTTTCTGTGATATTTCAGAATGTCTACAAGCAATTGTTGACGTTGGACCTGGAGTATGCGTTGGACCAGAAAGTCGAACAGGACCTATGGAACCACGGTTTCAAAAACAACATAAATAAACTACAGCAGCTCGCCAAAGACAAGAAGGTATTAGACGTTGGGTATATTTGTTAAATCGACCGCTAACATTATTTTATTATAAAAAATGCTTTTTTATTATATTCGATTAGAATGCAAAACGCAATGAATGGAACGCACTATTCTTATCTTGTCTCGAATCAGCTTATGGTTTTTACCTTATGCTTTTACACAGCATATGCCTGACATTCGATTTGGATTTACCATTTCATAAGTATGTTCCATTTTTAAACATATCTTTATGTATACCTCTGTCATACATCAATTTTTTTGCCACAGAAAACTAAATGATTTTTGTAATGCGGATGACAAATTACTAAGTTCGACGTACCTAAGAAAACCTCAAAAAACCTCTTGTAATTACATATGTCAATATTGTTTAGTGCATTTAGGCGATATTGCTCGTTATCGTAACCAGAATAGACAGGCAGAATCATTTTATAAGTATGTAATATATTTTTGCACATTATCATGACTCGAATATGTTAAACTTGATAAGTATGTTTTTTTTTATAAGTTTTTTAAGTTATATACTTTTATATTTCAATATAGGTATGCTATCCAATTAAGTCCAAACAGCGGTCAGCCTTACAATCAATTGGCATTGTTAGAAGCATCCCGGGGAGACAGTTTAAGCACGGTTTTCTTTTACATGAGAAGTATAAATGTCAGACATCCTTTTTTAGCAGCCGTCAACAACCTAAATGTTACTTTAAACAAGTTTATCAACTCTAGGTAAGTAATAATACCTCTAGACTAAAAAAAAATTGTGTCACTTTAAGTTATTAATTAAAACTCTACTTCAGTCAAGACTTGCTGTACAAAACCAAAATTTCAAGTACTGAATTTATACAACTATTTCTTGCATTTCACGGAATTTTGATGTCTAACGATAGTATGAAACGCCAAGCTTGTGAAGGATACATTAAAAGTCTTGCTTTATCATTTACTCCTCTTATTGCGACTGAATCGTTTACGTCGTTTAAGCTTCAACAGGTAATTGTTTAGTTAATACAGTCACATCTTTATTTATTTTTTGGAATTAACCAGGATTGTAATATGAAAGTTAAGGTACAGTCACTGGTAAAGAAAACAATAATAACTTTACTAGAAAAACACTTTATTGTTAGAAACATTTTTTTTTTGGAATTTTTTAGTTAATACACAAATAAAAATATATATATATATATTAGTTAGTTTTTTTTTCAGACCAAAGTACATAAGTATCCTTCCGTTCTAACTACTAAAGGGATTATAGAAATTTCTATTTGTGTATTAACTAAAAAATTATATATATATATAAATATTTTCAAGTAAGAATATGAGAAATAAGTAAAAAGTCAACACAATGTTGAAAAAGAAAATATACTAAGAGTACAAATAATCAAGTTTGATAATAAAAATATTACTAGGCTTGAATTTATGAAAGAAATATTGTTTAAATATTTGCTCATTGAATAAGTAATTATTTATAAGAATAAGATAAATATAATTACCTAGGTTCTATACATTGAGATTAATATAAGTCATAAGATAAGAATTCAGTTGAAAAAAATTAGTTAAGTTTATACTAAAAAACAAAAATGTTCAGGAGACTTTCCAACCAACCTCCGTGTAGTGTCTCCTGGGTAATGCAAATAGGCTTCAGTATTTAATTTTTATCTGGGACTCAATTTATTACTTCCTTTTTAATTTTTAGACTCAATTTACCTAAAAATGTTAAAATGGGACTCAATTTACCAAATCTGTATGAATATTACCTCATGTTGGCATAGTATTCCAGCAAAAAAAATTCCAATAGCTTAGGATTTTTTAATTTTGTCCGAACCTTACAGATGGTTGCTATCAACATGTTGGCTTTTAACTACATTGGTAAAGAAACTCCATCAATGAAAGTTCATTGTTATCCTGTTGTCGATTTATTGGCTACCTTCTTAAATGCATTTTTACTTCCACTATATACTATAAAAGAAGGACAAAACTTCTCGGACTACTACACATTACCAGCAGGTAATATATTTAAAATAAATACATTTCAACAATTAAAACAACATATTTTATAGTTAAACTTATTTTGGATTGGATACGTAATGATATAAGCGTTTTAAACTCTCCTGGATTCAAAACACGTCTACAAATTTGGCCAGGTCTCTGCAAACTTCTCAATGGCTTAACAACAGATTTAAATCATGAAAACTGTAAGTTGTGTTTATAAATTACCATAATTTATTTATTTAAAAAGTTAAATCTTGTGTCTTTATTAGATTCACATGTACCATTGCCAGAAGATAGATTACTTCAAGGTTTTGTGATGTTAGAATCGACACATTCAAAACTCATGTAAGACAAAAACATTGGTTACTACAATTTTTGTATTCTTATCATACAAATTATTGACACTATTTGATTGTTATAGATTCAACTCAGACGACGACCATACAAAAGTGAACATAAATGCATTGAGAGCTAGTCGTTTGATAGAATTTGGCGTTTGGTTTTCTTCCGCTTCGTATTCATTAATTAAAGCAATGTAATGAACACTGTTGATTGTTTCCAAAAATCTATGAATTATCTCTAATCGTGTTAATTTTGTACAGACCAAACGAAACTGGAAAATGGAATTTTATTGTTCCAAATAGTACGGCCGGATCTCATTCAATTGATCTTGCAGCTGATTTAGAAACATTGTCATCTTATCAACAACGTCTTTTGATAAATTCTAGTATGTTGATGTCACCTTCATCGATCGGTGAGTAGTATTTTTGCTGTTTTCGGTTAAAAACAAATTGACGTCAACTAACTAGTTAAAAATATTTAACATTATAAGGTGACAAAAAAAGTGGTATTTTAAAGTTTCAATCATCAAATAACTCTGATACCACCAAACCAGTACTGCGTAATGATGACTTAGAATCGGTTATAAAAAAAAATCAAGAAGTAGAGGCTAAACAGGTACGACCAATGATTAATTGAATAATATATTTAAATATATATAGCGTTTAAGTATAATCATTATCTTTTCTAGGTCAAATTTCGATCTCCTTCGCCGAGTTCATCATCTAGTAGTGAAGCAAAATGGTCCTTAGAAGATCTTGAACAGACATCGTCCGAGTTTGAGAAAGATCAAAATGCTATCAAACCTACACCGATTGGCTATCAGTTGCCACATCCTGGCAGTCACTTAAAATCTAATATCAACCCTGTAATGAATGCTTTCAACCAATTGCATATGAACAACTTTCCTTCGTCATCGGACAACTCGTACAGGTTTAATCAACCATTACAAAATTTTCCTGCGTGGCCTCAACCACCCGCCAACTGGATTGACAATATTAAACAAACGCAAAAGTAATTAACAAATGTTTAAATTGTTTATTTTATATGTCTTGATTCTTATGATATTTTACGTTTATAGCAATCAACAAAAACTTCCAATGTTTCCGTTTGTACAAAATCAAGCTCCAATAGGACAGTTTTCAAATACCACATGGTCAAATGTCAATTCTCCTCAAATCTCTCACAATCCTCAACTACAAAACAATATGAATGTAATAATTATTTTTTTCATTTTATTTAGTTTGTGGTGTTAGGTATTTCAATAGTCTAATGGCTTATGCATTCTTAAATTTTAGCATTTTAATATAAGAGACGATCAACAGCGCAATTATTACAGTAACACTAACAATAGCAGTCCATATTATTCACTGTTTAACCAACCTAACGTCATGATGCCTCGAAACATGGACGCCAACCAAGAGGCAAACAATAGATCATTCTCTACGTTTCATCAACAGGTATTGCATTGTGTGATAGTGTAATGCTATGGTGTTACATTGTATACTAAAATTGAAATGTCATTAATTTGTTAAAATTTAAATCAGTGTTGGGAATGTTTACGTATCGTGTCAAAAAAATACATTCTCAGTGGTTGCGTTCACATGTTGCTTTAATAAAAAAATATATATATACTCAAGAAAAGCAGCAGCTGTTTTGCGGTTAATTTATCAACACTATTGATTCAACTCTAACCTATCTTATGTAATAAAACTTTAACTTAACATTCTGATTTTTTCTATGGAGTAATCAATTTAGCTAAAAAGAATATTTATAAAGTAAAATCTTTATAATATTCAAATATGTAATTCCTCTTTTAATTAGAAAATCAAATAAAATACTAGGTTGTTATTTGTCTTTTAAAATATTATTTTCAAGCTTAACACCAAACATTATTTTTGATAATTTAATATAATAAATAGGTATTTAATTTTAAAACTTTTTTAGCAAAAATAATTATTTCATAAAAAAGTAAGCAGTAAAATAGCTGCAGAATAAAAACTTGATCATCTTGTATAGTCTTTAGATATTCCATATTACATACAACAAAGATATTATTTTATTCTGTAAGGAATAATGGGATATAGTATTTTCAATTGAATATAAAAGCTATCAGCATCACTTGTTTTTTCATATTTATAAGCCTAAAAACAAAAATCTTTGTCATCGAAAAACTTTAAAAAAAAATAAAAATTTAATTATTTACATTCGTCCAAAAATTAAAACGTGTTTGCTGAATCATTTACAAAAGTCAAGTGTGTTGAATATCAAATGCTTTCTTTCCAAACACCGATTTCAATTTTCAACAAATTTTGAATAACTACTAAACGTTTCAAACTAATAATTTCTGTAAATAAGTTATGCCTATTATGACTTGTCAACTTTTGTTGCTTTACACAAATATATTTGATTTAAACATGTTTTTCCCTTTAGTCTTTATGGTCGGGTCCAGGGCCTTCACCACTCGAACGTCTATTGGAACAACAGCGTGGCCGCGGTGCTCCCGAAGGAGGTCTCTAAATATGTCGTAAACATAATCAAGTATTTGACTTGACAAAAAGATGTCTACAAGTTTAGTTAAGAATGTCTGTCTTTGGAATAGAATATAACGAATAAAATAAAACAGTTATGAATTTATCATCACAGAAACCATCAAATAAACGTTCGACCGGATTGAACATCGAACCTAGTAAGAGCATTACCTACCCCAGCTTATTCTGTGCAACAGCATTATTTATCTAATAAAATATTATCATAACATTGATTTATCGATAAAAATAAATTAATAATCAAAATGAAATGTATTTTTTATATGTAAACAATTTGTATTGTTTTTGATGCAAAATTACATCATAATCTTACATTTTTTTGTTTTTTTTTTTCATGATTCATACATATTGTTTTTTACTACGCAGAAATAGATAAATTAATAAAATATTTACGGATAATAAGTTTTTTCTCGAAATTAAACAATAATAGTTTTAAAATTAAAAGTCACTTTTTAATTCATCTTGAAAATTCTTTTTTTTTTTTTTATGTTTTCTACAACTTGATTCATTTTTTTTTTTTTTATATCGATGCACATAATATCTCATGTGGTAATATCCAATGTTGTTAAAGAGTTAGTAAGAATTGTTTTGATTGTTGTTTACATACTATTATGTTAAGAGTAATTTTTATTCTTACTTCTGTTTTTTTTTTTTTTTTTTTAGAAGAAAGTGCCTAAATAATAATGTGATACATAGTAACAAAAATCTATAATAAGAAAATGATTGTCAATTGAATATTTTTAGTTTCATACGAAAATTTATGATTTTAATGATTCGTATTCATAAAAAAAATAATCTAATATTGTTATTCAATTTTCGACATTTGTATCGATTGATATTTGAAAAATGACTTTCGGGTATCATATTTTAATATATATATAACCACGTATAAATATATATATATTTTTTTTTTAAAGAATTAACAACTATATTTTATCTTTCTACAATGATTAAATAAATGTAGAAATAAATGTTTGCAACATTGTTAATATTTGTTATAAATTAAGGGTGAAATTGTTGTATACTTGAACTAAAAATTAGTTCCTGTACAATACCCGCTCGTTTATTATGTTCAAGTTTTTTTTTTTTTGTTAATTTGTTTTAATAATAATCAACCTAAACGGTATATGTACTTCTACTTTCTTTTTTTGTATACAACTTCTGTTCTAATTTTGTACTTTATTTTATTAAACTGTTTTTAAAGTATTCCATTGTGGTCAGTGGAAAATGTTTAATAATTAACTGCATAATTGTTTTTATAAAGTTACAGAACCTCTTTAAAATAAATGATGTATTTAGTTTAAACTCATAATAGATGTTTTCCTATGATATAACTTATCACAATTTTTTAGTACTCGATAAAAAAATGTTTCGATTTTATTCATTTATATGATTGATCAAAAATTATTTTTTACAAATTACTACAATTTCTATAGATTAATATTAATTAAATACAATAATAAATATATATTTTAAAGCTTAAAATGGCATATTCTATTTGGACAGCATTAACAACTCTAGACGAACAATTTTTTTATTTATTTCAACAATAATGTCTTTGGTATTTGTTTCCCCTAATTGCACTGCAATTTTCAAATGGGTTTTTTTTTTTTTAGAATTGTATAAGTACTTTATAATCTAGTTGGGTTGTGCCTTATAATTGTCGCTCGTTTAGTGTTCTCATTCGAATCTGTTTATCGACAAGTAACGGTAAATATATTTACGTTTTAAAAGGCTTTTAAACAATTGAGTTTTTTCTTTGTAAAACTAAACTAAATGTGCATTTTGATTTTGGATCAGATTTAAAAACCTCAATGTATGAACCATTACTAAGTTGTATCTTAACTCTTTAAACTTTATAAAATAATTATTAAATCTCGTTATTGACCAGTCAAAATTGCTAGCAAATTTATCTTCATATAAAAAGTCAATTGAATTTATAATTACACGCTTTCATTAAAAGTTGATAGCCCACTAGAAATTACCTACTAAAAAAATAAGTAAATATTGGGTTATTTTATAGTACTGTACAAAATAACACAAATAAAAATGTATTCCAAAAAGGAAAACTACAAAAATTTAATTAGTTACTGTGAAAATTCAATCTCTTCTTCCAATTGGCTAATGCACTCCAGTAATATTATAATATTTTGTTGATAATGTGTTAACATTAACGCAATTTACTAAAAAAAAAGTTTAATTTTTTTTTCAATTACCAAACTTTTTTCTTTACAAAACAAGAGGTTCTCTTTTTTAGGCTCAATGATTTTTTTTTTTTTAATAATATCCACATATGCTTCATAGCTGGATAACAATTTGAATATTGTACTGCAGCATAAACAACAATGTTTTCCAATAATAAAATTTTTAAATATCAATTACTTTTAAGAGATATAATATTATATATTATGTATCGAGTTACTTAATCACACGACGCCATCCTTAAACGACTGAATAAATTATTGTATATGTAAGATTTCATATAAGTGTATTATAATATTATATCAAGGAATTCATCAAGAAACCATCTAATGATGGCAGCGTTTTTTTGTACGACAGTGCAATTATTTCGGATCATAACCTTTGACCTTTTTGTCGAGTAGGTATTTAATTTTTACAATGTTATGTAATAATAAATAAATAAATGTACGTATAATCATATGGATTGATTATTCAAAAACCGACCGTTTTATACTTGATACTTATTTTTTCTTAATTAATGTTATCTTTTCAATAATTTATTGTTAGAAATTATAAAAAACAACAAATGGGTTGAGCCCGTCCCTTTTTTTTTTTGTTAATAAAACGTAAACTTGCACCTCAATAAATTACGATAGTTAGCAGCCTCGGTGATGTCATTGAAAATACACAGGCTATGGTCCACGGATGAGACCCACAACGATAACCCCGTGACACAACAATAACACTATAGCGAGTACGGACAACGAAAAAAAAATTTAAAAAATAGTAAGTACATTTAAACGTATACAGATAGGGCAGCATTTGAAACCAAATTTTATACGCCTCTAGTTTTCAAGGACTAGGATCGTTTTTGATGACTGAAGTAAAAGAGGTATTGTTCAGGGGCCATTTCCTATGTAGATGTAGTCTTCTATGTAGATATCTATTCAGAAATGGCATCATAGTAAAACAGTTAACAATTAGTTGTCAAATATTATAAGGTTAGGTTAGGTTCGGTTTTTGGCAAAGGCTTAGGAGATTCTTAAACTACCATCTCCCTCTTTGCCACGGTGACTCCCACTTAAGGCGGTATATTATGTAAATTTTAATTAGCACTTTTGGTTATAAATAAAAAATCTGTTCTTATCATAAATAATAAAATATCAATTCAAATAGCCGACGTCCCGCCAGTCGCCTAATCGTCTCTTCCATGGGATTCGTATAATACATCTGGCTCATAGACAAGCATAAAGGCGGCTTGGGCAGCGAGTGGCGTTGGCGCGCGTTTTTATCATGTCACGACGTTATCGTATCAAATAATAACGGTGACGGCGTGTGTTGTTTTTATTGCCGAGTTTGTACTTTCCTTAAATTAAACGTAAAATTATTATTATTATTATTAATTACACTGTTGTTCATTGTCATACGTGGTTTTTTATTCAATAGTGTTTCCCGGTGTGTCAAACGTTATCATATATATAGTAATAAAAATTAAAAACGGCGAACGGCGTGTTTTGTTTTTTTTGGTGAATTTTTGTCTTTGTAGTTTGTTATATTATATATATACAATTATATATTAAACGTATAATAGTTATTATTAATTACATATTTGTCCGTAATTCGCTCACGGTTTTCGTTCAAGAGAAATCGACGTGTTTCCCGGTGTGCAAACATTACCTATTAATATGCGTCGTTGGATGTCGGTACGTTTTTTAGATTTAGAATATATATAATAATATATAGTATAGTAGTATATTACATTTTGCTTAAACCAAATTATCAAATTAATTAGATGTACAAAATTCTTATCTTTTTCAAACCGCTGTGCGTGGTGATAACGATACATTTCATATTTTTTGTGGAAAAATTTGTTGACATATATATCTACTATTTATTTTCAATTAAATAACTTACTGACTTATTTTATAAATATGTAAATTATTTGTTTTAGGCCAATACTATAGTGAAATCATAACCGACGCGTGTCCGTTTAGAAGATTGATTGCTACTTCTATCTACTCTGTCTTTAACTAATACAATAAGTAGTTATTATTGTTACCATCGGTTACAACTGTTATCCTATGCCGTCACCGATTAATTTGCCTGCGGCCAACAGAGAACTTACACCGCAGAAGTTGATTTTTTGTTATTTATGAAGTATTTTTTAATAATTAGTGCCTATCTAATCTCTATACTCAACCCTAATTTAAATTGACAGTTTTTTTTTCATTATACAGTGTCTTAACCGACTTCTCTTAACGCTTTAGTTTCTAAACGTGCACACACATACGATACTGATGTACAAATAATTAAAACATTAATTATTTCACATTTTTTTGTTAAAGCTGTACAATTATGATCACTACATAGAATACAAATTATTTTAGTTTTTTTATATATTTTTTTTTAATGATATTTTATTTCACGTTAAATTAACATTATTTGAATACATTTTAATTATTTCATTTAGTAGGATGATTTACCTATATAAATATGTATGATCACTATCGAGTACTATCACTAACCGTTTAGGGTTTTTAAAATTGTTTTTTGACTTAATTTGTGGTTTTAATATTTTAACTTTGGAAAATTCAGACATTGTAGGTAAGCTATGTGGAAATCAACAATTCAAGCTAAAAAATCTAATAATTGTCATTAAAGTTGAAAATATAGTTTGTATTCTTTGAAATTGACAAACATATAACTTTACTTTTTTAAATCATGTATCTGATTTCACTTTCCAGATAATTTTTTTTTTAGGAAGTATTATTGTAAATTATTTAGTAGAAAAACATTTATATACCTATCTAAAAATAACATAATACATGGATTAATTAAAAAAAAGTTTACTGTTGTTAAAAATAATAATATATATATATATATAATGAAAAATATTTTTTTAAATAATAATAATAGTATATTCGATGCACTGAATAAAAATTGTTCGGATCTAAAAACAATCAATTTTTAGTTTTTTACACCTGGGGCTACTTTTGTGTGCTTAAATTTATATACATTATTGACATAAAATATCTATGTGTTCATTCCGCTCTAATAAGAAATAACTATATTATATGATCTAATTTATTTTAATCACATTATACATAGCAACATCTTATGCTATTCATATGCTCTAATCATTCCAGTTTTTACTCCCTGGCTTTATAATACTTATTCAACCAACGAATAAATGCATTTTTACACAGTCTTATAATAAAAAATTATAGGTATGTTTTTTAAAAGCATCAGCAGAAGTCCCTTTATCATCTTTTTAAATTCTTAAAACAGTTGTCTCTAGATTATTTTAGCGTTCAACATTTTGTGTTCTTAGACCGTTTTTATGAGTAGCAATCAAAAATCAAAAAAATTGTCTGAACATTTGTTTTTACTAACTATTTAATGTTAATTTTTTATATTATATGTATGTATATATATTTTTTTTTTGAGCTGCTGTTGATATAGCTTGAACTAAATTAGATACTTATTAATATTGATATTTTGGTTTTTTGGTGGTGTGATTTCAGACATAGGGCATTATTAAAACATAAAAATAAAATATTAATTTCAAATCATTTTATTGCATTTTAACATTTTGAAGCATGGTGGTATAAGTAATATACCACTTTTTCAAAAAATAGCCTACTCTCGCACAGTGGTATATATTTATTACCACCTTCATAATCATGTTCAGAGAAAATCGGAGATAAAAATGCTGTGCTTCAAAGGGTTAAAATTTATATTGAAAATCGACATTTAATTTACTATTTTATTATTTATAGAAGTATAATATAAGTATTCGCTCCACCCTAAAAAAGTATAGTAAATCTATAGATTTTGCTATATTTTTTTAAATTGATACTACATAATGAAAAATAAAATTATTTAAAAATTTTTTATTATTATCATTTAGTAGGATGAATTGTTGGTTAGCCATCTAAAAATATATCAACATATGGATTTATACCTTTCATGGTTTACTTAAAAAAGTATTAATGTATATATCAATTTATCTATTATGTATAAAATATGTCTGGATAAGTATCAAATAATTTAGGTATTTTATGCACTGAATATTATTATTATTATTATCATTTTGTACTCTGACCGTTTTTATAATCACCGCCGGACACTCGAATAATCAAAAATATTTGTTACAAATTATTTCAGACATTTCATTCATGTTTTGTACTCTTGAGTTCCCAAGTAACCGTCACACAAACATATCATTCTTCCACACTTTTAAACTTCTAATAACCAACAAACGTCAGACCTTAAGTATCAAAGTACCTTTAGCATTAAAGGTCCAGATCCAAAAACTAAAAGATTTGCATCGAGACATTTCATTTAACCTCTCTTTGGACATTTTTATAAGCTCTGCCAAATAGTCGATCAATAAAAATGTATTTATCACTCTTCACTTCTTTCCCTTTTAAGTTTTAATATAAACTAGACATTTCATTCATGTGATTTACTCTTGAATTCTTAAACACTTATGAACTTCTGTTAAACCACCAGACCTTTAATATACATATTTAATGCATTATGCTGTTGGTTACATTCTAAATGTACAGTACGTCATTACCGAATAGTGGCATAGACGGTGATTTCTGAACAAATAAGGATTTTAATTCAACCAATATCTAGACATATAACGTATACGTTTGAAAAAGTTTTGTTGCACATGGGAACACCATATCAGACATATAGCCGACTGACCTCTAAACATTTCTATCTATTTTTAACCATAGCTATTACCAAGCCCGTGAAGTAAACAACACCTCAAACAATTCAAATAAAAAAAAAAAATAATTGTACTTTAAGCAAGTAGCACACTCGCTTTAGTAGTAGGACATTTCTGATCTGACAGATAGCTAGACTTGCACTACAGTTAACCGGTACTTAGCTTGCAAAACACTTTTCCGAAACTAAGTATAAACTATGATTACTGGATAAAGGTACGATGAATTATAACGGTATACTTTAAAACGTAGTGAGCTGACTCGACACCGTGGCCGGCGTAGCCGGGCACCCCCCTCGGAACCGCTGTGTACAGACATATAACATACTACGTTTAAACAAATTTTGTTTCACAAAGGCAAACCTTAACAGACATTTAGCTGACTGTCCTCTAGACATTTTTATCTGTTTTCAACTCATAAAGTTAAGCGGGATTACACCAGCCTATATTGATGACGTGGTCTATAATATAACAACTTTTACCAAAGACAATTTCCATTATACACTTTTTCCCAATGGCCAGCTTCTTATCAAGTCTCTTTAACTTTTTAAAATTTTAATTTAAACTTAATTTTAAACCTGTTACCTCCTCATAGACTGTAGCCTACAAACCTAGGATATTTTTAGTTGGCGGAGCGAAGCGACGGCGCCGAGCGAGCGAATGCTAAAACACTCGGAGACCTGCCGTCCTTATCAGTTTTCAACACGAATTCCGCCCGCTGATAAGGAACTGGACATTGGTAGTAAAAATTGGTAAAAGTGGTAACAACCCAAGTAAGCAACACCGGACACTTGATATTTATTAACCGTCTAACTTCTAGACTATTCTTTTCAATTTAAAATTTAAAAAAATTACAGATACATAGCTAGACTTACTCTACACTTAATCAGTACTTAGCTTGCAAAATATTTGTCCATAACTAGGTATGAATTCTGATTACTAGATACAGCCTATAGGTACCGTGAATTATAACGTCATTCCTTTAAGACGTATTGCGATGGCTCGACACCGTGGCCGGCGCAGCCGGGCACCCCCCTAGGAACCGCTGTGCACTGACTTCCACATACCGTGGCCGGCGCAGCCGGGCACCCCCCTCGGAATCTGTGACCTCCCCGAAAATACTTTGCAGCGAGGGGACGTGAGCGTGCCCGGCGTAGCCGGGTACAGTACCGGGAATCTGTGACCTACCCGCCCGACTCGGGGGCCTGGGGGCGGAGCCCCCAGCTAGAGCGAAGCTCTAGTATTATAATAAAAGTATATAAAAAAGCCAGTACAGTGGGGCCGGGCATAGTGGGGACGGAGAGGTCACAGGTCTACAGATTTTATTATAACTGAATGTGATAAATCACTTTTAAATAAATGCTTTGATGCGAATCTGTGGATAGTATGTTCAAACCAGTTATAGCGGTTTAGAAGATATCGTAGAACCAGCAATAATGTACTTAAAATTTAATATTTAGTCTTGTGCAGGGTGGATACGATAAGGGTTGATCGTCTGTCTATAAAAATGTACTGTCATAGTTACCTATATATTGTAATTAACAATATAATGAAAATATTTTCAGTACCTAGGTATTGACTGTTGATTCACTCACACAAAGCAACCTAGAAACTGACTACGGCTAAAGTGTAAATTTACCCTATTTTTGGTGCTTTTCCTTAATAAAAAAAATTTTACTAAAGATTTTTGAGAAAATTGTATATGATATAGTTCCATTTTAGATCTACCTTCGGTCTAATTTTCAGAACTAAACCTCTAAAACTTTACTTGAAAAAGTGAAATAAAGAAAAAAATTCTACCCTTCTAGGGGAAAGGGTTTATGATATTTTTTTAGTTTGTTAATGTTCATCGATAGTACTATGTTTGAAGAACACCTCATATAAATTTGGAACTTTTTCGACCATTTTTAAAAAAGTTATAGAGCATCGTAATTACAAATTTTAAGTTGAAAAATTTGTAAATTGTTTGGGTGTTTTTCTCGATTTTGATAGGGAAGGGGTGACTTTTTTTAATTTTTGGCCTATTAAAGTACCTTTCAGGTTTATGGGCGTACCTTGGCTTTTGTGGTTCTCCCCAAAGGGGCTCCCCTACGACCACGGACCGACTAGTAGCGCTAGGCGCTAATTGCGGGCCGGGGAAGGTATGTCGCAATACCTTTCAGGTATGATCTCTGATCTATAGAGTTGCTACACGAAGAAATCGGTTCAGCGGTTTACGAGATATAAAAACCCATCATTGTAAAAACAATACCTTCTCAGCTCCGCACCGAAGCTAAAATGTTTTATGAAAATGTGTAATCTTTCTCGACACAGTACAAACCTGTGGCCACAAGTTACCTATAGAGAAGTTATTGTTATTTGATTGACATTTGCGTCATCGCTAGTATTTTTGATCAATACAGGTGTCTTTTACCGTGCAAACTTTAACTAGGGGTTATTGGCTTGAAATGTGAAGAAGTAAAAGTATATTTTATAGTTACAATTTTTTCAAATTTTTTAAATCAAATTACCATTTCTTGGCACTATACGCAGTATTGTACTATAACACCCGTTGAATATGCTCTAATTTTTTTACAGGCGGTTTACATTTTTTATTTTTCTTTGCCGACGTTCCGAATTTATCATTAGACTATTTGTTAACTGTTTTATTTGTACAAACTGTCTTAAAACCAATGTCGATTGTAACATAATCGTTGATTTTGGTCCTGTATAAGTATTGCGAAAACACTGCATATTTTAGTTCAGTCGAATTATTAACAGTATATTATAACAGGATAACACTATGAATATTAAAATTATTCTTTTGCTTAGTCTAGCAGCATACGTGGCGTAAGTATTTTTTCTAATTGTTACTTTTTCAAAAGTTTTGGAAATATTTTATTAAATCTAGAGTTTTCGTGTATTCATTTTTATTTTAAATATAAACGTTGGCCTTTCAGGTGTAGTGGTAGTAATGTATCTGACGAAGAAGATAACTTTGAAGAAGGTAACTATAAAACAAGATTTAGTATAAAAAAAATTACTGAATGAAGTCGGCCTATAGTGTGATCGAAGCATATTGGTGACGCGACGTGGGTATAATAGGTTTTTTTGGTAATTGTTATGACTAAATTTGTAAATAACCTTTGATGGGCAATTATGGATGGTAAAAACTGTTAATTATAAATAAAAACATATTTTAACTTTTGGATTATACGATTATTTGTGGTGATAAATAATTAAATTGAAATTTGAAAAAATAAATAGATGCATAAATAAATAGTATAAATAACCATAAACCCATAAATAACCATACAAATAATGATGAATAAATTACCTAACTATTATTCTTGATTAATTTAATTTAATCATGACTAACTTAAATATTTCCCACGATTAACTCTAACCATGGTTAATATTTTTAATCATTGTTATAATTTTTTTATTGTAATAATCGATTGATTAGGATATAATTAATTTGTATTAACCAAGTAGATTTGCAGAAAACAAAAAAACATAAAAATGTCTTATTTTAAAATCTGTTTATCTCCATTTATTTTGTAAAACGAGTTCTACGTAGTTTTTTAGCTAAAATCCTATTTTTCATTAAAAAATAAGTCAAACGCTAAATAATTGTTATAAACGCATAGACTAGTTTTTTTATAAGTTAAATGAAAACATAAATAAATAATTATTCCATTGTACAACAATTTTTTTTTAAGTCACTAAAACTTTATTCGGATGTATATAAACATGTTAATATTTTAATCATGACTAATATTATTCGCACATAAAAGTTAAAATTTGTATTACTGACTAATTTTGTTTATTATTATTAGATTAAAAAGTTAACTTTATATATTTACCTTAAATAAAAAATTCCCAACTGGCAACTATGCATGTCAATAATTTTTTTTGACAATAATTTATTAAAAGTTTGAACCGGTCGATTGAGTACATTATAAAGTTTTAAACAAATCAACTAATAACTAGTAATTTTGGACTACATTCTAGATAACTTGCAACTATTTGGGACTTCGCCGCAACCACTCGAATATAATAAATACATTTATTACAAAGGATTAAAAAATATGAAAAATAATCGCTATACCGACAGTAAGTAGAATTTTGTTATTTGGTATTTTCATTATCAACGCTAATCATAAAAATTTGGCATAGTTTACCCGAGTTTTTGTGATCCGAAATATCTATTTAGGGGCTTGTCATTTATCTATCAGTTCTATCTAAAACCATCTTTGTTGCTACATCGATTTTTTCATTATCTCATCTCTTTTTGTGTTATCCTATCGCCTGCTTTCACTTTTTTATCAGGACTTTCGCCTCCAGATCTCTATTGTGGTCTTTATTTGTTTAATTCTGGAATAAGGCATTGCTGTCTGGAACACTATTTCCTCGAACTCCATTATATATTAAAAACAGTAAACGTTAAAAAAACGGTCCATGATTAAACAATAAAAAAATACTATTGTACCTACGTACTGTTAGAAAGTAAATTAAATCGTACAAGACAATATTTATGAATGGTTAACTAAGTAATGATGATTTTTAATGATTTAAGTTATTATATTTTTACATTATACCCGGTTGATTTATCGTCAGGTCCAAATATATGTATATATGAAGAAGGAGTGATCATCAACAACAAAAAAATTCCAATGGATATTGGAAATAAAGAATTTCGTCCAATTGTAAAATATAATAAAAAGGATGGATTCACAGTCAACGGAAGAAAAGTTCCAGCAGATGCAGACGGAAATCCTTTAAATTCACAGAACGAAATTGGTGGCTTCGACTCTGAATGCCAAGGCCCAACAGAAGGTATAAAGAAATTTCATTACCTTAAGGTCGAAACAAATAAATCATTGGAACAGATAATTTTGTCATAAATAATATGTATGAATATCTTTCCTTAACCGTATATTAATTCTGAGAAAAATTAAATCGCGCAAAGCAGTTTTGAGGGGGAAAAATTGTAATTTATCCTATAGAAATGACTGTGATAGTCTGACAAAAAAAAATGGCAATCAACAAAGTATCCTCATTACTGTATTAATAAGTATGCATTATAGTTCAAACTCTAAATTAAGATTTTTCGAAAAATTGCCTATACTTTACTCCTTAGTAATGGCCGGTGTGGTGTCTCGGAAAAACTTTTAAAAAAAAAGTTTACAATTACACTTGACCCGTAGTAGGATAATATGCAATAGTGAATCAATAGTCAACAGGTATTTGAAAAACAATTTTATTATGTTGTGCAATCCGATAAATGGGAAAATACGGGTAACCTGACGTTTAGCCCTAACGATGTCCGCGCTGTAATACAAAATTTTTAATTTTAAACACTTTATTGTCATTACAATGCTTTTATCGATATTTGCGTTTCAACCATCTACAGATACCCATCGAAGCGTTTTACTATAACCCGCAATCCCAAGCACCCAAAATAAATCCTCTAGTTGCAATTATCCTCCGGCCTCTTATTCGCTGTCGAATGTCTTGCATTAATAGACGCATTAAATTTTATAGATGAAATTGAAGAAGATAATGATGACGATGACGATGACGATGACGATGACGATGACGATGACGATGACGATGACGAAGACAATGACAATGACAATTTTACATTAGGTAAATTAAAATCAAATGTCTGAGAAAATTTCTTAAAAAATGTTCTACCCGTCAGATTATTAAAAAAAATCCCGTCATTTTCCTAAGTCTATTATTTTCTTTTTTAATTTTTTCAATTTCGCTACTCACCTAGTTCAGTTACAATGCTTGCAAAAATGGTTTTCAAATTTGGTTTCTTACCGTACGTTTATATTACCTACAATTTCTAAAGAATTTGCCGTATAAGTTTGTAATTTTTTTTAAATATTTAAGTGCGTGTAATTTTTAATTAAGTAATGTAGTGATCTGCACACTTCCGATTAGCGGTTTAAGAAATATCGTGGGTCCTGATACAAAATTAGAAAAAATAAATAAAACCAAATAGAAATGCTAAAGAATAAAAAAGCTCCGGCGAGGACATGATAGGAGCCGAACTAATAAACAAGGGAGGGGAACTGATTGTTAATGATATGTGGGAACTAATTAAGAAAATATGGCAACAAGAACAGATACCAGAAGAATGGAAGGTAGCAGTAATATGTCCCATATATAAAAAAGGTGACCCACAAGATTGTCATAATTACAGGGGTATATCACTACTCAATGCAGCATATAAAATATTATCAAATGTTATCTTAAATAGACTGAAACCATATGTGAAAGAAATAGTAGGGGAATACCAATGCAGCTTTAAACCAGGAAAATCCACAGTTGACCCTGTGTTTACACTAAGACAATTAATAGAAAAGCATTACGAGTACAAGCAGAGACGTATTTAGGAATTTTGCGCCCCAGGTAAGAAAAATAAACACCCCCTTCCGAGCTATATTTCTTCATCAATAGGTGTATTTGTAAAAAAAAAACACATGATAGTGAAACCAATGCATTCTTCGCTAAACTCATAATCTGAAAGGTATATTAGGTATACATAAAAAAAAACGTTTTTAAAAACATACTTTTCTAAAAAAAAAAAAAAAATTAAAAGTGAACTAAAAAGTAAAAATAATTTTATTACAAGAACAATTTACCAATCAATTGTAGCATATTTTATTTTAAAATTAAAAATGTTTACGCCGAGCTTTTTCAATAAAAAACGCCATTAAAAGGCGAGCAAAAGCAGTAGAATTTACGCCGAGCGTATCAATGATATCATCATAATCTAACTTCTTTGTTAAATCTGACTCTATAGTTAAAACAGCCAAAGAATTTAGCCTTTCGTCGGTAGTACTTGATCTCAAATAGGACTTGACCATTTTTAAGACTGAAAAAGACCTCTCAGCAGAACAGTTAGATGTAGGACAAGAAACAAAAATTCGTAACGCAATTTCTACATACGGTTACAAATCTTTATTATAAATTGAAGTATTTTCAAACCACAATTTCGGCCCTTGTGTACACAAATGTTTTAGTTCATTTTTTTTTACTGCCATTTTTTTTTCATGCACTTGTTAGTATTATTTTTTGTACATTAAAAATGTTCAAAAGTTATTACAAATCATTAAAAATTGTAAATTTTATCGAATCAAATACACACGATTTGCGCACATAGATATTTTATTATTTTGCAACTACTGCCTTACCTAAATAGGCCGTAAAACAAATAGTAAGTTTTAATTTAAAAAAAAACCTTGCCCAAACGATTACAGAAAATGACTACGTGTATTAAGTATGACTGTTGACGGATATGCACAAATCAAAAAGCCAGTACAATGGGTTCGGGACTTGAGTTGGACCGAGCTGGTTGAAAGTGATCAAATCACTTTCAAATAAACGTTTTGATGCGACCCAGTAGAAGTACAAAAATCGATAATACTATTGCAATGACAATAATGATTTATGTATTTAACTTACTTTGAGATTATGGCTATGTAGCAATAGGTTTTTTAAAAACCCAAACTGCCACGTTTGGTTTTTTTGTGGTAGTTTACCATTTCAAATAAAATATTTCGTACTCCATTATGATAAATATGGCAATTTTCTTCTTTTTTTTTTTTAATGACCGAAGATACTATATAAAAAAAAGATAGGTATAAAAGATGTGTCAAGAAAAAAACTCAAAATACTCGTCAAGGCCATGGCCAAGATAATCGATGACACATCCAAAAAAATTTTAGAACACCTTTTTCATCGAAACAGGCATGTAGTGTAATTTTCAAACAAAAAGGAGGAGGTTCACTCTAAAGTTCGTTCATATTTGTCGCTTTGACACGTATATAATATGTCTAACCCCGTGGGATTTGATAACCGCAGTATACTTGATGGTTCGTCTTGGCCTAAAAAATTGCCCCCAAACTTTTTTTAATTCCCACCAGTTTAAGTCTTAAATTTTTTTTTGGTGGACATTTATACGAAAAATTAATAAAATATTATTTTCAAAGAATTGGTCATTCAAAACATAATATGTTTTCATCGTAGCCCGAAGATGGGGGATGAGTAAAACAAGTACTTTTTAAACGTTTTTTTTTTTTACAGTTTTATAAAAGTAGCTCCTCGCTTCAAAGTCTTACAGCGAATCGGGAATTGTTTTTATCATTTTTACTCTTAAACCAAAAGGAGAATCAAATTTTACCCAGTTGGTTTTTGGTTTTCTTATTTAACTACACGTAACTCATTTGAATGTCGAGTATATAGATTTTTTTTTTTTTTTTTTTAAGTAATAATTTCGTACATTGGCGCGTGTGTTTCAAATGTGACACCGAGTTCAAAAGTAAACAAGAATTTAAAAACATGATTTTTTTTTTTAAAGTATTGCTCAACTTAAAAACATAAAATTATTTTACTTTAGAAATACACTTGTGTGATTTGATGTGCGTTTCCATTTCCATTGTTTACATATAAAGCAAAGTTTATAGCAATGGTCTATATAATTTTTTTTTTCACGTTCAAAAGACTGAAAACATTATTTAAATACCCATATTGAGCTTGCGTTATAATAATGTATACCCCAACGTCGACAACAAATATAGGGTCTATAGAATTTGATGGCCAACCTGACTTATTGACGATTTTTAAAATTGTTAAAAAAATACTAATTATGTGAATAATGATTGGTTTTTACCGTACAATGATATTTTTAAGTCATTGTAATTTTTTCCCTCTTCGGTATGAGAGAACGCTTCCTTTCCCTAGTTATATTTGTAACAACTGTGAATAAGTGTGTAAGTTTATTTTGGTCAAAATTGACTAAGTACGCTAGGCTGTTTGTCCGAGGCGTCTAGCACACCTGAATAAATGTCTAACTCGTTGGAACAACAAGAAAACCTTGAGAGAGATGTGAGTTATTGGCTAAGATAGGTTTTATGGCAGCTGGTCAAGTTTAAAATCGCTCCCTTGTAAAATCACTGAAATCGACTTGCACGCTTATTCACAGTTGTTACAGATATGTTCTATAATTCCGGCCAAGTAATACAGATATTATGTTAAGGCCTTATACATTTCGACTGAGAAATAAAAAATCAAAAAAAAATTTTGAAATAATGTTTACACATGATCAGAATTCAGAGTTGCGCATCATTCGAATAACACATTTTTCAAGCAAAAGTTATTCGAATAATTTTTAAAAATATTATTTAAATAGTTAGTACGTTTTTCAAGTAAATATATTTGATACCTAATATTATTTTTGTAAAAATTTAATAAATTCTACATTTAGAAAATATTATATAAAACTAGTATAAAATATAGGAAAACTATTTTTTATTCGAATAATAATTTGTACAACTTTGCATATTATAATATATACTAATTTATAACAATTTTTAAGATAATAATATTTTTAAATGCTATATTTCATTGACAATACTTGGTCGGTAACGATTAACTTAATAAATCAAATACTGGCATATTATTACACAGACATATCACCAGAGGTTTCCTCTGGCCGCACCCTCGTCACTCACTTTGCGACCACCCTTAACGTTATACTGCCTGAAATTGAGCTGTCCACAACGTCCTGTAGCGGGCGTTTGAGGCACCAGCACGTGTGCACCGTGTTCCGGTCTAACGTGCATGTGGATTTTAGCGAACCGTTAATGCGAAACACCGCGACCTACGCGAATGCGACTTACGTGATCGATGCGTAGGTTACTAAAATAACAATAAACGTTAATTATTATTTCAGCCGACCCAATTATTTTATATTATTGTTGTGTGCAATATGCGCATGGATCTCGGGTACGGCGATATGATTGGACGGAGACGTTGGAATTATAATATAATTATGGTTATGGTTATGACACGAGAGAAGAAGAGGCAGCGACAGGCTGTCACCGCGCATCGGACGGAGCCCGCGTAATTCGTGCGGACACCCGCCGCCGCGTCATTGGACTCCTACCAAAACGCGACGAGAACACCCCGATCCACGCGCAAGATCAAGGAGGCGGTCTCTTGTTTATTTTTATAGAGTTTGCCTCCTCCTCCGCCTCCTTCTACATCTCCTTCGCTCACGGAGACGTCTTATTATAATACTCATCTTCTCGTTCGCGCCTCGTTCTTGGGCCTCGTGTCTGTAGCGCTACCGCTTGTGCCGCTCGTCGAACATCCGCAAACGCGCCATGCGAGAGTCTGATTTTTATCGCTGTAAGTATGGCATACGTGGTATAGGTACAACAACGCAGTACCCATAACCGTGCAGCAAACGGACCTAGTACCGCCTAGCCGGACGACACCCGAGTTGTACGCGGCCGCCGACGGCACCGAGTTATCAGCGGTCGTCGAGTTTGTGCAGCGTAAAAGTACCGCAGTGGCCGACAGTACGGCGAAGATGCTCGGTGAACAAGACCGGTACAAGCCGGTGACGGAACAGGATCAAGAATACGCGTCTGAGAACACCAAACGGTTCACGGTGGACTCTTTGTTGCAGATCCGGAACACGGTCATCGACAGGCAACACTACGACGGTAATAATAATTATGAGTTATGACATTCACATATTTTTTTATGAATAAGATGAAATCGCTTGATGTTTACTTTTAGCCAAATGTCAGATCTTTCACATTCACCGAATAAAAGGATTCGATTATTTTTCTGTGTCTCGACAATTATTGAAGTCTTTTTGAAGTTATTATTTTTTTACACACTTACAGCGGTTTGTTTTCACGGTTAGGTTCCATATGATTTGAGTTGGAGCATTGTTTTACTAGTCTTTAATAAATAGTAACATAAATAAACAACACTAATACAACAATATTGACGTAACCGTAGGTATATTATTGCTTCACATTTTCTATACTTCACAGAAGCAAACTACTATAAAAGTCAAAACAAGAAGTAAATACATTTATAGACATTGTATAATGCTGGCTCCCGTCAATCTTTGTTGGTACTTGGATACAAAAACCGTGTTTGAACCAATCACTGCGAATGAAGTTTGACCTACTATAATAACAATTCCATCATAAAAATAAAACGTTTTGGCGGTTTTCACGGAGTGTAGAAAGTCGTCTTTAATGCAAATCACCTTAGCGCACGAATTGTTGTAACATTTACCTTACAAGAATGAAGTCAAACAAAATAATAAAATGAATTATTTTTGTTACAATAATTTGAATTCTGATGTTTTGTTTTTAAATTATTCGTTAGTGCATTTTCGAGGGCTGTAAAAATGTATTTTTAACTGTAAGCTTGTTTACTTTTTTCCTTGGTTAAACAAAAAAAAAATTCTCGTCATCAAGTTTCTTAAAAAATTGTTTTTTTTTCTTTTTATGCGATTTTAGACAACATGATTAGTTGATTTAAAAAAGACTTTGGTACTTTAGATGCTTGGAGCAGAAAACAAATTACAAGCTCTTTAATTATTTCCCTACCGATTTATCTTAACGTTTTCAATGTTGTATATTTTTTAGTCGATCTATTAATTTTTCAATTTACTTCTGGTTTTTAGCTTCGGTGAGTAGCTGAGAAGGTATTTCAAAGGTACTTTATTAGGCCAAAAATTTTAAAAAGTCACCCCTTCCCTATCAAAATCGAGAAAAACACCCAAACAATTTACAAATTTTTCAACTTAAAATTTGTAATTACGATGCTCTATAACTCTTAAAAATAGTTAAAAAACATGTTTTTTTTTTTATTAAAAACACCAAAAATAGGGTAAATTTACACTTTGGCCGTAGTCGGTTTATAGGTTGCTATGTGTGAGTGAATCAACAGTCAACAGGTACTGAAAATATATTCATTATATTGTTAATAACAAATTACAATATATAGGTAACTATGATTTTTATAGACAGACGATCATCCCTTATCAGACCTTTATCGTATAACTGGTTTGAACATACTATCCACAGATTCGCATCGAAGCGTTTATTTAAAAGTGATTTTATCACTTTCGGTAATAATAAAATCTGTAGACCTGTGACCTCTCCGTCCCCACTATGCCCCGACCCCACTGTACTGGCTTTTTTATTTCTTTTTTTGGTATCTTATATTCTTACTATTTAATTTCGTTTGAGTAACTTAATGTCGCAATATATTCGCATAATAAATAATAAGACGGTGGGTTTATCTGATTCATCAATTGATGAAAAGACAACATTTTTTTATTTTTAAATAATTAATTTACTCCATTTAGTGTAAATTCCGTGGTTTATTTCTTCTTTTGTTTTCTTCATCAGTGGAAATCCTTTGACAGTAAAGAGAGTCACCGTTGGACAAATAAAAATGGACGATTAAAAAATCAAAGGCTTGTATGAGGAGATGAATTAGAATGTTAAGAAATTTGTGTTAAAATATACCGCAAGTTTCAAAAAAAAAATCCGTTGTATTTTTAATAACATAGATTAAAAATAATTTTAATAATAAGAAACAAATATTATAAACGTTAATGCTATTAACTGTTACTGCATTATCGGATATATTATATTGTTAATTGTCTCATTAGCGTATAGGTACCTACATATAAACGCTAATTTTTATCTTAACTTAATATAATTATGTAAACATATTATAATATGATTTATTTTAAATCGAACGATAATTGTCTGTGTAATCTAATTATTGTTCGAATTTGAAGTAAAAAAAAAACAAAAAAACAATACCGAAGACGGTGTACTTATATCTATTAATTCAGTGGGCGCAGAGGCTGAGGAATAAAATGAAATAGATAAGTTACACTGTTTGGCGGTTTACCGCGAATTTCCGATAATAAATTTGACTTAGGCCTTTAACGTATTTGATATGTTCTGTAAAATACTACAGGTGTTGCAAAATTGAAGATTTCCCATATACCTTACTATGTGTAAACTATAATATGTGTTCTGTGTACCAGATAACCCATTGGCCACTGGCTAGCTGATAGGTATATTTTAATGCGCACCAGTTATACGGAAAAAATGACCTGCGAACACAATATATTATATCCCATTCGGCTAGATTAACCAAGTTCTACGTTACACCGGTATTTTATAATTTCCTAAGACGTGTACATAGATTTGTTTTTTATGAAAAAACTCGAATAATTGAATAACCACACGTGACCTCTGCGCAGTTTAGATAAGCGTTTCAACCTCTCTACTTAATAAAAAAAAAAAATAAATCCAGTGCTCCTTAATTAGGTAATTACCGAAAAATCGGTAATATCAAAATATACAGTGCTTACAATTACATCAAGACGTTACACGTGGATTCTACAATTCTTTTAAATTACAATAACTTTTTTTCTTAGGTAAAACAACTTTTTTTATTTTTATAAAGACAATTACCCCCCCCCCCCCCAAAAAACAAAAAAGGGGGAATTACTCTCTGACCGTAGTACATTTTTAGTTTCTGTGAGCGTGTGAGAAAATTTTGTGAAAGTGAAGCAACAGTCGACAGGTGTCAATATTTCCATTTAGTTGTTGATCGCCCATTGGCAATGCCAATGAATTATTAGAGAAGGCAGACGATCCACCCTAAAATCGTACTAACTCTCAATAATATTTAAAACACAGTTTTAAACACATGTTTGCCTTTACAATGCTTTTATCGATATTTAATAGTCCTTCCATCCGCAGATTTGCATCGAAGCATTTGAAAGTGATTTTATCGTCATATTTAATAAACATAAATAGCCAAGGGAGGTTAGGACGCTTAGTAGGAGTATCAAACCAAATTCATCTATAGTTGCTTCAGAGGGTTTAAGATATCTAAAATATTAATACTAACTATAAGTAGAAGCAAGGTGTCTAAATGACTTCAAAGTTTTCGAGTTGAAAAACGGTTTTTGTAGTTTTCTGGTTTCATTTTCAGGTAATAACACTGGTTTCGATTTTTCCCTGGGACAACAGAGGCGTGCTTACCTGATTATGTGCCTAATCCAGTATTGTGTAAATGGAATAAAATTAATAAATTACGATATTTTATTAGGTTAATCAAAACTATGACACATATTCGTTTGCAGGTGTTTAACAACTATTACAGTAAAACAATCTCATGATTCTAAACCTTGGTCTGCTATTGGTATATTGTAGTCCACGCACAAACTACTTTATTGTAAATGTAAAGGTGCCACTTGCAAATGATATACGTTTGTTTCTTCTATAATATACAACCGATCACCGACAATACGGTATAATAAAGGAGATGATTCTGCATTCGCAGACGTCTAGATAAAATTAGCTGTGCGTTTATATCTGATACCGCACCCGAATGATGTATATCCTTCTTTTGAAGTTGGCGTATGAGGTAAAACGTTAAACGAAAAGAACAAAAAAACACTATTTTCTCCGCTCCATGGAAAAACATTAAATCATGCATAATATGTCTATACCATCACGATTAAATTGCTTAACATCATTATTATGATAAATTATTTTATTTTTAAACTCTGAACATTTAGTTACAAGGTTTAACGTTTATTTCCATCGCAAAAACAGGAATTCAATGCAACAACACAACAGAATGAAACCTAGTCAACGAGTAAAAAAAATTATAGTAAATGAGTAAAAAAGTCGAGTAAACGAAAGAAAAAATTGAGTAAACGAGTAAGTAAATCAAATAAACGAGTACCGAATCTAGAAAATGAATCGAGTAAATGAGTAAATAAAATAACGAGACGCAAAAAACCTCGCGAATTTTCTTAAACCTCTTAAAAACATGTTGATAAATAAAATAAGCAAGTAAATCATAAGAAAAATAATCTAGTAAACGAGTAAACATATTATGAAAATAAATCGAGTAAATATGTAAAAAAATTAACGTGACTCAAACAGTCTCGAGAATTTTCTCGAATTACGTTTATATGCAGTCGCTAATGCGCACTTAAAACACGCAAAAAGTCTCAAGATTATACTCCGGGCTTAAAATTGTACTAATAGATCGAATAATTAATAAACGAGTAAAAGAATCAAGTAATTGAATAAATCAATCGAGTAAAATAATAGGATTTTGAAATTAACAATAACAACTAGATTAGAGGAAAGGTGTACAAAGTGGCATAGCGGGTAAAGTGGTCTTTTACTATATTTCTGTTATTAATGTTATCAGCTATTCAATTCTCTTTCCATATGTTTATTATTGTCATTATTATTGATTGATAAATCATAAATAATAATAAAATTCGCTGTTGAAGAGTGATAACAGAAAAATCATTTTGCGCCCGGCTGCTGTAAGGTAACAGTTACGTTTAAACAACGTTATTAATTATTTTGGCCACTCAATTACTTTGATCTTTTTTTTTTATTTGACAACACTTATTTGTAGTTACAATAAAATCAACTTTTATTGAATTTAACAGTTGCTAAATTATTTGTCCAGTAGTTAAAACAATAACTATAAAAAGGGCAAAGTGGCCACTACTAATTATTATCCATTTCTATTCAAGTTATTATAAGTAGATTATTTTTTTTTATTATTATAAAACGAATTTTGCAATGTTGACTACAAATACTTGTAATAATAATAATTATTATTTATATGTTTTATAGCAAAAGATTTCTGTTTGTTTATTTATTTGTGTATGATTTTGTTGATTAAATTTATTAAAAGTTTGATGACAAATATTGTGTTTTGAGTCAGTTAAAATAGAAGAGTTAATTTAGGAAATAATATGACAATATTTTCTAGTTGAAAATAAAAATCTCCTACTATTGGGCAAAGTGGATATAGCATGGCCAATTTACCCTATGTGGGTGGGAAAAGTGGCCAGTTTCATATGTAATTAAAAAAAAAAAATCAATTAAATCATAAGCTAAAATATAATTATAATTGTAAATAATGATGTCTAACAAGTAAAAGTATACATTCCCATAGTAAGTAGACAAAAATAAAGTTAAAAATCTAAGTTCAAGTTGATAAATTTCCTTAAGATGGCGGCTTTACCCACCTTTCCCCTACTAGGTTACATTTCCGTAACAGATTTCTCGACTAGAAAATGTCCACGAAATTTTTAGAGCTATCCACGTTAATTATATAATTAAGTAAATAAATAAAATAACTCGTTGTCGCGCAAAAGATCGTCGTAGGCATAGTCGTTTCTATTTTAGGTGGCAAACAGGAGTGAAAACATATTATAATAGGATACAAAAAAACGTCTACTGTACTTACTGCTGTTAATAATAGGTGCCGGAGATATCGCTCATCGAACGGGATAGCAGAGGAGCAATTTATAACGTCTTTATGTGATGGTTTGGCTTTAATATTTTAACATCGCCATAAAGGTCAGGAATTCGCATCAACGTCGGCGGCGACGGCCTGCATGTCATTGATGGAACGATTTTTAATTGATCCGCTGCACTATCGAAATCACTGCCAAATCCGACTGGCAAAGCACAGTGATTTTGTTTACGGTGTAACACAATCATTGCGTTTATATTTGCACCGTTTCTGTACAAAAATTATTCGTTAGCGTTTTACCCGAATATTATGCTATTAAACAACCGTACAACCGACGATAATAAACTTAATTACTGCGTAAAATATAATTATGATAAATTCCTGTATAGCTAACCAGAAAGTGTATGATTTATAACCGTCCATCTGTGGCACAAAAGGGATAACGTAGAAACCCTTTCGTCGCAGCACCTGCAGGTTTAAAAAGACATTCATCCGTGTGCCGTACATAATTCTAATGACCATTTTTTAAAATTTATTATAGCCGACTAAAAATCTTTCTCCGCGGTTATTTTTATAATTATAGTCCAAGTCTAATACGTGTTTTGATAAAACACACAATGGAAAACATCAATTACGAGAAACGTCGGTATTTTTAATAGGCTGTTACTTTTTGTCTCACCTGAATACAAATATAATAAAGAATATTTATACATACTATTAAGTATCACAATATATATAATATCATATTAATAAAGGCAAATATGTACAATTATTAAAATTTGTTAGAGATACAATATTATACAAGACGTTTAATCGCATTACCCTTTAGTCGAAATAATTAGTGAAGTTAAACAAATGAGAAAAACTAATTTAAAACCCAATATATATATATATATATATATATGTAGCCTTGTGTTTCAAAAGCGAACAGTCTTAAATGAGCGTTAAAATGACCTATTATTATGTATAAACGTCTTCGAGGCCCAAATGTCGTACTGCACCGTCTGCCTGCATTTATATATATATATATATATATAATGTTGGTGGTACTCGACACAAGAGGCGTGTGTGATATATGTTTTCGTTAATGTTATTTATTAGGCTAGTTAACTAATATATGGTTAATAGGCTGAAACACTAACGTCGTCGTTTATGTCATTGGACGTGTTCCACTGCATTTGTCTACCGTAAATTTAGAATATTCCCGAACCAAGGATCCGGGGGCTGTGTAAGATACGCACCGGCGAGAGAATTATATTAAATTAACGGTGATCTTATTAATTTAAAAAATAAATAAAACATACCTAATTGAAGAATGGTGTACGCGCGTTGTAGGCAAAAAATTGTTTACAACAAATAAGATGTATAATGCTATTAATTAGCATCTTGTTAAACTGAAAACAACATGAAAATTTAATTTATTTTTTTACAAATAATTTACATTAAAAACAAATATTGTCTCCAAACTAATTTCCTCGACTATTTGAAGTACACGAAACATATATTATACTGTTTTGTGCTCGGTTCTTTTTTTTCTTTAAATTGTTTGCATATTCTTAGTCGCATTTTTATTCTTTGGATGCTTGACAAAATCGTTTGTCTATCAATTTTATTACATTTATAATAGGCACCGATTAATAATAATATTGGCTACTACATTATTATAGCAAAAGCCTCATATAATTTTGAAGAGTTGGAAATATTTGCTTTTTTTTTTGCTTAGAACTTGATTAACTAACAACTAACTATTAATAAATTACCACTTTTGTATAATGTGAATTAAATATTGCCAAATTCCTTTGCCTGTCTGGTTTCGTTGTACTATACAATTTTTAATACTACAAATAAATATTTGTCCAAATAGGCTGTTTTCATAGGCCATAGCGCACACATGAGTTGTTTATAGATAAAATTTCAAGAATTTATAATACAATTCATGTTGTACAACGCATCTAGTTTCAAGTCATTCAAAGCAAGCAGACTAACCTGTAATACTTTTAAATTATGTTAAAGGGGGTAATTTTGTTGGAGGTATTTTTTTATCAACAAAGGGTACTCATTCAATTATTATTTCTGTAACTGTTCGAAGAACTAAAGTATGCGTCTATCACCTATATTAATGATGGAATTTAATAATATAGGTAAAAATACAGTTTTTTAAGCTCGAAGAAAATATAAATACACTTATAAAAAATGTGAAAATGTTTTTCATAAGTTTATATTATCAAAAAGTTAGGTATATACAAAAAACAAAATTAAAAAACATTACAGACTCTGATCTGTGTAATTTAAAACGTACATTTATATAATTGTTATTTTAGAATCAAGTTCAGAACCGGATAACCAGCGAAAAGGTAAACCAAGAAGAAATAGAACTACATTTACTAGTTGTCAGTTAAAAGCGTTAGAAAAAGTATTTGAACGGACACACTACCCAGACGCATTTGTCCGCGAAGAACTAGCCAGAAGTGTATGTCTTTCTGAAGCGAGAGTTCAAGTAAAGAATATATAATTTAATAAATATACTAATCTTGAGTTATCATTAGATATACAGTAATCGCCTAATTGTTTTGTCAAAATATATTGTCTATATTTTACTCACATATTATTAATTCCCCGAGGCTTTTTATACATTAATACCTTCATTTCACCATTAAATTTCGAAGTTGTGCAATCAATGTAACATCTAAAAATTAAAATTTCGGCTCGATTGTCATGATGAGCAACCCTATGGCCTATAATATTAGCCAGGACCGGCGCAAAGTCCAAGAAAAGCAAAGATATAGCGCAGAAACAAATTGTTTTATCTTTATAACTTCCATGCTAAAATGTTAATAAATTCCTAGATTTTACATTATAATACATTATTCATTTATTCTCAGATAGGTAAAATGTGCTTTTTTTCTTAAATGAACAACATTTTATTTTACTCAAATGGCAAATCTTCTTTAAATTTTAACTGTAGATTTACATCAAAACATTGGATTAAAAGTTTTTTTTTTTTAAGAATACTTAAAAAAAAATATACATTTTTGTGATTCAACCCAAATGCCTCCATATTATGCGTGCTAATTGAAAATATTTTAGAATAATAGGGCCTTGCAATCTGTTCTGCCGACACTGGCCATAACATTCATTACACCGATGGCCATTCAAATAAGTTTTTGATTTTTTGAAACAATAAGCTAAAAGAATTCGTGAAATTTTGAGTTTAAGTTAGAAATTTATAAACATCATAAAGTTATTGTACCTTGTTAAATAAATCGAGTAAATGTGTGAACAAATCGAGTAAGCAATTCGAGAAAATTAATCGAGTAAATCAAACTAGTATGCCACTAAAAATGTCTCGGTAAAAAATCTCATTGGTTTTCTTGGTTGACCGCACCAGCCTAAAGACATTATAATTTTTGAAAAAAAACTCCGTGGTATCGCTATCCGGGAGAGTTTTTTTTTTTGTCAGTAGGTAAAAACTAGATCCTAAATCATTTTGGACGCGGATTCCGGTTGTAGCTTACTTGACGGCTGACGGTTTTCGGCTCAGAACATCAAGTAAATTGTTGGAGACTTCTGACTACCTCTTGACTTGTGTGCGCGATATGGCGTCGTGTATGGGAGAGCACGTGGCGTACATAGCCACATATATAATAATGTATAATAATACACATATAATATTGTGTGCGAGCACCGAGTACAGCACTGCACACATGCTGACATCTGTCCCTAATTTGACCGACCATGATAGGCGCCTGTTTAACAAACACTAAATCAAAGGAAGCTCGGCGTGCGTTGTAAAAGGCGTCTGTCTGTCAACACTGAGAATTCGCGGACCGATGAATTTCTGACATGAAATCTTGAATCCGAAATGACAACCTCCGGCGAAAAAACCAGAAAAGATTGTAATTTCTCGGCCACGACAACGACTCGGGTCTCTTTAAGTCCGGATAGATTAACGAAGACGTGCTCAAGGGTTTTAGGTTTTTTTTTTTAATAACCTTTTGTACTTTATCTTATTTTCTCTGGGCACTCATTTGGCTTTATCCCAAAAACGTTATCCAGAACACAACAACTATACGTTTCCTCTGTACAGTTTATAATATACACGCATAAGTCATAATAATAATAACGAAAAGTAAAAAGTTATTTTCCACAAAAATAAAGTAATTTCATAAACAACAAAAAAATTCAACATAATTTTTCAAGGAGTTTAATTGAAGATTTGTCATTACCAATACCAAATTATGGGTATATAACGAATGGTGGCATTGGTAGAAATTTTGAACCCGAAAATCCCCCCAGCCCTCTTTTGATTACAGTCAGGAGCGGATCTAGGAATGAAAAAAGGGAAGGACTAAAAAAAAAATGTCTTTAAATTATTATTAATTTATTTTTATTATGTACAAATTAGTAAGCCGGTCTGATGTATTTTAGGTTACTTATGTGATATTTTGTAGCTGTACAATATACCTATGGAATATGGATACATTTTATTTCACTATAAACTGGCAGATTATAATTAAAAATTATTGTGAGTGTGGATTTATCCCTTTTTAATTTGACCACAGATTTTTAAGAAAATTATATGTACCTATTAAAGCACTCTAGATCTACCTTAAGTCTAATTTTCAGACCTTTAGTCCTAAAACCACGATAAAAAAAAAATAAAATAAGAAAAAGTTTCCACCCCTTCTAGGGGAAGAGGTTATGATTTTTTTTAGGGATTTTCACTGTACATCGGGAGTACTTTATCTAAAAATAATCCACACAAGTTTAAAATACCTAGTAATTAGACTATTTATATATAGTTATAACGTGTCGTAGTTTTAAAATGATATATGTGTTAATTTGTAGGGTGATGTTCTCGATTTGGAAGGGGATGGAGTGAACTTTTTAAATATTTGGTTCAATAAAGTATCTTTTAGGTACAATTTCTGATCCATAGGCTTGCTACATGAAAAAATCGATTTAAAGGAAATATCTTGAATATGTTTTAATAGACATTTCATGACAATACAACGTTATTAGATGTACTAAATTAATGATATACCTACTTATAATAATATATTTAATGTTTATCGTTGAAGGTGTGGTTTCAAAACCGACGGGCGAAATTCAGGCGAAACGAGAGGAGCTCAATGTCGAGGACAAGTGACACCGTGACGATGGTGCAAAATAGATCTCTCAATATCGAACAACCGCTTCTACCCAGGTCGACTTCAAACATTCATACAGAGTCGTTTACAAGTAAACCTACAACCGGGCTATTTAACTTGGAACAATAATCTAAGTAGATTAATTTTACAATGACGTTTATTTTGATTAACAGGCTCTGGTTTTGGCGGACTTTTAGAATATTCAGGATGGAAGCCCAACGGTCTGTCCCAATGCGGCATGTTCCAACATTCTGCCAACACGCATAACTATCCGACTTTTCTACCCGTCAATGGTATTTACAGTACATGTTAATTAACATAACAAAATACCTATATAAAATAATATCAATTACAATGAGTTATAAATCGCAGGCAAAATAATTCAAAATAACACTGTACAATACGATTTTGGAACAAGAACCATAATATACGTCAATGTTAATTTTTTACTTTTTTCGCCGAATCTACATCTGTCTCAGAATATTCTTCTAGCGCGTTTTAAATCCCCTTCAAAAAAAGGTTCAAAAGATTTTATTTAGTGAACAATTCTACATTAATTCTAAGACCAGTTTTGTATTAATCAAAGGCAATAGGATAAGAAAACTCTATTTGAAATAGATTTTAGAAAATTATGGCATACATAGTTTGATCACACATTTTTGATGGGCTTATCCCCCACATCCTCCATTGACCACCCGACAGTTTACTGAGGGTATAATTTTTTTATTATTACATTTTAAGAAATGGCTAAAACTATCACGAAACGGTACTTTTTACAACTTTAGGTGTCATTTATGATAACTAAACGTGTTCGAGAAATTCCGTATCGGCTAAACAAATACAAATAAATATATTTACTTTTTTGGTTGTGGGAAAAAGTGGAATTTTCGTTGTACAGGGTGTATAGTCAATATACCTAAGTACGTTAATGAGGGTGTTTGCAAACAAGATAAAAGAATATCACCCTACTCAGTGGCGGGTTTAAGCTCTACAAAAAATTACCAGTGAATTTGATCCGAATTGTTTCACTGATGAACGAAAATAAGTCCTTCTTTGTCTTTTATATATATATATATATATATATTTGTATTTTGTGTCTAGTTAAAAAAGATCCCTGTCATAAGATAAATCCCCATGTACTGGTATACATATTGGTGTATTTTCTTACTAAGTTTCTAACCCGAACGCGATTAATGTAAAAATGTTATTGTTCAACAGGTCCGCATGTCAATCATTCAATGTCGGCCATGTCGGTTTCGAACTGCTTAGTACCAAATTCGAATTACTTGGTCTCAACGAATTTGACCAACATCAGAATTCGCCCGCAGGATTATTACATAGACTCGCACATGTAGATGCACACCATGCAAATTGTATTTGTAATTTTATATCAATAGAATATTGCACAAATCACAATTGTGGTGGTACTTTCAAGTTTCGACCGTACGTACAAATAGCAAACCAATAAATATAGTACCAAGTTTATATAGCGTATGCAGATGCTGTAAACATTAATATTATTGTATATTGTGCCAATATAAATACACTACCTATGCTAATTCACATAGGCCTCTGCCGAGAAGGTAAGGGGTGAGCAATCTCTAACCTCTCCCGTTAGGGAATTTAAAAATGCCTACGAGAACTAAACTAACGATTTTATATAATAACAGCAATTTTTGTGTTACTAGAGTTTAAATATAATTTTGTCAATCATGTGTTTGACCGCTATTTTTGTAAATTACCTACCAGACGGACGTTTATGTGATTTATTATTGAAATATTTACTTGTGAAAAATGTGTCCGTTTTACCATTTATTTACTTGTAATAGTTTTTACCCGCCCACTCTCTCAAAAATGGTAACTACTGTATATACAAATTAATAAAAAAAAAATGAATATACTGGTTTATTCTTTATTATAATTTATCAAAACTAATAACAGGGTAAATTGTTTTTTGTTCATCATGTCTACTTATCTATGCATATTATGCCCTCCAAGCGCTTTATCCTTAATCATTTTAAGTGTTCTAAACCGTACATAGAACTGACCTGCATTGCAAGTTGAGATTTCTGGGGGAACAGCAACATATAGACTTAAAATTATCTCTATACCAACTTTGTTCAGTTGTATACCAGAACTTGGCAAATATATTAATGAGTAATTTTTATTACTACTACATGAATCATGATACATTAAAAGAAAATAATACGTTAAATCTAAAAAAAAGAATAATTCAAATACTGTTTTTGAAAAACCTAATAATTTTAGTGGAAAAGAAAATATCCGAATGTTTGATAATACTATATGGCGACATCTTACTCGCAGAATGATAGTTTTGTAATATCGATTAACTACTTTAAAACATCAACACTCGACAAAGAACACAATAATACTTTGAATCTAAGAATATTCTAAATGCAAAACTTTTAGCTTTAATAACTCATAAATCATAAACAACTATTTGTTTATTGTACCTATTTTAAAAATATATGATGATACCTGCATACTAGGTACAAATTATACAGCACTATATAAAGTATAAATGTTATAATTTATCACAATAGGTAATTAGAAAATGCTTTGGAATGATTATTTAATAATAACAATAACATAAAATTCAAATTACACATTCAACATGTCTTGAAATCATTAAAACATATTAATGTTATTGTATTATATATTTTACTAGTTATATTATTTATGTTTAATCATTTGTATAAAAATACATTACAGTTAATAGTCCGAATAAGAAGTATACAAGTATTACAAAAATCTATAGCTAATTATTTAATATCGATATAATATTATATCTATTATCTATATAAAAAGTAGTTAATTTGATCGAAAATTAATAGAACAATAAATTTAAGTAATTTTTAAGGCAATTATTAATTTAAAATTAATTATTTGGTTTACCAAAAATTATGTAGTATAGAATAAAGAAATATGACTTTTTTAAAACTAGTAAATACGAAGTATAATATAATACTGAGATCTAACAATCATAAATAAATTCTAATTTATGAATTACAATTATTAATAAAAAAAATTATAGAATGATAAATTAATTTAATTTTAGATCCATTAAACAGAGTAGTTTTTAGTAAACACTTAACACACCATTTTGAATTATGAACTATTATAAAATGTATACATTTATAAAAAATGAATTAAATAAGAGTTTACATTTGTTTACAATAATATAATAATGGTATTAAAATAATTAACAACACAAAATCATAAGTCGATACTTATAATCATAACAATCTTATTTTAAACACAAAATTCAACTGTTAGAAAAAAAAAAATGTAAATTAAAAAACGAAAAAAAACTATTAAAAAAGTAGTATAAAATATATTATTAGTTTCATATAAAACGCCTCACACACTCAAAAACAAATTGTGTACTACAACATTGAAAACAGCACTACAAACACAAGTTCTGTAGTTTGCTTTTATTAAAATCCTTTTAAGATATTTGCTATAGTAAATATATTAAGACTGCAATGATTTGTAAGTGAAAAATTATTTATAAAAGTATGATGTCAAAAATATAGTTAAATTATTAGTTAGGATTATAAGAATTGGTGAAATATAGATTGTTGTAGAAACCTCACCAGTTACATTTAATTGCCACATTACAATGTTTCTGCAACTATTGATTTTAATCAATACCTTTATAAATATTATTTTTTTCTATTAACCAAATTTAAAGCTTTCTTGGCTACAAACGTATTTTACGGCCTTCAATATCTACAAAATGGTTTTAATCTAATCATTTATATACAACATTTTGTATGATCATATAAATAAAAGACTTGATGTTATTTAAAAATGTCGAAAAAACAGAGGTGTTGTCTTTTAATAGTTTTAAAAAAATTGTACAGGATATTTTGGTTTTTGTAAATTTTTTTACAAATTTTAATACATAACTGGTATGTACATTTAGGTATATTTAATGGATAAAATAAAACATACAAGCCTCACTATTGGCTACATATAAAATAAAATACTATTATTTGAAACCAGTATAAGTATTTTCAAAATTAAAAAAAAAATGTTAAGCTAGGTAACGCAACATTATTTTTATAAGTTGTCAATTAGAAAATAATCAAACACAATAAATTATTATTAATAGTCTATTTAAATTTTAAATTCTTTATTTTATATAATATTATTTTCAAATATTATTATTTAATCACTCCTAAAAGTGACCAGAACCCTAGAAGTAAATAAATAACTAAAATTAAAGAACCTAATAACGATAAACAAAGAGAAATAGCTAATCGTACACTTAGAAGTTCGACGTGATCTTTAAGCAATGTATTTACTAAGACTCTGGTGATTTTGTCACCGTCAAAGTAAAAGCATGGTATCACATTGATGATAGCTAACCCTCCAGCAAACATCAATAAATATTTACAGAACTTTTCTAAAGATTGAGGTAATCTGTATGATAAGTAATCAGTCTTTGGTACGTATTCTGTCACAGACACGAACGATAAATCCATAGGTCGACCAAGGAATAACACATCGTTTCTCATTTTGCGCTTAATGACAACTAACTTAGTGAGATTATTGAGCGATGGCCGAAAACAATGAGCGTATGGACAATGGTGAGATAAATCACAAAACGACAATGAATTTTCAGTCACCTTTCTGACATTGAGACAGGAATGTTGTGGGAGTTCTTGAGGATCTGACGACGATTCAATATACTCGAAACATAAATCTGTTAAAGTATTTGGATCGCAGCAAAGTAGCACACCGTCCAAATTGTGTTCAACTGAAATACATAAGCTAATAATAATTTATTTCCAATCAATAATTATGTAGTAGACTCTACCGTGCTTTGTTAAATCGTGATCCTGAACGAATTCCGATGATAAACAAAAACCAGGTTGTGTACTCATTAAAGTGTATTTTAAACATTCAGACCATGTTTTAAAATCATCCACTTGACAATCTCCCAAATGTGTTATGACATCTTCAATTTCAAGTCCACCTTTGCTATGCAAACCAGATCTCTAAAAAAAAAATTAAGTACTACGTTACGTTCGTACTTTATTTATTATTTTAACGTTGATATTTCTAAATAACAATACATTAATAATTTTTATTATGTAAATTATTAAGATAGTAAAAAATATTTGAGCTTTATTATTTCACTAATAGGGTAAATTTACAAAATTTTTACCTGATCGACATTAGTAACACTGACTCCATAACCAATTGAATAAAAAGGTGACATAAAAGTTGGTAACAGTAACAAAACGATATATGCCAACATAGCTTGAACAACATTGTGCCACACACCAGCAGACATTACTCGGAGTTGTTTACTACATGGTATTGATGCTATATCCTCTAAGTGAACATAAGCTACAGGTAATATTAAAACAAATAACATTCCAACTCCATCAACGTGTAAATCTTCCCTATAGTAAAAAATATTATTAAAACAAATTTTAATTATACATAATATATTAAAACTCGTTGACTAGTAAAAATTATTTTTGTTGTAAGCTTTGATTATTTTAACTTTCATAATTTTTAGTGAAGTATAAAATGTATTTTAAACTTTTAAATGGATTGAAAAGGGGCGGTTTTTAAGGAGTTTCTTTAGGCGATATTTATAAAAAAAGTGATTTTAAAAAATTTTGACCATGTCAATTTATTTTCAACTTGGTATGATCTTCTGTATATTATTTTTATTCTATACAATAGGGGTGGCCACTAACCTTAATTTGGGGAGCCGCAAATTTATAAAGCTAATTCAAAACGAGCCACATTGTTAAGAGATGTTTATAAAATGAAGAAATACAAATTTATTAATTTTACTCTAAGCTTGGTTTCAAGAGCCGCACGAAACTGATTTAAGAGCCGCATGCGGCTCGCGAGCCTTGTTGTGGCCACCCATGCTATACAATTTTTTTTTACGAGTAAAAGTAATTTTAATGATAATAAAATGCTTTCGTTTAGTACAAATATTTAATTTGTTGGCCTCTCTTCTGGGTGATGTTGAAAATCGATTTTCATTTATAAAAAAAAATTTAATTTAAAAATTGTTCAAAACTGAAATGTAAATTTTTTGCATAAAAAATCATAAAATCTATTCCCAACATAACCTAGTAAAGTAGTCAAAGAACTTGTATATCTTTATGGAATTGAAATTGGATCATCCTAAATAGTAAAAAAAATGAAATTTTTTGGTCTTTAACTTAAAAAAAAATAAAACGCTTTCAATCCCATTTAAGTATACACATATTTTAGGTTATAATTTTATAGACGGTAATGATTTATTTCCATCAATTTTTTAAGACAAAGAGCATACAACTAAATATTCTATTAAATATTTACAAAAATACACTTTGATTTTCACCATATAGTGCATATTATTTACTTTTAAAATTAAATATAATATACAACTCTTTAAGTCTTCAATCTTAAGAAATTAGGGATTTTTTAAGGTACTTATTTATTTCATTAGCGGGCATACATAAAAAATAATAAATATTAAGTATTATATTGTTCAAATACCTAATTGCTGCTAAAGCATGGCCTAATTCATGAAATATTGTAGATGTCATTAATGCTATAATGTAGTATCCGAAATCTGCCATTGGTAAATTTATACCCGGAACCTAGAACGTATAATTAATTTGAAATATAATTTTTTTTTTAGTTAGCTAAAAAACTACATTAATGTTTCATACAGCTGGTTCTAAAATTGGTGTTTGTTGTTGAACTGGTTCAGTTGATGGTACTGAATACATTCTGTTGAATATTTGTCCACACGAAACAATCACTAAGCATATTGATGGCACAATAAGACAAATAGTAACCCAAGATCCAAATGTGAACCACAGCGCTTGAAATTTAGGATTCCAAAAAGATATTTTCAAAATCATCCGATTCAAAGATGTGGTATACCACTGAAGTTGAAAAGGTCCCACGGTCAGTCCAGTCTTTTGGAGAAAAACAATGTACGGATAGTGAGAACACGACTAGAAAATAAAATTACAGAATTTATTTACCTAATTACAAACATATGCATACATTTGGGTGTGCACTGTGCGTTACCTTAAACGTAACATCTAGAAACAGAATTACTACGTAGAATAGCATTACAATAATGAGTAAGCCGAATAAATCCATGGTGACAGACAAAACTTGCCGCCGTTGAACTATTTCAAAAGAACGCAACAATTTTAATTCGTGCGTATTACATTATAATAATGGACAATGGTATGAAAATGTTTAAAAAATAAATTATCATAATAATATAATATTTCGAAGTCGGGTGTTTATAAATTTTACATCAATATTAAAACCGGGAAACGTATCAAATAGGTACTTTGAGTAATTAACTTTATAATTAATATTGTAATAGAATGTAAATTTATATTCATATAATATTATATGTATTATATAATGTAATGGTAAAATGTAACTGTATTTTGTCGTTCATCGTTAATACTTAATATGCTAGCTCAGAGCTCTACCGCAGCCGGGCATATCAATAAAATGTAATAATTATCACCAGTCTGTTAACATTGCCAAAAACTATTACCATGCCAGTGTGGAAAATATTGTCGCAGTTGGCTGACTTGTACGGGATATCTGATCATGGTGAATTTCAGTGGTTGTCGATTATAATTTGTTTAGATTGGACTTTTTTTTATCAAAAACACTGCATAACTGTACCGTATTATTACGTATCATCACAGGAATATCATCGCCGAATACACTATCATCATCGACATCATCATCATCATCTTCGCTGTTCAAAATAATTAGATATTATCCTGTATACTTTTCAAACAAGTGTTCGATGCTGTGCACGGTCCGAAACTAGTTTCGCCGATTTTTCGCGTTTTAACTGACCGGTCGGTGTTACGTTTCTCCCATAGGGGACTCTCAAGGCCGACAAATACAATTAATAAAAACGTCTCATCCTTAGCTCTAATAATATAATTTCGTCTTAAACCGATTTGACTATCAGGCAAAAACAATGGTAGACACTACAGCAGAAGCGACCAGGCGATTGAATGTGAAAAAACAAACCTTGGACGACGCTTATGCCGCACCTGCCAACTTCTTAGAAATAGACATTCTCAACCCAATCACTCACGGTGTTGCCAAAAAGCGATATACCGACTATGAAGTTCGTATGCGGGTAAGTCACTGTGCTCATAGTAATTATTGCCTAGTGCTCAAAGTTGGTGCACATTGTTATACTAAACTAATAATGTTTGAAAAACATTTTCTTTTTAGACCAACTTACCAGTTTTTAAAGTCAAAGAATCTAGTGTTCGCAGACGTTATAGTGATTTTGAATGGCTACGCAATGAACTAGAAAGAGATAGTAAGGTAATGTAAATGATTTTGTTCAAAAGTGTGATTGTTTTTTCAGTTTATTATCGTACAAAACAAAATATTTTAAATAATAATAAGTGTATAAACAGAATTGAAAAATATTTTGATAAAACACTTATACTGATAAAATGTTTTTATAATCATGCAAAATTTCTAGTCATTTCCTTGTTAAAAATGTACAGTATCTATGTTTACTTAGGTGTTTAATGTTATATACATAAATCATACATACATAACTTATTTTCTTTAATAATTTATTGATAGTATATTTTACATTCAAAGTTGTATGACTACATTTTATAAAAGTTTCAATATAATAGTCTGAAAATATTTAGTATTACCAGTTACGGGTCCGTAAAACTAATAAACTCCTATTATTTCCTCCTGTTATTTCTATATTTTAAATTAACTGATAGTATTTAAAAGTAGCATTTTTAATTAACTATTTTAAAAAATGATTTATGTTAAGACAGGTATAACATTTTATAGTATAAAAATAAAGAGTATTTTCATCTTTAATATAAATTTTTTTTATGATTTTTCATCTAAAGTAAAGCACAATTTTAAATAAAAACAGAATTCATCATTAACATGTAGCTTAACACGCCTTAAAGACCCAATGCTGCTATTATAAGATGGTATCGTCATAGGCGCAAATACGGGGGGGGCTAGGGTGGGCTTAGCCCCCCCAAAAAAATTAGGTTATGCATACAATTTTGAAATACAAAAATATATTTACTTATATATATTTAAAAAAAAATTCCAGCCCTCCCAAATTCAAAATTGAAATTGCGCCTATGGGTATCGTGACAAATTCACTTTCGACACGGGTCATCATAGAGATGGCGGCTCCATTTTACTAGTGTGTTTCCTACCCAGTAAACAGTCCGCTTGACCTAACATCAAACTGGTGAAAAAACAAAATTAACCAATTTGAATAGCATTTTTTAATCAACAAATAAATTATTTATATACAGTTTCTATTAAGTAAACAATAATTAATAGTAAATTGAATGATTATTCTTTAAAACATTTCTTAAATACTTATTTACAACTTTTTTTTTATATATAAATTACAATATTTATTTTGCGTAAGATAGGTACCGTTAGGAAAGCCATCATAAAAAATACAATACAATCTTATTAAAAGTATTATCATACATTTAAATTGCAGACAATAATCGTACAAAACAAAAGCCTACATTGAGTAGTTCATTACCGTTGCGACGTTGTGTTCTACTAAATGCCTGAATTCCATTGCATGCCTATTCCTGTTATGTTTCATACCTAATTCATCAGCTATAAGTGCTAGTAAATATGTTGTTTCTTTCAATTCAGCTATAGCTTCTGATCTGTGAAAACTTTTAGCAACTTTACACAATTTATTATAAATATTGTTTAAAAATTCTGGACTATGTTCAAAATCTTCCACTATATTGGCCATCATTTTTGATTTAATGATTTGTAAATTTATGTACGCTTTGTCATAAACGTTAATACCACTGTAAATACACTGTTTTGTCTCTTGTAATAGTCTTAAAGCTTTGTGTGGAAACTCATGCTTCATCAAAATAATTGCTATTTCAATGTTTATTATTGCAGTGATGTAAGTAAGATGGTATTCTATAGCTATTAACTTTGCTTCCATAAGAATATTCAACGCTGTACTTTCATTTGCCTTTGCGACAATTAAATAAGCTCTAAGCCTAGTCAGGATCGTATTTTTGTTATTATCTTCCATTAAGTGTTCAACCATTTTAGTAGCACCTACATAGTCTTCTTTTTTCAACAACAGTTCTCCTCGTCTTAATAAACTTTCGGTGACATTTACCGAAGCCATTTGTTTGGCTGCAAGTTCAGCTTCGGGCCATTCTTCTTTGTTCATAGCCATTTTAAAATAAAAGTATTGTTCGGTCATAATCCATAGGTCGTTATGTACATAAGGAAAGATCTGAGATACCTCGTTTATTAATAAAGGCGCAAGATAGTAATCCCCTCGTGCGATCAAATCATTAATAATGTTACACATTGCTATACACTTGCTTTCTATATTGTGTACATCGTTATTGCTTCGATCGAAATCTAAAACTAATTGGGAAAAAACTGTTGATATACGTTGATAACCATACGTATTCCAAACAGCTGCCTTTTGAGTATTATTCGTCATACGCAAATCAGTTAATCCATTAAAATAATTATACAGCTCACTCTTTTTTAATACCTTAAACACTAATGCTGGAGTTCCAGCATTCTCCACTAAATATTGAGCCAAAGCTTGTAAACTGAATGAAGAAATATGATGTAATTCCAACTCTTTACTTCTAGTCACAGAACATTTTAACATAGTCAACTTATCTTTTTTACTTAACGTATAAAGCCACATGAGTGCATGTTGCAGACAAACGTGGTCATTTACTTGATGCGCCACAGCTATACTTTCCCTTAAGTAACGGATAGCTTCATGTTTATAATTAAAAGCGGCATATAATAAAGCCATATTGAGTGAAGTATAACGATAACCTCTACTTTTCTCATCTATATTTATTACCCTAGATGTCTGACGATTGAAATAATGATGAATACTACTAACGGCCCCGCAAAACTCTTTTACTCGTAAACAATTTAGGTAACTAAGATAATGTGCATCAAAGTGGTCTGGGTTGGCTTGTAGTATGTCCTTAATTTTTTGTTGCAATGATATTGGATCGAGGGCAACTGGCTCATTATTTTTTAAAAGTTTAATTTGTTGTGCAATAAAAAGCTCTACTTGTCTCGGAGACCAAGAACCTACTTTGGTATATTTGGTATTGGAATGCTTACTACTTTTTTGTAGATCCAAAGTTTTGATCGATTTTATCGTGTTCATCAAATCTTTCCATTCTTGTTTCTGATCTGATTCTTTAGGGCTCGTAGCTAATGGGATACTTTGAAATTCCTATAAAAATAAATCATATAAACAATTGAACACCTAGTTTTTTTTATATACGCATAAATCATATTAGTTATTAATTATACAGTTATGTCTTACTGTGTGTTCGTTAAATACTGGATCGCAATTTTTTTTAAGTTCATTCATTACAGCTGCCGTTTGTAAAAACAACATTTTATCAATATATACTATAACGCGTCGTAGAAATATACCGATTGGACTGCCACTGTTGATTACTGTAACTTGATGGACTTTTGGCAACCCATTATCCAGAACATGGGCGTCTAGATTTTTGAACATATTCATGACGACATCTAAATTGCTGTTGACCGTTTGATAAACTTCCCGTTGAAATGTTCGAATAAATACCGATGGCAGTTGATACTTCCCGCAAGATATTAAATTGTTCAATTCTCCAAAAGTCAAATCAGGGCATTGAATTAAATGTAATACTAACATGCTAAACGTACGGTGAAATTTTGAATTTATAGTGGCCTCATTTTGGTTCTCTTCGAGTATCAAACAATTCCTACCATACCTCTGTATATAATGAGTTATAATCACAACAACGAGAATATTATGCGTTGTGACATTTTCTTGGATTTCGTTCGCATTTGTATTTGGTACAGTAGTAAAATCTTTCCCAGTCATTTTAGTAAAACGTTTTACAGACAATTATTGTTCAGTTAAGTTTATTTTTCTAATAAAACAACTCGATTTAATTTCAAACATTTTAATTTTTAAATGCGGTTATTCGATTATCAGCATCTATTCTACATCAGCAGATCAGTTACCGAATAACGTAATGATAACATGCAGAACAACATTAACAGTGTAACCAACTTAAGAATGTGGTATTACAATATTATATCACATTTGTATACAATAAAGCTGTTACATTTTATATTATAAATTAGCGAAACTATGTTTCAATACCTAAATAGAAAGATAATACATTTAAAATATATATTTTTATTTTTAATTATTATTAATGATGTAATATTATAACATTATGTTAATTATAGTTTATCATATATAATTGATTTGCTTTTTTTTTTTTAGATTGTGGTACCGCCTTTGCCAGGTAAAGCATGGAAAAGGCAGATGCCATTTAGAAATGACGATGGTATATTTGAAGAAGAATTTATAGAAGAACGACGAAAAGCACTGGAGGTTTTTATAAACAAGTAAACCAATATTGTTTTTAGTTATATATTATCTCTATTAAACTTTCAACTATTAATACCAATTTTTTTTTCTTAGAATTGCCGGTCATCCATTGGCACAAAATGAAAGATGTCTACACATATTTCTACAAGAACCAGTGATCGATAAAAACTATGTGCCTGGCAAAATAAGAAATACATAATTTTTTATTTATATACAATTCATATATTTTATTATCTATTATAAGTTGTTATGTTCCACCATTTAAAACACAGTTCTCAAATATGTGTGTTTACCGTACTCTTTATATCAATATTTTATTGAAACTAGATAGCAATTATTATTATTATTATCATTATTAATATTATTTTTATTACGACACATTATTATGTTGTATTATTTTAATTTAAAGTTTTTCCGCAAAAATGTTGGTTATAAAAATACCTATTTTATTCAAACTCATCAACAGTATAATTTTATATTAGATTGCCTTTTTTTATTGGTTATCAATTATATATTTTAAATACTTGTAAGTATAGACCTATCTAAATAATTTAATTATAATATAGTAAATTATTACATTTAATATATTATTATGAAAAAATAGTTAAATAAATTTATTTATATTATATAATTTACTTGTTTTGTTTATTACTGTTTGCCTAATTAAAATTAAGTTCAATACACCATTACCTAGTTATTACAGAACTAACGGACTACTGGGCATGTAAATGTATTTAAATATTTGAAAGTATTTGTTATATTTTCGTTTGCATTCTAATAAAATGTATTATATTTCTTTTTATGGAAGTAGTACACATTTAAACACCCCAAAATGCTTTCGCAGTATACATAATGCTTATATAAACTTAAAATTAAAAAGTAATTTAATTATAACATAACTGATTTATAATGATATAATTTGTTAATTTCTACTAAATTTCGAGTGATATTTGTCCAAAAGATGAAACTGACATTATCCGTTAGATATTTCCACGAAGAACCCAAATCTGCTTTTTATAATTATTTTAAAAGTTAAAAAACTCAATATTTTAAAATATTTATGTATATATTTCAATCAGAATTTCAAAAATTGAAACCAGAAGTATAAAATTTTACTCTGCGCGCGTTGTCAAAAGTTGATAATCTTTTTTTAATCAAAGTATTTGATTTTATTTTTAGCGTTTTAAAGAATACGAAGGGATCGCGTTATGATTTTTATGAGGAATTTAATATGTAAGAGTTTTTTTTTATCTAGGTTCAATTTGATGGAAACATTTTTTTTTAATATTAAGTTGTAGGCATGATTGAATTAAACAAGGTTATTGCACATATACCCCTTCTTCATCAAATTTTCGATGTAAAAAATCAAACATGTCAGCGTAACGGCACTCAGTCAAAATCAAATATATATACTCTGTTCTTATTCCGAACAGAGTATAAGTACACGGTAATATATTATATAGTAATACTATTACTATATAATACTATATACTATATACTTTACTATTACTGTAATAGTAAAGTATAATATATTAAAATTGATACCCCGTTATGCTGTCATTTTATTTCTGAAGATAACAATTGGAGACGATGTGCAATAACCTGTATATTTCAACCATGGTTGTAGGTTTTTTTTAACATATACATTGCCGTGCTGGAGCTTGGAGCGATTTTTAAGGCAGATATGTGTTCTTTGTGAAACTATCTACTGGATAGTGTCGGTTTTTTTATTTATTGGACAAAACTCAGTCGAAGTTTTGTAGAACTGTGTCAACCAATTATCAATCTACAATAAACAATGTATAATTATACATTTTTATAAAGAAAATATATACATACATACACTGTAGATACACAATGTATATAACTATAAATGTATTATATACTGTATAAATTATTTTTAAACACGGATTTTTGCAATTAGGTTTTTTTCATCACAACAAAAAAAATTACAAATTGCTCATAATTTGATAAAGTAAATAAACTACTATAAAGTTACTACCTCAAACTCGGTTCGTGATGTGCCATAAAATTCGACCACGCGATTACTTTCAATACAGCTAACATTTTAACCTTCACACTTACTATTATATGAAATCGTGTCGAAATAAAATAATGCAAAGTTTTGAAAAGGTGAAGGATAATAAAATAATATTTATCTACATTTTATTCATTATTATCAAATCCAAATTGGAATACGATGCGTACAATATCGTCGTTTTTAGTATACCTTTGACTTGTGAAACGAAAACTCATTTAGTAAAAATTATAAAAGCTAAGATTAAATTCATAGGTCCATAAATTAAATTTTAAGGGGGGGAAATTAAAAATTTCTCAACAAATTGTTTTGTGCTTTCTAGGATTTGGGTAATATCTTATATCATAGTAATCTTTATTAAATTATAAGTTTATATTATTTTTCAAGAGCCTCAATGGGCGTCCGTGTTTAGATCCAAACGTGTATGGAGTTGTCAATTGTCACTTTCAGTGAGAACTGAGATGGCTCCAATGATCGATGACCTAATGAATGAATAGACATAGTCTAAGTATTTAAATTATCTTTGAATAGTGTATTTTACTGGAGAAATACTAAGTCACGATAGTTGGTCACTAGTGACTGCCATCTGGTACATTTTATTATTATTAAATATTTATTAAAACAAAAAAGATATTATTATTTTTTTTTTTACATTTTTGGTTGATAATTATTAATGTTAAGAGTAACGACACGTCGGGGTTAAGCTCCCCACAGATTTGAACCGATCTTAACTACCGCTATTAAAAAAAAATTTCGACCCAAATTGAAAAAAATTTTAAATGCTATAACTATCGTAGTATTCAAATACGTTGTACAAATTATAAAACAAACTATCATAGACACACTTTGTTGATAGCTTGATATGATTAAAGTTAGAATTTGTTTTTTGGACACAGGTGGGTCGACTACTTTAGCTCTCAGGAAAAATACATTTGCCCTGAGCCGCCTCATTTAAAAATAATTATGGCGCCTCGCTGTGCCTGGTTCGGTTTGTCACATGACACATCTGTATAATTTTTAGCTAGAAATACTTAGAGTAAATTGCAAAAACGTTAACGTTAATTAGTCAGTATAATAATATACTACAAATACTCTTATTTATAATCAATGATTATTTGTATAAAAGTAAAATTATAGGAAACTAGGTTATTGGTGTCATCCGTCAACCAGCATAACCATATATCAACATTTTGCATTGGTTCTTACGGTCATGGTCACGGTATTTGAATATGAAATCTAAAAATAAACCTACCCAGTGGTATATAACGTACCATATATACCATAATAATATAATAATATTTTTGGTTATACAACACCTAATGATATAAAATATTATTAATTGGGTCGTTATTTTTTGGACATGCATTTTTGAATAATTTTTTAACAAAATTTAATAGCTGTTTATTAATAATTAAAAAGCGTTTTTAATTATTAAGCAAAAAATAAATAAATGTTGGACATGCCGTTGACTCTAGTCTATGATGATTATATTTTCACCTAGATTATAATATATTATTTTTATACTCTGTGCATAAAATTACCAATGTAATTATATAAATAGAAGTTTTATGTTTTTATTACATCAAAATTATCATTTATAATAAACGAATAAACTACATAAACTATAATCTAACTATAAACATTAATAAATAAAGTAGGCGCCGGTATGAGTAGATAAGCAAAAATAAGTGCATTAATTTGGTTCATAAAATCATTAGTTATTTCAAGTAGACATAATAGGTACTTAAACATAGGTATCAACACAAGTAAAATAAAAAAATATAAGATGACATCATAATTCATATTATTTTTAGTTAATAATTTGTATACTACTACTAGGTAGGTCATAAATTATAGGTTTGTCAAAATTACATAATATGGATTATTGTTGGAATATTTGACTGAAGAACGCGATTAAGAATGTGATTTATGGAAAACAGATTTTCCAGATTTTTCTCTGTTAAATTATAGTTGTGATTTATTTGAATAGGTCATAGGTGTATTTAATATTATTTATTTTTTATAATTTAATTATTGTAACCTTAAGATGATTATTTAACACTCTATGGCATTGTTTTTAGCTTTTTATATAAATAATGTATTATATTTATTATTTTTAGTTTTGTGCGTTGAATAAAAACATAAGTGTTTTAAAAGATTAATATCTAGATTGCCGATCATAATTATCTAGATACGGTTAATAACCGTAGAACAATTATTCTACAAAAATATTATAAATCGAAAAATACTTAAAATTTATCATAGTATGAATTTATAGTGTGGATCAAATTGATCCATTGTTTAGTCAAGTTATTTTCCTACATAATTTAGATTTTAGATAGGTCTTCTTATAAATAAAACTGTAACTCATTCCTTATTAAGATATTAAAATTATTTTACAACGGTTTTTATCTCGGTTGTGTAATTTATTTTGTCATTAAATCCATATTAATCATATATTTGTATTGCTCACATAATTGTTTTATAATTTCAGTGCGTTGATTGTTGAGTATGCACATACAAAAAAAGTTGTCTAAATAACGTTAATTTATGTTTCAAATTACATGAATTATGTATTTCCTATCAAAGAAGCTAAATTAAAACTATCTACGACCTATATTTTGGTGGTTTTATATAATTTTCAAAAAACTTATATAATTAAGCCCGTTTGACTTCATGCGCTAGGTTTTAAACAATATTTTTAATAATAAATATAACTTATATTACTCGTTACAACAACTTCCAAAACCCGTTTAAATTGTGTTTACTCATTACACTGTTAGATATTATGCATGCTTGATGATTGTGCGCATTACGTCCTCGCGAACATGTTTTAAAAGTTAGCTTATTTAATCGAATTTTAACGAATCTAAAAATTGTACTCATCTTATTAGTGAATCCCAGATGGTTGGGACTGACTTAATTAACTATTTAAATCCGGCTAGGTTTTTCCCACGCTGGATGATCACTTTTGATTATTTTAATGAATTCATCCAAAACGATCATCCTCAATGAATCGTTTAGTATATTTAGCGAAAGAGAAACGGTTTTACAATATGTTTTTTTTGTTTTAATATTTTTGTGTATGGATCTACGATTTCTTTAATCCGCTGAATACTTACCGAGTTCTTCCTATAACAAGTTTATGGATCAGAAATCGTATCCAAAAAATACTTTTATAAGGATTGAAATGAAAAAACGTCATAACTTTTTGTTATAATGTTATTACTTCCAAACTTGTGTTGGATAATCTCTAAATATATTACTACCGATATACAGTACAAAACAAAGAAAATATTATCGACCCTGATTGATTGTTTGTTGGTGCACGCTCAAGATTTAGCGTACACCCTCACTAGCCACTAGCCAGTAGGTAGGTACTACCTAATAAAAACAATACATAACATAGCCCGCCCTTCAACACGGTAATATTGATATCAGCAATTCGCCGGCGCACCCTCCGTACGGGGGAGGTAATAACACGGGGAGGTGGCGTCAGCGACACGGTCGCGGTTCGCGCGGCAAAACAAAAACATGACATAATAATAATATGACGGCCGCCAGTTGCGTGGCACGAAGTGTGCGTACAGAAGACAGCGGCCTGCGTGCTCTTCAGTACCAGTCACCACCGGTTGGCGTGTGCAGTGTACACCATCATCGCTATATTGATCGCACGGTGCGTTGTTAGTTGTTGTATTATTGTTTTGCTATTGGCTTAAATATATATATATATATACATATTTATAGCTGCCATTCGGTTAGACGCATTCGATTCACGTAACACACCAACCGTACGTCTACATTAGCTATATATAACTCCGTGTACAACCAATATTATATAGGTACACCTTGTACAATATAAGTTATATATAGGAGGTCCCTTCGACAGCGACCATTCATACGGCGACACCGGCAAACAGATCAGCACCATGGACGCGTGTTTTAGCGCTTTCGACGACGACGGGTAAATACTATTTTGAGTTTTAAATTTGAACTTTATCTTAGCCGTAGTTCAAGCACCAAGCTACCAACCGGTCCTGTAATATTTTCATTTGTTATTTATCCACACACTTTGACATTTTTATAAGAAGAATTTAATGAATGTGCAAACGCAATACGAAGATTTATGGTTATTTTTTTTTTAATTTCAAATTACACTACTTATAATAACAATTAAGCAATTATAGTTCCATAACCATTAACCAATGTGACCCGTTATCACTTATTAGTTGTATCCTGATAAGTGATAACAATTCGTGTAACAGACCTGATAAGGATTGAAGGTCGAATCGGGTCACAAATCACAATAGATGCTAATGTGTGATCAAATCTTTGTTGTATAATTAATGATTTGTTTAATTGCGGTCTTTAGCTATGAGTTATACGAAGTCTATTAATTCAAGAGAACAGACACGACTTAAGAAAGAATAAATTTAAATAATTTAAAGAAACTGTCTAGATCTTGTGCTATTGAATTATTTACCAATTACACAAGTCAGTTTTCATATAGCAATGTAGTATTTATAATTGCTTCAAAAGTTCGAAACTTTTAAAGGGTATATGGTGAAATCCTTTTTGGCTCAGTTTAATGTAAATATAGTATCTACAAGTGATAAACAAGTATCAGTTTTTTTTAAAGATTTTCCGCCTGTCGTTTAAATTATATGCAATTATTGTTCACTAGGTACTGAATATTGATGAATTTATTCGGTTACAATAACAAGTTGTATAATCAAACTTGCATTGATAATATCTAAGTACTTGTATTAAAGTTACGATTAGAATTTATTTCTTATTTAATGAGTTACGAGACCACGATATTAAGTCAACGACTATATTGTGTGTTTCGGCGTTTGCAACAATAAAAACAAAAATATTTATTCTAAATTTTAAAATCACCTCAAAGCCATAGGTGTATTTTAGGGGAGAATAATTTATGTGTGTAGCACCACTAGTTCTGAAATAGCAACCCAAAATTGTAAGTGTTTCATACCATAAATAGTGAGGAGAGGGGATTTTCTATCATTTCCAGTGCTTACACTTCTACTTATTTTAACTTACAAGCAATATTAAGTACTAATATTGGCGCAAATCTCCCACTTTTGTATTTTATTTTTCATTCCTATTTTGATCAATCCTTCATTACTCCACACTTCCATTAATCGTTATTACTTCAAGTCACAGTAGTCTTATAAATTGTACATTATATATTCTTTTCAAATCACTCTTTCGAGTGATTCGACCCACTTCTTAAAATACAATATATAAGGTTTTTTTTCGGCTACAGTTTGATAACGTGGCATACATTTGGATTTTGCGTACTCAAGTTGCGAACGGAAAAGATACCGAACCAAATTATTTAAAATAATCACTTTTTTTTGTGTGGCATTACGCTCAAGTTCGGTACTATTATTTTTTACCTACCCATGGACCGTGTACACAATGTATCAAACTGTTAGTGCGCACTTATACTTGAAAAAATAATAGTTTCCTATTCAATGGGCGTATTTTGGCTGATTCGTGCGTGTTTTAACAAAATACGAATGGCACAACAATGAAGTTTATTGTTGTCCTCTGAAACTACCGTGTTGTTCATTTTATTCAAATATACACCTAATTTCCTTGTAGTAATAGGCATCCGTGGTAGGCATTTTTACATTTACAATGTATTCATTGATATGTCTACACAATTAAATTCGTGACCATTAAAAAAAACCAGTAAAATACGGTTTAACTTCAATGCGTAGAGTATATTTGTCTTTATTAAAATGTATCAAATTATATTATGCGGCACGCTATGTTATTTACTTATTTACTCGGTTTATTTAACAACTCCTAAAAACATCATTCTTCTAAAGTTCTGGTTTTGGCTCGAAATCTTAGAATTTTATTTATTTTTTGTTAATTGTTACTTTTATTAAATTGTGTACTTTTCGAAAGTTTCACAAAATATAATTTTATCGTGAAGATGGAATAATTTTATAGACTTTTGTGCTAAATTTTTAACTGACCTCTGGAACAAAGTACAATTTTCTTAAATATTATTTTCGTTTCATTTTCATATATTTTTGGGAACTTATCAATCCAGCGGTAGAATTTTCCCAAGGGTGGCCAAAATTAATTAAATTGATACGTGAAGAGACTTTGCCTGGATATCAGGGTAGGCCAAGCTGAAGACCAAGAACGCGACTTCCAAAGTATCAATCCTTCTGATTCAGTGGTTCAATTTCTTTGAAATTTTGTTTTAGAGGAGGAGAATGGATTAAGCCTCGTTAGAGTAGGTATCATTGTTTGTTTTTCAGGAGGGTCTTAATTTATTACAATAAGCCCGAACATTAATCATCAAAAACATGTATTATACTGATGAGTTTACCCATTCGAGTTTCTGGTATTCCTTTACTTAGTAGTAATTTAACTAGAGTATACCAGTAACGTAAAAAAAAAAATTAGAAAACCCTAACTTAATTTGGTTGCTGACACCTTAATTTAAGGTTTTTGTTTTTATAAAATCGTGGCCATCGACACTAGTACAGTAGCCCAGTTCGACCACGAAGCTATTATGTCATTAATGGTAAAAAGTGTGAAATTTGGACTGAAGGTGAACATGAATATTATATTAAAATGTAGTTGCCGTTTTTTGGTATTGCGTTTGAAAATTCTAAAATTTGTCAAGGAAACAAATTATTACAGACGTATTTCTAAGGTCAGCCTTGTTAATAATTAACCTATGTGTATGTACCGGTAAAATAAATAATAAATAGCATATAATATATAATATTAATACGAGTAGGTATTAAAACATGTATATCAATCATAGTAGTCTAGTACATTATTTTGGCAGTACTAATCATCGGTATATAATCTAATATATTATTGAATCTAAGTCGCCAATGTTAAGGTGTTAATTTGTATTGTAATTTTTAATTTTCTTATGTATATGTATATTGAATAGTATGCTGTGTCTTTTTGCAACCCACATGGTGGACACCTCACTTTGAATAAAAGTCGTTTCTCTTTTAATTTGCCCACTATTATATAAAGTTTTTTTTTGCCCTGCAGTCAATACCGGACTCAGGTTTTTATGGTACCCAAATATGCAATTTGACCTCTGACCTCCAGCGCAAACAAGAAAGGTAGAAAGGTCAAAATGGGTTTACGTTCAAAATAATCTAATCAGTAATATTGCAATCAATAATAGTTTTGTAAAAAGAATCTTAGATCCTAGTATTGGAAGGCACTGCCCCCATGACGGACCCTTTTAATCCGGACCTATTTGCGATAACTTAGGCTTGTATAATGTGTTTATAAATGATTTGGTCTTAAATTTGTTTATCAATTAAAATCACATTAACACTCATTGAACGGCTTGAGTCGTTAAAACCAAAAGATGTGCTGATACACTTTATACTTTATGATTGGAGTAGAATGATTGATTGATACTTCTAGCGTTCGATATGCTTAGCTTATTTGCTCTGATCCAAAAGTCTCAATTTCACATCTTAAAGTACTAAACAGTGAATGCTTAAAGAATTGAGTGTTTATATATCGTCGAGTGCTTATGTTTATTTTATATTTACATCGTCTACAATGGTTTTTATGATACGAGTGTACGATTAAAGTAAATTGTCAGCTGATATTATTTAATTTAAATTAATTACATGAATTATAACATCGTAGTATAGAATTGTCATTATAGAGATCTTAATCGCATAGTCAAGTGCATTTTTGAGAGTTCATCGACTCTCGTTCCTATACAAATTGTAAATCACTTTGTGTCCCAAATAATATGCGAAAACATTTTAAAATTAGTAGAATTGTTACAGAAACTGGTCCGTATAGTTATAGATTATTACACTGTAAATCGCGTTATTCATTCATTCGCTATCAATAGTGATTGTTAAAAAAGGTAGGTCTGAATTACTTAAGTTGAACTAACCCTTAAACTATTATATATCCAAAAGACCAAATTTACAATTTAGCTTACCCTTCAAAAAAAAAAAAATAAATAAATAACAAATGAACTTAGAAAATGTGTATAAAAAATAAAACCATTAACAGTAAATAGACAATTGTTGTAATACAGTCAAATTAGATAATATGCCTGTTTTTGGACATTTCCGGTTTTTCGCATGGCCTAAAATTGAACTATTAATAGTATAAGTTATAACTATTAATAGTAAAAAGTTTTCCCGGTTCCGTTCAATATTGAAAATAACACTTAAACAATTTGCCAACTTAACATTACAGCACTAAAATTTTCCAAAAAAATAGTTGAAATAACTCCATATTTGTTTGTGTCAATAAATAGATTTACATATTACAAAATAATTAATAAATAATGAAATAAAACTTTTGGTTTTTAGGGATGGTTTTTTGAATATCCATGAATTTGACAGCATATGCAAAGGACTTTTCCGGAACGACCGTGGAATTGTGTACAGTTTAGATGCTGATCGGCTGGAACATATATTTAGCATATTTGATACCAAAAAGGTAACATAGCATTAAACGCTCTTTTTTTTATCGATCATTTAATATACTACAAGTTTATTTTCAGGATGGCTTGATTGATAGACAAGAATTTGTATTGTGCTGGGATAAATGGATAAAAACAGTAAGCTTGATTTTTTTTTTATCATATGTTTTAAATTTTACATTACTGTGTTTCATGTTTTAGATTGTTAGGCCCGTCAGTGTTTTTCTCATTATTGACGTACAAAACGATTTCATTTCCGGAACATTGAACATAAGCAACTGTTCAGCCCAACAAAATGGATTAGAAGTAATGGAACAAAATTGTTTAAAAAATGTTGTTATAATTATAGGTACTATATATTATTATTATATTTAAAAAATATAGGTAATTGAACCCATAAATCAATTATTGGACACAGTGAATTTTGATTCAGTGTTTTATTCGTACGATTGGCATCCAACTGATCATATATCATTTATTGAAAACTTGTCATTGCGCAAACTAGATTCTTCTTCGCCTGTAATATGTTATTTCTAATAACTATCTAATAGTATTGCTCTATCAGTTGTTATATTAACATACAATTTTATTAAGGTTTCAGCTGAAGACGCAAAGCCATTTGACACTGTAGTATTTGAGGGTTGTCCTAAAATTAAACAGCGTTTATGGCCAAAACATTGCATCCAAGATTCTTGGGGTGCTCAACTTTATAAAGATTTAAAGGTAAAAAAAAAACTGTCATTTTAAATCAAATAGTTAAATGCGATAATTGTGATTAATTAATAACTCAAGGTTGTAGATAACGCTATGAAAATTTATAAAGGGACTGTATCCGACGTGGACTCATACTCAGTATTTTGGGACAATAAAAAACTATCTGAAACAACATTGTGTAATCAGTTAGCAAATTTGAACATAACGGATATTTACGTATGTGGACTAGCCTATGATGTCTGTGTTGGTAATGTATTTCATCGGGACCTTGGACCTTCATAATATTGCATTACTATTGTCAAACTTTTTTAGGCGCTACTGCTGCTGATGCACTATCAATTGGATACCGAACAATATTAATTGACGATTGTTGTCGAGGTGTTGACGTGGATGATATAAATTTAACTAAAAACAGTGTGATAAAAAATCATGGCGTTATTGTTCAATCACATGAGGTGTGGTGATTACATTTTTTTTTTTCAGGGGATGTTATAACTTATTGAAATATTTCTTGTTTGTTTTTTTTCGTGTTTACAATTCTGCTTCGTCTATGGTTATTCATTGAGCACTCAGTACAGCTGTTAATACTGGGTACCCGTTATTTAAAAAAAAAAAAAATAGGCACCCGAAATGAAAACCCGAATCTTAACAGGTTCCCTGGTATATTACGTTACGGGTATTTCTCAGTAAAAATCAAGTCTTTATACCCAGTCATTAATAAAAAAATTTAAATGTAACATAATATGCAATAATAAAAATTTGCTATTCAATCATAGACACATTTTATTAATTTAATACACAAACTTTAAAATTGCGAAAAATAACCATAATTTATAATTTTTTTTGGATCGAAACTAAAACAAAAATAGTCTGAAAGAGAAGCATAAGGCATATATACTGTCCTTTTATTGTAAACAATTGCTTTCTGGAATATTTTAGTGATCACAATGGGTTTTTATATTTTCTAGGTAAAAGCAATGGTTGAAGGGCGAGACAGACGTCCAGAATTAGGTTACAAATTAGCCCTTGAACTCGAAAAATCCATCCAAAACAGTAAAGTAAAACATATAAAATAAGATGTTATAAGAGTTGCATATTTTAAATAGTTATTACTAATTAATTTATTATAAAAATAGTCATTTTATGTTTTGATTGTTATTTTATTATAATTTGTAAAACACAAAATACATGTTTTGTTATCATAGTAACAATAACTATATGATAATAATATGTAAATTTGCACTAATAGTAATTGTACAAATTGAGTAATTTTAATTGTACAAAAAAAAAAAAATGTTATAATACAATTATGATTTTGTTGAGGTTTTACAAATGAACCATAAATAAGTATTGTATGGTTTATGTATGTGTATTTATAAAATAAATAATATGTTATTTATTACTTTTTACATTGCAATGTTCCTTTTTTAATTTTGTTGAAGTTTTGTTTTAAGTTCACTGGTGTGCTTCAATAAACTAGCAACATTATGACGCATGTTGTTTAGTTGTAATGCAGACATTCTGATAGTTTTACTTTTTCCGTTTTCTGTTAACTCAATAAAAATATGTGCCTCCATTTTTGGTTCTTCACTAAAAAAAGTTAATTATATTTTTAAAAATAATGTTTTGTATTAAGTAGTACAATTATAAATATAGTTGAGTAGTAGCTATCTAATAATAATAATACAAATCAATATTCAGATAATATATTGTGTATTTATTATTATTTTATATAATTTATTAAGACGAGTGAGTGTGTCTAACATTCACTGTCGCCAGTGTGATACTTGGCTGGGCGAGAAATTTTCCAGTAAAAAGGCCAGCATCCTCTTTTCGGGAAAAAACTAACCACCCGTCCTGGCATATTACTTGGCAATATACTTCAATTATAGAAATTGATTACTTTAGTGAAGACCTCTCTCTATTCCTTATATAAAAGATTGTCAGAACTATTCTATTGTTATATTAGTCATAGAAGTTCATAAGACAATTTTCCAGTCCTAGGTTCGTCAAGTTAAGATTAAATATTTAAATCTAACTTATGTTATAATCGTTTTTTATACAATATAAATGTGGAATATAATACCGTGTAACATTAACGTCTTCAATTCTGAAATTACTTGGCGCTTTTGTATAAACATCCATTTTTGGTACTTCAGATATAGTTAATTTTTACTAATTGTGTTCAAAAACCTAGCTGTTTGAACCTACTTCTCCATTCTTGTACCTTTAATACTCAATATTAATTATTAATTAATTTGTAAAAAATATATTGTTTGATTTAGATGATGTATAATATAATAATTAATTATTTAAATAATTATTCAATAAATTTTCCAGTTTACATATTTAATCATTTGGTAAGTGGTATCACAAGTTAATCACACGTTTTTTTGTGTTTCTTATCTCATTATTGAAAAATATGAATATGATGTTAAAGACGTTTTGCCTAAAATAGCAGCACATTTTATTGTTTAATTGAAATGTAATTTTAACTTTGAAATTATAAAACTTGATTTTAAAACGTAACTCAAGTGACACTAGACGTTACACAAAATTAGTTAAAAATATTTGGACAATTAACACTTTTTACTTGTACAACATTCAAAATTAAAATGTTAACCACTGCTTTTGTCACTAGCTTCATACTTTATTGATAATGTAGTGCGCCGGTTCTCATAAAGAATTGGCGCTAAAACATTAAACATTTAATATCGAAACCGCACATTGCCAATTACCATCGAATATCGATGACTCCATATTTTATTTCTGTTAATTTTATGCGTCTCGGTTAATTTGTATGTAATTGAAAACCATACTTTTGTAATTTGTAATAATATTATATCTATTATAAGATTTAGTGTCGTGAATTGTGTCGATGTGATTTAAAAAATTCATAATTAATTGTTTAATGTTCGAATTTATGGTTTAATAATGTCGAAAAACACATTATTCAATTATTTTAGTAGATCGCCTGTTAATTCAGGACAAAAAGTCAACGGATCGCCTGACGAATCGTCCTTTAAAACACCTAAACGGCCGTCTAAACAGCTATCTGTGACCCCCAAAACTGCGCCGAAAACGGCAAATGGAAGTTCGAAAAAACCAAGAACCAATAATAGTTCTGTAAAGAAAACGACTGATAAAAGAAAACCGACCTTTGGTACACATTTTTGTTATTTTTATTCGAGTAATTGTTTTTGACAGCTAATATTACGTGAATCACTTAATTTTTTTTGAATTGTAGATGAATCGGAGGAAGATGAGGATGATTTATTGCCTTCGAAGAAAAGACGCAGGTTAGCGTTAGAAGACATGAGTGGTGACGAGGAAGATTCTGGCGACGAATATCAACCAGGTGAGTACCATATTTTTTTAATTCAATTGTAACTATTGAAGTATTAATACTTCTATAAAGTCCCTTATACATAATACAACAGTTTGCACAACCACTGTGTTTGTGCAAAAATGTTGATGGTGTAATGCACAACGGTTTGAAGTAAATATTGGTCGTGATCGAAATGTGTTGTGCAAACACCAGCACTTGGAGATGGGTAGTGTATGAGGAGCTCTAGATATAGAAATATAAAAAACTAACTTTGAATAATAACAACTTATCTTGCTATTAGATAAAAATGCATCAATTGAAAGTGAAACGGATTCTGAAGGAAGCCCGGAGGTGTCTGATGAAGATTCTTTTATTAACGATGAAAGTGAAGAAGAATCTCCTGTAAAGGTACTAAATAAACATAAATTAATAGTTAAATTTAACACATTTAAAGTAGTTATTAAAAGATACTGTTTTTTTTAAATGATAACAAAGAAAAAGAAGGTATCAAGATCAAAGCCAGTTAAAACCAATGGAAACTCAAGTTCATTGAATATTTCTCTTGCTTCAACTGCAGAAAAACCTTCCAAAGAAGTATGTACATACACACACATACATACAAGTTAATTTGTGTACAAATATTTTATTACTATTGTATGTTGAATAGGCTACTAAAGGCGTCGTAGATCATGATAACTGGCCGCATTTAAAACTTGAATTTTTAAAACCAGAAAAGATTAAAGATGTGAATAAAAAACCACTGACAGATCCTAATTATAATCCTAGAACGTTGTACGTTCCAGAAGATTTTAAACAGAAATTAACTCCGGTAAACTATACTTTAATTATATTACCTACTTTATTATCTAAAATATATATATATATATATATGTGTATTCATATATAATCTATCTTAAATGTTTTCGATCTGAATAGGCTGTGCGTCAATGGTGGGAATTAAAATCACAACACTATGACTGTGTGTTATTTTTTAAAGTTGGAAAGTTTTACGAAATGTATCACATGGACGCGGTAACTGCTGCTAAAGAACTCAACCTTTTATACATGAAGGTAAAATAATGAAAATACCAAAAAAACATGAAGAATTATTTATCTCGTAATACTATTAAGATTAATAATCTTAAACAAAATGCAGGGAGATTTTGCTCACGTTGGTTTTCCGGAAAGTGCATATGGTCGATTCTCAGCCATTCTCGTAGAAAAAGGTTATAAAGTAGCTCGTATTGAACAAACAGAAACACCCGATATGATGACTGAACGCTGCAAAACTAGTAAGTTGCAATACATTTTGTATTTAACATAAGGGTCAGTATGTTTGTATACCTATAAGTTTTATTTAAATTTTTTTCTAAATATTTAAGTGAAAAAAACAACAAAGTTTGATAAAGTCGTACGCCGTGAAATATGTCGAATAACATCAAAAGGTACAAGAACGTTTGGTATTATTGATGGTGAAACCAATGATGCTGAAAACTCATTTTTAATTGCTATATCTGAAAAAGTAAGTATAAGAGAAACAGGTTTTGATCTTGAGTCTTATAATTTACCACATTACATGTTTTTAGGAATTAAATACTTCGTCTTCTATGTACGGCGTGTGTTTCATTGATACTTCCATTGGAATATTTTATCTTGGTCAATTTGAAGATGATTGCCACTGCTCTAGGCTAAGAACATTGTGTGCTCATTACCCACCTGTACAGGTAAATAAGTAAAATATTAAGGGGCGGGATTGTATGCGGTCAGTTTTTTCAGTCAACCCATCATTTTTATTCCATTAAACAGGCTCAATCAGTGATACAATAAGCAATCTAAAAACAGATTTGTATTCGCCATGAAGTTTCCTTAGGTCATCAGGGTACTTTATTAATTTTAATCCTTTCCAAATTTGATTTTAAAATTTAATATAATGTTCAAACGTGTTTTATACATAGTAGGAATAAGATATCAAAAAAGTATGCTAACCGATCTCAAGTAAACTCCATGACAAATTCAAATCTGTTTTCAGATTACTTATCAGATCACTGGTTTCAGCCTGTGCCATGAAACAAAAAATGTATATTATATTAACTAAAATGGTTTTTACTCATAGACAAAATGATTTAAATTAAAAATATACTACAAAGCTTATACAAATTAACCGGTAAACTAATTGACATGATTGGTATTTATTAAAACCACTTTTTTCTTAAATATTGCCTATACAAAGCTTGTTAATAACCAACCGCATGCAATCCGCTTAAGGGGAGGGTAGGGTATTAAAAATTTTTTTTGTTAACTGAATGCACAATATCTCAAGAATATTGTGTCAAAATTTCAAGTCGATCAGAACAAAATTGACGACGTTATGAGTTGTCGGAATTTTATAGCTGCCCGACCCGAGCGCACTATCGTTAACTTTAAAGTGTTTTTCCCACAACTCACGTTTTCAAAGTCGGTGACCACCATAACTTTAATACTACTATACCGATCCTTTTGAAATTTTGAACACTATTTCAGTACATAACTAACGAGGTAACGCTGGAGAGTTTTTTTCAAATTTGTTAATATTTTTTATTTTACAATAACAAATTAGCCAATTTTTTTCGCAAAAATCGCGTTTTTTCCTTCAAAGTGTTCCCAAAAAGTAAAAAATTGAAATTTCAAAAAACCCTCTAAGCATTACCTGGGGAAAGAAATTATCTAACGAAAGAACTTAATTTTTTTAATTTCGGATGATCCAGCATCGAGTTATGAGGGGCACCGCAATTCTACTTTTTTCCGAGACGCTTCTGAATAATTGCCGCCGTTGCCGTATTTTTTAATATTTCTACATGAAAATATTACACAATATTTTTCGAATGTTATACTTTAATGTACCATTAGTTTTAATAAACAGGTTTTAACTGTGTTGTCAAAAAAAAATCACAAAAATTTGCCGTTTTTTGCACGAATTAACCATACCCCCTCCCCTTAATACACATGGTACGTACCAATCTAAAAAGGGTTCTCTTATTTATTCAATGTTTTTTGAAATCTAATAAATAGTTTATAAAAATGTCGTTAATACTCTTTGATTAAATAAACCTTACAAAAAATGTAGTTGCAATACAAAAAACATGACTTTCATTTAAAATGTAAATGAAAGTACACGTTAAAGTGAATATGTTGACCCCCTTATTTGGTTTTTATTGTGAATATTAACTTTTCAGTAGTTTATTCCCAACTACAAAAAGTTCTTTATTTTAGGAACAATATGAGATAAATAAAAAAAGTTCAGGATGCGTATAAACTTATTTCAGATAAATCCTAGATCCATTTATATATATTAAGTTTTGATTAGTGGGCCCTTAAAATTTATTTTTTTTTCTTTTGAGCAATATTTAAGTATTATTACTGACATTTTAAAATTGTTCAATTGTCTGAAACAATAGTTTCTTTTTACTAAACTATACACTAGTTACTTCATTCTAATTATCTTATTGTTCGTTTTTTGACAGGTTTTGTTTGAGCGCAATAAATTAACACAACGTACTAAAAAAGTAATTGATACCATGTTGTCCAGTGCAGTCAAAGAAGCTCTTATTCCAGAAACAGAATTTTGGTCTTCATCAAAAGCGTTACTTACCTTAGCCGAAGGAGATTATTTTAAAAAGGACGACAATATTGTGTACCCGGAAAAATTAAAAGAATTTTTGGGATGCGGTGAGTGAAATTACTATTTGTTTTGATACTGTTCAAGTTGAAGGAACTGTAGTCTGTAGAGTAAGCACATAATTATTGGAGAAGCAATTATGTCTAATAACTTGAACATGAACAAACTATTATTTTAAGTGTAACAAATAAATTTAAAATTATGTGTATAGTAAGTTAAAATTGTGGATTAATTTGTTTAGAATCCGATTTGCAATTAAACGCCAACGATGAATGTGAATTTGGTATTAGAAGTTTAGGTGCAGTCATTTGGTATTTAAAGCGATGCAAATTTGACTACCAACTTTTAACTAGAGGCAGATTTCAGATTTTTAAACCCGTGGATGTTGAAAGTATTAATTTATCCAATCAGGAGGATAATATCAAAACTAAACACATGGTAAGATACTGAGGTCTTAATATAATGTATTGTCAAATAAATTGAGTATCTTTATAAAATTCAATAGGGGAGTTGTGCATAAAATACAATATCATTTTATTATACATATTTTTATCGATTAAGTATTAAGTAAAAATGTACTGCCGAAGAAATATGTATATACAGTAAAGTGTATATTTTTTGTGTTTAAGGTTTTTTTTTAAATATTTCATTATTTTATTTCTTTACTAAGTTCAGAGTTTTTAAATATTTTGTTTGTGTAAAAAAGTTTATATCATTGATTTATATGTTCTATAAATAGATTTTAGATGCTGTTACATTGAAAAATTTACATGTATTGGAAAATTCTGTTGGGTCATACACCGGAACGTTACTTCAAAAACTGAATCATTGTTCTACACCATTTGGAAAAAGGTAAATAATGTTTGTATGATTGGCACTGTAATAGTTTAAGACAAAGAACTATTGATTCTTTTTTTTTTAGATTGCTCCACCAATGGTTATGTAATCCTTTGACGTCAATTACTAGCATTATAGCTAGGCAAAATGCTATTTCGTCATTGATTAAAATCCCAGACTTGGTTCAAGAAATACGATCAGAATTATCGAGTCTACCAGATTTAGAGCGATTGTTTTCGAGGTTAGTATTGGCATATGTTCGTTTTTAAAATGGGTGCCAAACACTATTTTTAAAAGTATCATATTCAAATGGATACATAACCATTACCATATTGCAAGTGTGGAAACTAGTACTTTTACTCAATTATTTCAAAATCGAGCCATTGTTGTCACATTTTTCTAAGCTGATTTATTATTTAGTTAGAATGGAAAAATATTAAATTCAAAATCCTGTACCGCTATTAGGGAAGCATGGAGGACCTAAGTCTGCTAAACATAGTGAGAGATGCTTTGTAGTTTAATATTTAGTGTGCAATTACTTGTTATAAGCTTAACTTATATTTTAATAAATACAAAAGTTTATAACTCATATTATAATTATAAAATATAAACTTTTATATGTTTTAAAAGTTGTAAAAGGTCACAAAACTCTTTATGTTCACATTTGGTCATTTAATCATTTTTTTGAAGAGCTTAAAACACTTCCAGCCCCAAAATTCTATTTAATGCACAACTTCTATTAATGTAACATAAACTGCATTCATAAATGTCATTATATTTTATAATTGTATTTAGCAATGTCAATTATGTAGTTTAAACAAATAAATTAAACTTTTTTAATTTTGAAAGATTTATGCTATTAAAACTAGGCTAGCCACTTGCGTCCTCTAATGGGTGTTGGTGCACTGTATAATAAATATTCTTTTTTCTTGGTAATCATGCAAATATATCGACCATAAATTATTAATTAATCAGTATTTTAACAATCAATAAGTAAAAATATAATTCTTAAAAAAAAATGTTAAGCATTGTTGTTTGTGTTGATGAAGTATTATTTTGTGTTTATTATTTAGAATCTATTCTCAAAGCACTTATGGAGTAGAGTCAGATCACGCAGAGACGAGAGCTGTTTATTTTGAAGAAAAAATATATTCAAAAAGAAAGATCATGGATTTCATTTCAATACTAAAAGGATTTAGAACGAGTGTTGGAATAATGGAGAGACTGCAGAGTAATTTTAAATTAAACAGTTTTTTAAATTTATACACGTTTTAAACATACATTATTTCATAGGTGCAAATATAGAAAATAGTGCAGAATCTAATTTGTTGACAGCAATTTGTAACTATCCAAAAAGTAAAAATCCTGGAATATTTCCCGATTTGACAGAATCATTGGATAATTTTCAAGTAGCTTTTTATTTTACTAAATTTAGTTAATTCATTTATTAATAGCTGTTCTATTTATATTATTTCTGAGTTTCGTATGTTTTATATTTTATTTTTTTAAAGTATTTTTGTAAAACCCTTAACCTGGCGTGTGGTATTTTTTCTTAAGATGCTTATAAATATTTTTTATATCAGTGTTTAAAAAATTGGTTTTGATGAAAAACTTTCGAAACTGTTAATAACTTAGAGGTATACTGTCATAACGCACTTGGCTAGTTAAGGGTTACTTTTCAAGTTGTACTTGATAGAGAACGCTAGCATTAAAAATAAAATAGATAAGTAGTGCTGTGCAAAAAAGCTGCAATCGATTTTGTGTATTCATTAAGCAACAGAATTTTTTGTAATTGGTATGTTTTTTATTTAGAAAATGTTTTATTTAAAAATTATGTAGAATTCGTTTGATCACGATGAAGCTATGAAACACGGTCGTATATTCCCTGAACTGGGAATGGATGATCAGTATGATGGAGTTTTAGAAAAAATTAAAGAAGTGGAAAACGAGTTAAAAGTGTACTTGAAAGAACAATGCAAACACTTTGGATGCAACGTAAGTTGATGGATGCTGTTCAATTGAAATTGAAATTATGTATTTTTTTTTACAACATTTCCAGGTAGTTTATTTTGGTTCAGAAAAAAAACGTTATCAGCTAGAAGTACCAGAGGCTGCTTCTAAACGAGCCGGAGAAGGATACGAACTACAAAGTCAGAGAAAAGGATTCAAAAGATACATTACCGACCGCACAAAGGTTTGTTTTGTAATAAATTTTACATTGACCGTGTTAAATACAATTTTTTACACTTGCATATAATAAAATCTAGGAACTACTGGACCAAATAATAAGTTATGAAGAAGAGAAAATAGATGTGTTAAAAAGTCTCAGAGAACGTATTTTCTCTCGGTTTTGTGACAAGTTTGATGATTGGAATAATGCTATCCAATGTTTAGCTACGTTAGATGTATTCATATCGCTATCAGAATATTGTCGTTGTGAAGAAGATATAATATGCGTTCCGAAATTTGTGCCGGCTCTTGTCGATAAGAAGGTATACATTTCTAAACGATTAGTACTTTCAACTTTATATTAAGACTTTTGGTTTTTAGCCATTCGTTGAACTTGTTGAAGGCCGATACCCTTGTGGTACTGGAGAAGAAAGTTTCATCCCAAATGATACAATTATTGGCAAAGAGAACGACGAGACGTGGAATTCAAGTTTAATATTAGTTACTGGTCCTAATATGGGCGGTAAATCTACATTAATGAGACAGCTTGGTATCATTACAATAATGGCTCACATGGTAAATATGTTAATTATTTATGGCTTAACAATCATACAAGAGGACGTCATACCAGTGGGTTCACTAAATTCGTTGTAATATAGTCCTTAAGAGCGAGAATAGCTCAAGGACTAACAAATCAAGTCTGCTAAAATGTTATATTTTATTATTTATTTATTTTAAGTGATGTTCTGTTCATTTTAAAGTCTATTGACGAAAAAAGACTAAATGAATGCCTTTTTTTATTTTCGTTTAAGATAAACCCCAATTATCTCTCCTTTTTAGACATTTTTATTTGATGAATCAATGGTAAAATTATAGGGTTGTCATGTGCCGGCTAAAAACTTTGAGCTAAATCCAGTTGATAGAATATTCACTAGGATCGGGGCTAATGATAATATAATTGCTGGAGAATCTACATTTTTCGTCGAGCTATGTGAAACATCTGCTATACTGCATCACGCCAGTAGATTTTCATTAGTTTTAGTCGACGAATTGGGTAAGAAATTAAATTTTTAAAAAAAATGATGTTTACAGACAATAGTAATAACGTATATGTTAATTTATTGAAATTGCGATGAAATTTATTTTACTCATAGGCCGGGGAACATCGACTTATGACGGAACAGCGATTGCTTCTGCCGTCGTTAAAGAACTAGTACAGAAAAAATGTCGTACGCTATTTTCCACACACTATCACTCACTTGTAGAAGACTTCAAAACAAATTCTTTAGTCGCTTTAGGCCATATGGTAATTAATGTAGCAACATATCCAACTCTGGTACAGTAACTTATGTATTATTTTAACTGGTTTTTATATAGGCTTGTATGGTTGAAGATGACGAGACAAACGAAGAAATTGAGACTGAACAAAATCAAGAAACTATTACTTTCTTGTACAAGTTTGCAAATGGTGCTTGTCCTAAATCTTATGGGTTTAACGCTGCTCGTCTGGCCGGGATGCCCGCTGACATTATAAAAATTGGTTTGTGCAGAGCTAAGCAATTTGAAACGGCTGCCAAGCGTAGAATTCTATTCAAAACATTAATCTCATCAGACGATCAGACTGCAGTGAAAACTGCAATAATGGCATTATAAAACATTATTATGCACAAATCAATTACTTATTGTTATATTAATATTTTGTTTGTAATTTTTAACTTTTAAACAATGTTATGTTCCTAAATTGATCGTTTAATAATCACATACAAATTATACATTTTTTACAGCTAATTTATAAAAGATAAATAAATAAATGTTAATACAAAAACAAAAGTGAATGTGTTATTAATTACTTTCTAGTGATCTTGGCGACTAGGTCCCGGACACTCGTTATCTAAATCTTCTTCGTTGTCATAAACTGTTCCACAATACACACAATATTTATATGTTTTTCTTAAATAATATTTTACTATTTCTAATTGTTCGGCTATAGACATGTTTTCTTCTACAACTTCTGTATCTTCTGCAGCGATATCATCTTTGTCGGTATCATCGGTAACTTCGGGCCATAAAAATGTTTCCGATGGTTCTTGTATATCCTATAATATATTTGTACGTTGATAAAAAACATATATATTTATCAAATATTAAATTATAGCTCTGCTCTACATGAAACTATAACTTGGTTATAGAACTCTATAAATCCTTGATGCTATATTTACACTCTAACGTGATGAACAACATACCTTTTCTAAATCCATTTGGCGACATATACGTTGACATCTGTACAAATCGGATCGATCTTGTTTTTCCGCTTCTACTTGAGCTCTTCTTTCTCTATACTCTGTCACAGACATGCTTGAGGCAATAGATAGTCTTTTCAGGATCATTTTTTTTTTCATTTCCCTAATTTCTCTAAGCGCTTCGTCTCTTCCTAACCCTTTGCGATCGGTTTTCAACACAATCCCAATTGGATCTACTCTCCCGCAATCTAATAACAAATAAAAAATTCAATTCAATTGATACATAAAATAAATATAGTATTCTAAGTGATGATTTACTATTTTTGCCAATGCCTGATCCAGGCTTATAACCCATTTTTTGCAATAGAGAAAATCCTTTGTTACTACTATCTATAGCTTTTTCTAATCCTTCTTGACGATTTTTTTCTTCTAATAGCTTGACAGTATTTCCTTTGTTAGCTATTTCGCACAATTCTTTTTTTTTCATTTGATGATGTAACCGTTTATCCTTATGCGTCATTAAAAGACCAGGCCGTACATCACGGGTGGATCTAACAAAGTCCAAATATTTTACATTTTAGATGTAACACACTTATAAAAATTTTAAACTAAAGTAACCAACATTTTTAATTTGTAAGCATTACTTACTCGACATTAAGAAAAGCATCGGACATGTAATCATCTTCTTCTTCTTCAGTCATTGTTGCTTTGGACGTTTGAACATTTAATACCGAACTACATATATTAAACTGTAAAATTTGAACTGTATGAAAATGTACTAAAACTGCTTTTATAAATAATTATTAAAGTATTCAAATAATAATAATATTAACCAATATTTGCAGACAAAACAAAAATTTGAATTTTTAAATGTTTAACTTTATCATTTATTGCTTATCACTTTTGCCAGTATTATCATAATATTATCACAGAACAATTACAGAATAATAAGTTATCCAGTGATATTATCGCAGACATTGACGGTTGAAAATTGAAAAATAGTAAATACAGTAAATATGTTATGATTTTGTTGGCTTATAGTATGAAAAAAAGGTCTCTTTTAAATAAAATCAGTAATTGATTCCGAGAAGAGGTTCCTAAATTTTAATAGTTTAGTAACAATGTATATTGTTGAAAAATAATAGTGTATTATAAATAATAATGGCACAATCATAATATCAAATATGAAATATAAATATCAAACAAAGAACAATATTAGATAAATTGAAAATAAATGTTTTTATCAACTAAACAATTTTTTTTTAATAGTCGAATTAATTCCAGATTTGTATGGAATATTCTTTAGATATTGTGAAATTAGCAAAAATCTTACCCTTACCCCCGTTAGTCTTTCGTTAGCGCTGAAGATGACTACATTGTTGCCGAACTACGTATACGCAAATAGTGTATTATTATTTATAGTTAAGGGTTTTAAATATTAATTTCTTTACATTAAATTAATAATATATTATAAACCTACCTACTCTGTGGACTGTGTCTACATTTTAGCCCTTCAATTCTAAAATGCTGACGGGGCGAGCGAATCACAGTGGTCGACTTTGTGTCTTCTGCATACATAGTTGGTGTACCATAGTGATTCGCCGGGACAAAATGTAAGTCTACGTCTAGTTACGAGACCAAAAAACGGTTGTCATATTTTAAGTTTTCACATTTAACGGTTTGTAGGTGCCGAAAAGCTATTGACAAAATTTGTTTTGGACCGATATTTATTTATCTCTATCCTCGAGGGTACTGTGGCAGTTGAATAAGCTGTTGGTTCGGGTTCCCCACATCGTTGTAGTAACAATATTCAGTACCGCAATATCTCATATTATACCAGTCGTTTACGGTGGCGGGCGGCGGTGCATTCGGTAGGCAATATCGATACATGTGCGTATGCGAGGAACGAATGCAACAGACAGACTTAAAATGTTAATATAATTAAATATATTTTCTGTATAATAATAATATACAATATGTTACGGGTGTGCTTGTAATATGACGTGTGCATATAAAAGAGTATCCAACCTGACGAATGTCTGTAACGCCTCCTTAGTAGAGACATAAGCTAAGACTATAATGTTACATTGTATCGCACGTGTCACATTCGGCCGACCGTTACGAAAAGTGTCCGACTCGCCGTTGTATGGTATTCAATACTTATGTTTATTAGAACATGATGATTTTTGCTATTTTTGTAGTTTTCTATAAAACGGGCTAGCCATTTATTTGACCAAAACGCTATCATTCATTTTGCATAGATTTAGATTTGATTAACTTTTAATAATAACATATTGTATAATATAATTAATAGGCATAGGTATAAAAGACATGGCAATTTTTTTTTAAAGCAGCGTCCAATAAGTAAAAACTTTTAATTAAAAATTATTTTCTACTTTTCTTGAAATTAATTTTAGAGTTTACCTAAAACGACTTTTAAAGTTTTTACTTATTTTTATTCTTTATTTTTAAATAAGTAAAAACTTTAAAAGTCTTTATACACAACATTTTTAAAGCTCTACTGCATAAGCGGTTTACAAACAAAAATAACGTGCTAATTTAGATCCATATTTGCAGCCTATGAGAAAAAACCATAGACTTATAAAAATGTATATAGGTCTATGGAAAATAACCTACAGGTACAATGGATGTATTCGGCTTTTTGTTAGTTATGTACAATTATGCTTTTAAATTAACGACTATACACAAAAAAAAAACATGTTCGAACTCAATATTATGGCCGCTATATCATTAGTTTACGGCGTAGAGTCGCCAAGACTCGTGTTATTGACGTTAAGAGGACGCTACCCAGGCCATTTCTGAAGAGTAAAGTATAGGCAATTTTTCGAAAAATCTAAAGTGGCTGTACTGAAAATCGTAAACTTGTTCGAATTAATATTTTGATGAAACAGCTCCTCTATATTACTCAGTGCTCTATGATTCCACTATAGTTCGGTCGTTAGCCGTGACACATCTAACAAATATATATTTTAAATAAGTATATACACTATGAAGCACAAAGATCAATAAAGGCATCACGACCTTGTGGGTACGTATGAAATTTGACATAATACGTAGTTTTCCGAAAGGTCAAAAATGTCCATAGCAAAACGAAAATATGAATAACACGACACCCCTACCGAACACAAAACGCGATTACCATCTCATTTTATAAAAGCACAACGATTCTAGTTCAGACGGAATAAAATCACACGTATAAACGGCCTAAAAATGCAAAATATTGTTATGACGTTTTTTTTGTTTTGTTCACCGAACGTGATCATAACGTTGTGTGTCAATCGCAATTTTAGGCGACATAGATGTCTCTACCTTACTAATAATATTGAAACTGTTGAAATAGCAATATATAATTTATATTATATTCTTCTTACAATTAGAATGTAAGTTCGCATTTGTATTGTTAAGATAAACTTGTTGTCTTAATAAGCATAATATTATGGTGTGATCTATATTAACCAAAGTTGTTTAAAGTAAATAGCGTGTTAACTGACATCAATATTAATATTGCAATTTGTACAATATATGATCTAGAATATTCTTTGGTATTACATAAAATGGTATCGGAAGATATCCAAGTTAATCACTCTTTCACATAATGTTCATTTAAGCTAACTGTGTATAACAAGTCTTTAATTATTACTTTATTGAATTAGCCTTAGTAAAATTTTACTTTATCATTATTACTATACAACTTGTGTTAATTCTTATTTTGTCTAAATCCACTCAACACTCAAAGTTCAACAAAACCATTATACAGAGGTCATCGGTGACCAATGACGATCCATCGGTTAACGAATTTCTTTGGAAAAATTAGATTTCAAAATAATCTTCCAATTTTTTATCATTTTTCTCACACACAAACCACGTATGTGTGTTTTAATGAAAATTAACGTGCAACCGACTCTTTTGAAAGGGAGGGTGACTTTTACGCGACAAAACTACCCTCAAAAACTATTTCTTTTCTTTTTAATTGGATATTTTATAGTCCGTCTTTAGGTGTGAAAAATTCCAACAAATCGCTCGTCACAGAGTCACCTCTATGCTCTATCAGGTGGGAAATGAGTAAACCGATGTCTTTTAGACCAACAATAATTATTATAAAATCGAGCAGAAGCCAACGTCTTGTCTGGCGGGGGTCAAAAATATGTTGAATGAAAAAAATTGCCTATATCAAACTCCTTAAAAAATAGGGGTAGAAAGTCCTCTTGAGAATTCTGTTACCACTAATTAAATAATAATGCAAATCAACCATATTCCATTTGAACACATGACTGTTGGTATTAATAATTTCACTGACTTATATTTTATAATAATAAATATAATTTCAATTTTAATTAAATTTCATAATGTAATGTACATTAACTGAACAATAATTCTAACTATTACAAATATTACTAAAATATTTTATTGTTAAATTCATTTTTTCTACAAACAACTTTAAAACTTATACTAAACAATTAACATACGTGAACTGTACTAAACAACTTACTAAATAACTTTAAAAAAAATTATACAATTTTAATACGCATAACCACAGTGTTCATAATAACAGAAAGCCCACATATATAACTCATTAACTATAGTTAATATCACATAAGATTTGATATACATTTTAACAAACAAAAAAGTCGAATAAATAAACAAGGCTGAGCTTAAACTTAAACATTAAAATCAGTCTTACACAGATATATATTTTTTTTAAACAAAAAATTAAATGTATAACTAAAATCTAATAATAAATTAAAATACATATTCCTTGTTTTGTTTTTTTTGTTTGAAATTTTTTTAATTCGGCGTATTGGTTGGGAAGCACGTTTTAAAACGTTAATGAACTATCACATTCATTTGCAGTATGTCCAAACACTGGGAAAAAAGAAAAATACTTAATAGTTTTATAACAAACTTTACAACGGTTATTTATATTTATAATATTGTGTACAAATGTATTAGTTTGGCTTATTGCTGAGCTAATTTTCAATACATTTTCACTTTCCAAACTAATCGAAGCCAGTAAAAACATGAGATTATAAATGATACATCATAATGAGGAAAATACTAAGTTTATGATCTTATCTATTAGAGATGTAGACCAATCTAATCTAAAAGTGTAATTTCTTAGTTTTGAAAAACTACCATTCAGCTGTCGGAGAAGAAGAAGAAGTTTTTTACTTACTATCACAACAAACACAAAAAGGTTCTTCTACTAATGTATCGTCGTTATCGTTATTAACAATTCTGTGTTTCTTCTGAAATTTTGGCGATTCCGGTTTCTCGGGACAATCCTCAGTGTCATGAGCATCAAATATCTCACATTGTTCACAATACAAACGGGCGGTCCTAATTCTCGCTTTCTTGTTTTGACCACTAAAAAAATGTTTTAACATTAATATGTTTTTTATAGCTGATTATGGATGGTCAGTTCAAAATTTGTGTAAGACTTTTCAGTAATATCAAAATTTGGCTGACGATTAGGAGTAGGCGAATGCCAAAAGCATATTCATGATTCCTAATAAATTTGTTCTTGAAGTGGAGGAAAATATTGTATTTAAATATAAATTTACCCGAATGATACGTATTATACACACTGCTAAATTGTTTACCTTCCGGAATCCAAGATTTGCTTTTCGAGCGATTCCATTTTAAACTTGTTATCCGATACCTTTGCATGGAGATCGGCAATAATGTTGTTTAATAAATTGATTTGCCAATCTTTTTCTTCCAGTATTTTTGCAGTTTCTAAACAGAACACGTTTTTTGTAAAATACATATTTTTTAAAAGTGAACTATGTAGAACTTGATTAAATGAAATTATTAACACACCAGATTTTGTGCCAGTCTTATTGTTATCACCATCGCGAGAAGATTCATTATTAACGACTATTTGCTGTAACTTCTTCTTGTCTTTTTCCAAACTATCGCATTTAGTTTTATATTCGGCAAAACGGTCATTTTCAGCTTTCAATTTTGATATCTATAACGTTTGAGTATATATTATTATAATTAGATTAGTTGAATTATATTGTATCTAATGACATTAGACTCTTACCTCTTGCTGCAATGTCATGTTTTCACATTCTTTGAGCTTAACGTTATTTTTAGCCGTTTTATACAGTTTCTGGTATTCTTCTTTTGTAAGTCCATTTGGATTTTTATCACTAAACAAAATAATATGTTAGACACACTTCAATTAGTAATTGAAACTCAATTAAAAACTAGGAAGCTTACTTAAAATAAAACCTATTTCGATTAATTCATTTGGTACAAATAATTTATAATTATTAGTATTTTAAAAATAATAATTTTTCTGGTCTAATAGAAGATCAAAATTGTTTGCTATTTTAATGAAGACATTCTAAAATTTTATTTTTAATTCAGTAATATTTTTAAAATTCTAAAACACAATTTCTTGTGCTTTGTTTGAAAATACGAAAATATATTTTAGATGTTTACTAAAGTTGTTGAGTTTTTTCTCAATAATTTAATAATTTTGTAATTTAAATTACTTACATTTCATAATCGGAAACATCAGTTTCCATAACAGCGGATAACTTCTTATGTAAACTCAATATTATCGAATTTAACATTTTTACTTCTTCGTTCTTTTCCGCCAGAATATGTGCATCTGAAAACAATTAAAAGTAATGAATATTTAACGTTTGAATAGTTAGGACAAGAGAACGGGTTACCTGACTTTTCTTGAACATTGTGATTTTTAACTTTTGCAATGTCTTTTAACTTATACGAGTTCAGCTAAAAATTAACCGAAAAAACAAACTTGATTAATAAAAAAAAAAGATACACGATGGGTGTTATAATACTGTGAAATAACAAATTATATTTTAATTAATAATTTTTTTTAGTAAAAACATAAACCAAGTTATGGGAAATTTGTGAATGCCTTCTGGTCAACATTTCCGTTCTTCGATTTAAAAAAATATATTATTTATACCATTCAAATAACACTTGTTTTTAGTATAAGCAAAAACATAAATTTTAACCAGAAAACGTTTCCAACCTCTGACTAAAACGGCTTAAGTTTTTTTAATTATTAAACCACCCTTGTAAATGTATTAAAATAACTCTTTTTTTTTTTCTACTGACCTCTGTTTGTAAAACTAGTATGTGATTTTCCTTTATTTTCAACATACTATAGGTTTCTTCGTATTTTACCTCGAGCTTTTGTTTCTCATTGCTGAAAAAAAAATTGATTTGAATCCAAAAATTATCAAGTATACACATTATTTTATTTATTTAAACTAACATCAGATTGTTGTCTTGGAGAGGCTTGCCGATGTTTTCTATCCTTTCATTAAGACGGTGATTTTCATCCGTAAGTTCTTGAATGCGGAACTCCAAATGTTCACGATTACCGCATTGTTTTTCACTAAATAACAAATGATAATAAACTTTAAAGATATAAACATATTTTTATATTATCACTGTACAGTTCAGACTATGTGCTTAAGCTTAGTTAGAGACATTTTTCAAACTTAAATTATAAATTCATGATTGGCAAGTTATATTGCCTTAAAACAAGCATAAAATCAATAATACACTCACAGCAAAGTCTCTAACCGTTCCATTTCGCTGTTGGAAGTTGATTTTTCAGACAACAGTAATTTGAGAGTTTCTGTTTCCTGGTTTTTATCGTTTAATGTTTTTTGCAAAGCCGACAATTTGCTCTTGTAATCTTCCATTTCCGACTTGACTTTCAAATTTTCGTCATTTAGCAATAGGACTTCCGATTTAATATGGTTTATTTGTTCGGTGTTGTGTTCTCGCTGTTTGTCAAGGGACTTGGACATTTCAGTTTTTGTTTCTTCCATGCTGTTTAAATCCTTTTTGTATTCCGATATTTTCTTCTCTAGATCACATTTTAAGCTTTCCAAATTGACCGCACGGGTTTTCTCTTTTTCTAAATCGGTGTTAACCGATTCTAGTCGGAGTATCAATTCCTTTTCCGTTTTTTTTCCCGCAACTTCTTGTAGGCAATTTTTCAATTCGACTATTTCTCTATCTTTCTCGTCCATCGACATCTTGTATTGTTCGACTATTTTTTCCAACTCCAATTTCTCCGTTTCGCCTTTTAATACTTCGTTTATCCTATTATTCTTTTCTTTTGTGGACACTTCGAAATCGTGTTTGACCTTCGTAACCAAATCGTTCAACTCGTCTATCTTTGCATTGTTCTCGGCAATAGTTTTCATTTTCTCTTGGACGGTTTCGTTCAACGTATTCACTTGCAATTCGTGCGTTTTGCTAATTTCCAACTGTTTTTCAAGACCGATTTTAACGTCGTACAGTTCGCTTAGCTTTTCCCGAAGACCGGCGTTTTCTTTTTCTTTTTCTTCCAAAATCAGTTTCGTTTGTTTTTCCAAAGTGCTTCTTTCGGCTACCAATTTGTCCTCTCCGACTTTGAACAATCGTTCAATTTCATCGTCCTTTGCTTTTAATTTATTATTAAATACCACGTCAGCTTGTTTCGCCATTTCGCTAATGTGCTCGATTTTCGAATCGTTCGCTGCGATCGTTTTGCTCTTCTCTTCGATTTCCTCGTTTAACCGTTTAACGTCCTTTTCCAGTGTACCGATCAATTCCAACTGATGCTCAAGCGTTGTTTTCTCGTGTTCTAAAGTTTTTAAAGCGTCTAAAAGTTTTGTATTTTCAGACTTTATGTTTTCAAGCTCTTTACGTGACAATTCGATTTCATCGCTGGCTTTGTCGCCGTCTAAGGCGATCATCGACTGTAAATCATTAATTTGATCTCGCAGTTGATCGATTTCGTTCTGGTAATTCGAAATTTCCGTATTAAGCGTTTTCTGTAAATCGGAGTAGCTCGAGTGTTGTTTTTGTTTTTCATTTAACGTCTGTTCGAGTTGGTCCGATAACGTTTTGATTTGCTCGTCTCTGGCAATCAATTCTGAATCATGGCGTTTGAGGTATTCTTGTTTTTCATTTTCCAACTGCGCAAGTCGTTCACTTTGAGCGTCCAAATCGTGTTGTTTGGCAGTTTGCAATTTGGCCAACGACGACTTGAGGGTTTCTATTAAGACCTTGTTGTCGTTCAGTTGTTCTTCTTTGACGCCAATGGAATTCACCATTTCCTTGACATATTTTTCGTGTTCTTCTTGCATGGTAATTTTTTTCGTTTTCAGGTCAGCCAACTCGTCGTTCAATGTTTTCAGTTGTCCCGCCAACTCTTTTTCCAATTCGTTCCGACTTAAATTCTGTTGCGTATTCAAGTCGTTGTATTTCTTTTCCAATTCAATTATTTTATTGGATTTTTCTTCTGCTGTTTTCAACGCCTTTGTCAACTGGTCGTTCAGCTCCTTGTTTGCGATTTTATGTTGTTCGACAACATTTGTAAGCTGGTTCGATAACGTTTTGATTTGCTCGTCTCTGGCAATCAATTCTGAATCATGGCGTTTGAGGTTTTCTTGTTTTTCATTTTCCAACTGCGCAAGTCGTTTGCTTTGAGCGTCTAAATCGTTTTGTTTGGCAGTTTCCAATTCGGCCAACGACGACTTGAAGTTTTCTATTATTATCTTGTTGGCATTCAGTTGTTCTTCTTTGACGCTAATGGAATTAACCGTTTCCTTGACATATTTTTCGTGTTCTTCTTGCATGGTAATTTTTTTCGTTTTCAGGTCAGCCAACTCGTCGTTCAATGTTTTCAGTTGTCCCGCCAACTCTTTTTCCAATTCGTTCCGACTTAAATTCTGTTGCGTATCCAAGTCGTTGAATTTCTTTTCCAATTCAATTATTTGATTGGATTTTTCTTCTGCTGTTTTCAATGCCTTTGTCAACTGATCGTTCAGCTCCTTGTTTGCGATTTTATGTTGTTCGACAACATTTGTAAGCTGGTTCGATAACGTTTTGATTTGCTCGTCTCTGACAGTCAATTCTGAATTATGGCGTTTGAAATTTTCTTGTTTTTCATTTTCTATCTGCGCAAGTCGTTCGCTTTGAGCGTCTAAATCGTTTTGTTTGGCAGTTTGCAAATCGGCCAACGAAGACTTGAGGTTTTCTATTACGACCTTGTTGTCGTTCAGTTGTTCTTCTTTGACGCCAATGGAATTCACCATTTCCCGGACGTACTTTTCGTGTTCCTCTTGCATGGCAGATTTTTTCAATTTTATGTCTTCCAACTCGTCTTTTAACGTTTTCAGTTGTCCCGCCATCTCTTTTTCCAGTTCGTTTCTGGTCAAATTCTGTTGCGTATCCAAGTCGTTGTATTTCTTTTCCAATTCAATTATTTGATTAGATTTTTCTTCTGCTGTTTTCAATGCCTTTGTCAACTGATCGTTCAGCTCCTTGTTTCCGATTTCACGTTGTTCGACAATATCCGTAAGCTCGTTTAATTTTTTTGTCAGAATTTCGATTTCTCCTTCTTTTTCTCTTAGTTTGTCTTCGTACAGAGTTTCCGTTTGAGCTTTAGATTTGACTATTTGTTCTTTGATTTGCAATACCGCGGTGTTGCATGTTTTAATTTGTTTATCCGTAATCACTACCGCTTTGGCAAACTGATGTTCCAGATGTGTAACCGTTACCATGGCGGACTCCATTTGTTGTTTCAGTGCCGCTTCCAAAACGTCTTTGCTGAATATAAAGTTGTTGATCTTCAACTGGTTTAGGCTATCGACAGTAGCGTTTAACTCTAGTTTTAAATTTGCAATTGTTTGTTGGTCGGCCGATTGTAACCGCAACGCATCGTTGTATTTTTCTTGTAATCGACTGATTTCTTGACTCTTAGTGTCCGACAAACCGTCGAGTTTGTCGTTAAGCTCTTTTACCATTAACTCGTGTTGTTCAATCGCCTTTTTGACATCTCGTTCGTTCTGATCAAAAACACTTTTGTGTTCATCTTTCAGCTTGGTTATTTCGTTTTTAAGTCCATTCACGATTTCGTCGTGCTCCTCGTTTTTCAGCGCACTTAACGATTTAATACCCTCGTTCAACTGATCGATCATCTCTTGGTTCTGTTCAATTTTTTTATCCTTCTCTTCGATTACCTTGTTCAAACGTTCCGTGGTCGATGCTAGTTTTTCACTCGTCTCTTTTAACACGCGCTCGTGGTTTTGTGTGCTTTCGTTCAACTGTTGACGAAGTGTGTTCAAAAGAGCATCCTTATCTATCACTTCGGTACTCAAATTCGACACAGACTTTTGCAATTCGTCCTCGTTGTTGTTTATGACTTTTTTCAACGAGTCCAACTCTTCTTTTAACCTGCAAAGCTCCTCTTCTTTTTCAAAATTCTTCATCGTTTCCACTTCGACATCTTTGGCTAGATTTCTCTCCTTTTCCAAGTCGGCTTCTTGTTCTTTAATTTTTATTAAAAGTTCGCCGTTTTTATTCTGCAACTCCACATTGGCTACGTTCTGTTCTTCGATGGTAAATTGTAAATTTTGAAATTTTTCCCTCTCATCGTCCAATTGCTTCTTTAATGTGTCTAACTGACTCTGCAGCGTTAATAGGCTATTGTCTTGAGACGATTTCGCAATTTGCGCCTAAAACATAATTTTCAAATACATATACACATTGGAATATACTACACGAAATAAGCATGAACGAATAATTAAATACTTTAAGAGTTTCTTCGAGCTGTTTTTCGGCCACATCCGCTTGATTAGCTGCTTTTGTAACTTGTAAACGTAGAAGTTCATTTTCATTTTTCAACTGAGTTAACTGTGTTTTTAATTTATCTAAATCCGATACTTTTGTTTGCTGAAATTATTAACAAACCGAAATATAATTGTATAATACATATTACGCTGCAGTATAATAGTTTCAAATCATACTTTTTATACTAAACGAATATTAATTGAAAATGATACATAACAGTTGTCACATAATACTTTTAAGTACTAAAATATGCATATTCTAATTAGGGTCTATCAGTTATTTGTATAAAAACATACAATAAAATCACAAATTAGGAGTAACATTATGATGAAATAATGATACAGTTGTGATTTGGAATATATATTACATTATTATATATAATCTATATATATATAAAAATGAATTTCTGTTTGTCTCTCTGTCCTTTATGCATTATTACACCATTCGTCCGATGGCCGTGAAACTTTGGGAAGTTGAGTACACTCCCGCAAACCTAACATAGTACTTTTCGAAAAATTCACCCCTAAGGATGACCTCAAACACGAACTTTGTACTTTAAATACGAAATGTAAATAAACTAAATGTTTGTGACCATAGTAACCCAAAATAAACACTTGGTTTGTAACCATTGGAACCACGGTACTCGAGCAAATAGTAGGTGATGGTTAAAGGAACAGGCCGATTCTAAGTACCACGATTCTGGGAAAGCTTTTAACTGTTGTAACGGGATCTGGGACACTTGAGTAAGAGGAGGACATAATAACCGAAAAAAAAGTCACAAAAATGCTGTCACGCTGTTATCTGATAAGAGATAGGAGATTAGAGATGAGGGATGGGAATGGGGATGGGGTGGGAATTATTTTACTCAGCCCTGGCAGACTAAATCTCGGGAAACGCCGCGTCCGGACAGCTTGTATATATATATATATTAAAGAAACTATCTTGTTCAATTAGAGTTGGGCAAATATTGAATAAGATAATAAATAGAATAGAACTCTATGAGTGATATATAATTTTTGATTTGTAACTCTACACATAAAAATATTTAAAATACTTCTAACAAATTAAAAATAATCAATTAAAGAATAGGAACAAAAACATATACTCGAAAATATTATTAATAATTATTTTAAAATAACAATTTTAAATTAAAAACGAATAACGTACCTATAAGTTCGTGATAAATAGTTGAATAGTAAATCATAAATAAGTTAGTTAAGTAAGTAACTTATATATTATGTTACTTTTAACTAAGTATAAGTCATTTTATTTAAACAATTTTTAAATAATGCCCAACTCTGTATTTAATGAGTACTATAAAGCGAAGCTCTAATCTAATTACAGATTATTGACGTTATTTGTGTACTTCACTTTACTAATACTTTCACTTTACTCAATTCCCTTTAATATAAAAATAAACCTAATTAACAACCATTGATTTTTAAATTACTATTTTTCAATAATAAACATTTGATTTATGATTATAGCACATAAAATGAAACAAAACGCAAGTTTATTTTATTTTAAATTTCAATTTTTTAAATATTTTTTTCTAATACAACTATAGTTATATACAAATTGTAAATACTGCATTTTATCAGTTTGTTATCCATTAAAATAAATATTTCTAATGAATTATTATTATTTGTTTTGTGTTAACTTGTAAGATAACATAAGTGTATCACTTTTTATTATTTTCTAGTGTATCTTAGTAGATTGCAAAATTCGTACAACCACTTTTTGTTTATAATTTGAGGTGACAATTTAAACACGGATGATAATACTATTAAAGTGACGAACTAATGATCCTTGTTGGAAACTGGAAAGCAAATGCGTTCAGCATAGCTCCGTCTTAAAGGAGACAGCAACGGCTTTTGATGGACGCTTAATCTAGAATAATACATATGTCTAATGGGTTTTACAAAATTTGTGTTGGTATAATTGTAGAAAATGTAGTAGTTATGTCAACATAACTTTAAATCTAAATTAAAAACGATTGATTATTTGTTGAAATATTCTCATATACATTTCTCTTATTTGTTTGCAATTATTTTATTTGACTAATACACTTACCATTATGGCTAATTATATTTAGTACTAAACCAAATTTCTTTCGGAGGAAGATTTTACAAGATTTTTTTTTTTTAATAGTGTTGAATATAAAATAGTGAACACTGAATAGCCTATTAACTCATTTTAATATAACACTAGTTTTTTAAGTTTTTATAAAGCTGAATTCTCAAAAGTACATTGTAATTTTTAATCGAATTCCATTATTGTTCTTATTTATTGAACAACTATACAATTTATAAAAACATAATTCAATTCGTCAAATACATTTAAAGTATTCTAAGTTAAAGACACCCCTACCTTAATTTATAGTGTTGGTAAAAATGATACTCGACAATTTTGAATTAAAGAGGACATGTAAAAAACATAAAAACTAACAAGTAACTTTAATTGAAATTTAGGTTTTTAGTTTAATATTATTTTATGAAATAAATTGTGTATTTTTTAGGCAAGCGTTTAACAATTGTTTAATAGATAAGTAAATTTAATGATATAAGTCTAGTTTTATTGTAAATTGAATGTTTTTTAAAAATATTTTTGAAGTTATTTTGTTCTCCTACATTTTTCTGATATATTGGCAGCGTTCGCCGTTCAAAGCCTGTTAAGCTACATAATGATAATAAGTAGTCAACTATGAAACCTTTAAATATTATTATGACAATATATATAAGAATGAAAACAATAGTAGTTAATCAAACACATTTCATTGTTTGGAATACAAATAAAATTATTATAAAAATATAAAATTTAACGTAACAAAACAAAACATATAACAATTAACAAATGACAAATAAAATAATTAGACATAAGTTAGAAAATTAAAAAAACGTGAAGTAATAAATTATGATTAAGACACCATTGCTTTGATTGAAATATATTATCATGTGACTTGTGCTTTTGTTAATATTTTAAGTCTTAATTTAACAATAAAAAAATGTATTATTCAATAAAGTTGTTCAAGTGTAATAATTGGCAAAACATTGCAAGTACAATTTTGTCGACAGGCTAATAATAACCAGATTCCCATTGTGGATGATATATTTTCACCATTCTCACTTCGGACTGCAAATTTAAAACAATCATAAACATAAGATAATACTTCCAGTTACGCACATTTTATATGCGTTTCATTTAATATTAAATTAATTTTATTTAAGACACTTACCATTTTTATTATTTATGTTTAGTTAAATAATATCATAGTATTATATTTTATTAATTCTGCGATTTCTAGATTCCTTAACCATTATTATTTTCAGTAATTTTAATTATGTATTACAAGTGTATATCTTTTTTTTCATAAAAACCCATACTGTGTGCACTAAATAGTTATATTGTAGTATATATTAACGTTATTTAGTTTAATAATTGTCATAACTTAATATTACATCACATCACACCAATGTATCATTTTCAAATTATATTCGTTTAGTATTTTAACTGTAGTACAGTACATTATAAATATTAACAAATTATTCACGTTTTATAAAATATAAAAGCAATACTATTAAAACTTTTCTCGTAAAAAAAATATATATTTACATATAAATGGGTATATTCATTGCAAGGTTACAATTTACTAAATTAATGTAATCTATATAAATAAAGCGATTTCATTTTACATGCAAATTAAAGCCAATATAAAAAGTCAAAGCTCAAATTAGTTTTTTTAAACATAATTAATACCTTTAATACCGTTTCTGAATCTAACTATATCAATAAATTGATTCTGTGAAAAATGAATAATTTAGTTATTTATTATTTTAGATACCATGGAAATGGTGACGAATAAAGAAACCAATAGAGGTGAAGAGAGGTCAATAAGCTGACCGACTCTATTGATATGGGTTAACCTATATAAAGCAAAGAAGAAGAAAGTACCCTCTGAATTGTTAGATAATAATAATTAATTTCGAAAATAATTTAGAACGATCTCAATTAATGTACGTCGAATTAAACAAATTAGAAATGTTTAAATCAGCGTTTCGACCCAACAGTGTTATTATTTACTAGTTTTGTATGTGGTATTCGGTATGCTGAAATTATTATCCAAGGTAAAATATTGAAAACTATTAAGTGTATTAACAAGCTGTTAACTCATGCATATACCTTGTAGCGCAAAGAAGCGACTCCGAGTCTTACCCGAGTTGGTATCGATGACATAGTTGTTGCTGTAACGCCACTAATCATAGACCCACTCATTGAGCCGGGTGAACGTTTATTTGTCTTGTGAATGGCACAGTTGGAGGACATTCGGCTAGCTGACATTGGCGATTTTGATACTTTACCGATAGGCGCAAACAAACCAAATTTATCTTCACATTCAAAGTATCTATTAAATATTTCACAACAAGATTATTTTGCTCCGAATTCCGTAAGTACTACTTGAAAACGACATAATTGAGCTACCGACGCTAGACTTTCTAATTTATTTTAAATTACAACCTTCCAAAACAAAATTATTTTAACTAAAATAATCGAAAAAGTTAATAAAAATTAAGAATATCATCAAAATTTGATTCCGACGACTTCTTTAAAATATTGATAAAGGTGTTTTTTTATTGTGAAGAAGTAATATTACAGCCTAATTGTCATGCGACATATCGCGCAATGAAAAATAACTTTTACACTGGTACTTAAGATGTCCAATATTGTAGAACGTCCAAATATTTAAGTTCACTATTGTCTATCAACTGTGAAACGTCCAAAATAATAATAATTCCCAGATAAAAGTATCGATTTACATTAAAATGAAGTAAGATACTAAATATACTAAGTACAAAAACACAAAAATTGAAATATTTTAAATCGCCGAAAAACATTAACGGGTTTTTTAATATTAATTTTATAGAAATTTAGTTTTTATTAATGCGAATAAACCCATAAAACCGAGAAAACTCTGATATCTCCAAAACATATTTTGATTTAATGCCCCGACTCTGATCTAAGTAATTATTTTTTAAAAAAGGTTATTTTCTAAATGTACACGAGTGTCGTAAATAAATAAATTAAATTTCACTCATATTCTTAAAGCTGTTGTATTTTTTTACAACATAATACTGCGGCTTTAATGATACTATTCGATAAACAATCATAATATCAAATGTTCTATATAATATTATTATACTAAAATACGTTTAAGCACTATTCTTGTCTTTGTGTCAGAATATTTTTTTTTAATTGATCGATTGTTGTTTACCGATAATAATTTATCATAATATTTTTATCTGGACATTTTGCAACGGACATCTTATATTACTTCTCGAGGAAAATCAACGTTGTTTGTATTTTTGTACTCAAATTCGACTCATTCTATATATTGCACTGTGTGCAGTGTAACAATGGTTCAATTACTTGATTCCTTCTACGGAGCCGTTATTTTTCCCAAGGGGGTCGTCCAATTCGATACCACACCATTCGCCGGGAGCAAACTGAGCGGCACCGCGGTACCGTAACACCCCCAACTTGGAGCCTTGTCCGCTGCTGATAATGACCCGATCGCCCACTTTTAATTCGCTGTTGCCCCTTGACGCAGGGGTTTGGTTAACATCTATAGATGAACATTAGAAAATATATATTACAGTCCGACAAGGTTAAATTGTGCCCGGAATTTTTTACTTTTCACAACGCTTCTTTGCACGGCAGCAGTAGAAACAGGAGCCGTCACGTTCGATGTCTGTCGCTTTGGCATGGGAGTCGAGAACCCTAACGGTTTGGCTTTGGCGAACGAGCTTTGAACTATAGAGTCTTCGGCGGATCCCAGAGGAGCATTAGTGAGATTAGTCAAACGGGCGAATATGCCTTTTTTGGGCGAACACTGGAAATATTTCGTCCCTCCCACCGATCCGTCGTTTTTGCCTGGCGATAATAAACCAGAGATGACATTTTTTAGACGCTATTTTAAAATTTTTATGTGACGGTTTATATTGTTTACCAATGGGCTCGTCGAGTACTATGCCAGCCCAATCGCCAGTGCCGAAATTGGTTTCCCCTATGTACGCAATTTGTCCCGGTTTGGTACCGCCCACCCAAACTCGATCACCTATTATAAAACTGTCCGTGTCTTCGGTCAGGACCACGCTGTTTCCTGTAAAATCGTACATTGGTAACATTTAGTGTGCCAAATCAATTTCTCCGCCAAGACATATGGCCATGCCCGTGCGCGTGTTCGAGTAAACCAGAATTCTATGCTAGGTATAGTAAGCTGCTTAAAGGATACAAACCTGAACTACGTCTAACACCAGCCTCGCTAAGTCTACGAGAATCGCCCATGGAATAATCTGAACCGCCTAATAATAAAAGCACATGTAAAAAATAAAAAAAAAACACGAACAAACAAAACGCAAAGGTAAAAAGCGAATACTTACTTGAAGACTTTCGTTCCTCTTTGCTTACACCGTTCTGTTTCCCAGTATACGGAATATCTAGCAAAGCCAAGAATACACAAACATACAAAAACCAACGTAGGTACAAATATGCAAATTTAGTGCCCATAGTATTTCTTTATTAAATTGTATGCCTAGTCATTTTTTTAATTTATATTATAATATCAATTTTTTTAAACAGGGTACTTAAAAATTTTGGAGTTTACTGAGTAGTTTACCATTTTATAAGTGATAAAAAAGTTGGTTAAATTTTAAGATTAGATTTTTTTTTAATGTTCTCCTACTTTGAAGAAATGGAGTAAGCAGACTAAAAATAATATTAAGCGAGTGAACTTAACAAAATCTGATAACACCACAGACTTCAGAGACTAGAGTAAAATCATACATTAAAAAAAAACACCACGGGTACTTAACTACACATTTATGCCCCAACATGCAGTAGGTACACAAAAAAACAGTGACAATTAGATAGTTATGATAAGAAAAAATCGGAAATACCAAAAGCATTAGGTATTAAATCAAGCAAGCAATGACCTATTACAAAGTTAGTTGGTAAGTAGTGATCATAAATTGTTATAATTGTATGTTAATTGACAAATCAGCCACCCATCGATTGGTTAATAAATAAATATAATATTATATCCATATTATTTTTTATTTATAATTTGTAGTATCAATTATACTTTATAACGAATAGGTATTTTAGCTTCGATGTAAAGCTGAGATGTTTACTATAGACACGATAACTTTTTTAATTATTTTCAAAAAAATAATTGGTTCAACGATGATAAATCGATAAATTATAGATAAAAAGATACTTTTTTCGGAAATGTATTTTATAACATTTATCACAGCTGTTGTTTTCATAAGTTATCTCATCAATTTTAAATACATCAATAAATTAGTACCTAGTAGCTCCTCATACCAAGGTGCCCTACATTTTTTAGCTTCGATGCAATATTTTTTTAATTTTTTTTATTTGAAACAAAATATAATTTTAATATCATAATATTTATTAAGTCTCTATTTACAAAAATGGGGGAAAAGTTATTGTTTTATTATTCCTTGGAAAAATGTGTGTGTATTTTGTAGGAGAAAACATAACACAATAGATATAAATGGTCGATAGTGAATCAGCAGCTATCAATGCAAGTGTCATCTATTGAACTATCTAAAAAATATACGCTATAATGTGATTGTAAATTGTACACGCCCTTAATAACAGTTTTGATTCTCTTAGAGTTTCGTTATCATTACATCAGCGAATATACACAATGATTAGCTTAAATAGCCGATAATAATACATCCATCACCTAGTTTGGAAATGTAAAGAACTACACATTGATTCTACAGATGTTGTCTTCTAGGCTATTCAAATATGACGCCAATCGCTCACGTTGCTCAAATCAGATAACGCGTGGAAAGAATTTTGCTTTCCACGCTTTTTATTTTATCCTGCGTTGGTTACCCACTATTTGTGCGATGCGTTACACTATAGCTTTATTGTGGTATTTTCTATTATGCGTGGCCTCTTCGCCTATCGCAGATCAATTTTATCCGAATGCCGAAGGCGTAACAAAAGTTTCGTTGCCGTCGGATTAAACTGGCAGAAATATCGGAAAAAATACAATATTATATTCGTCAAACGCCATCCCAACTATGCGGTCAACAGACGAAAAAGATCCATACTGGCAGGTTCATAAATCACATATGTTCGGCAGTTCAAGTATTTCATTCAAAACCACTTCAAGTCGAAGGCGCAAGTGCAGTAGAAAATTTACTAAATAAGTTGAAAAACAAATCTCGCAATACCTCCCAATTTGTTAGTCTTATTTTGAGCAAAGGAGCTAAGGGGAAAGGCGAGTCCATCGAAAAACAGTATGACAAGTGTCCTTTGATTGCGGCAGACGAAAAACCGACAACGAATGTACCGAGGGTGCGAAAAGATTATTTACCGGTAAGTATATCGGAATACCAATCTGTGGAGGATAAAAATATAGAAGTAAAGTCGTTGGCTTGTGAACCGAGAGCCGCGATACCGACAGAAGAAATGAAATTATTAAGAACAGAACAGACATTGATAAGAGAGATGAACGACCAGATAGATTATCAAGAATTGTAATGGGCAAAAGCCATTGCTCGATACGATTGGGAAGAAATTACAATAGAAGACGCAATGCATTTATATACAGAAGGCCCGCCCAATCGAAAATCAGATCAAATTTTACTCGAAATTCTGAGCAAACATCCAACAGCGAGGAATGATTTAGTAAAAGGCATAATTCGCATTAGGGAAATGTACAAAGAGCTGTTTAGACGTGACAAAGGATTTAACGAAAAAATTCAAAAGGTAATAGTAGGAGATTACGTCATTGCTCTTCACAAATACTACACGTACTCAAGAGAGAAAAATGATGAATGAATCAAATATTTATTAAATCCAAAAATGTTTAAAACGAAATAAACATCTTGGTGACTGGTGACAATGTTTTTATTATAATTTTAAATTGTTAACTAAAAACAGAACCCTATTAGTTTATATCAGTTTGTGTATATTTTTACACAGCACCAACTGTTAAATATAGGCAACTAAATGTAAAGAGCTTTTCACTAGCTTTCGATACGCAGATCAACTTTAACTAATTGATTGTATAGATTTGTGATAAAATAAAACGCATACGAGACAAAATTAAAAAAAATTGTACAAAAAAATAAATTTGTATAAATTTTAATTTTGAAGGTTTACCTAAAAAAAGTAATCAAAATATGATAATCCAACAATAAAAGCATAAAATATAGCATCATGTATATGATTCAAATGTTTGAAAAATAACCACAACTTCAAGTATTTGACATCAATTTAGGGACATTAGGCCAATTAACATAACAAATTATTTTCATTTGTCTTATAAAATAAGTACTGTTAATTAATGTTAAATTTTTATTTAGTATATCATCGAGCATTATATTTAAAAGAAACACTTATACTAATGAGATTAATACGTTTTTTTTTTAAATAGTAAGGAATAAAAAAAAGACTTTTTGAAATGATACCCAACTCATTAGTTTTAAATTCTAATTAAAAAATAAATAAATATTAACATTCAAGCTAAAAAAAAGTTATTAATGCATAAATAGTTATAACTTAAAGGAAAGCAATAGTAGTACCCATACGTTTAATTAGGCAATGCTGTAATGTTTTAATATTGATTTCACATAAAATGTGAAAAAAATTACCTGCGAGTCTTTTTGCATTGGAAGGCCCGCCATTTAGTTTTGTGACAGTGGAATGGTACCCATCTAAAATTATATAGTTTACCAACTCATTTAAACCGCTAAAAGTCAATGTTATTACAACTAATTACCGAGTTGATGATACAATTAATGAAAACTAGATTAAAGTAATAGTTAAATTCAACAACAAACAGACGACTAAAATACAACATTTCTATAAACATTAATAAATTTCAAAAAATTATCAAATTAACTAGTAAAAGCCATTTACACAGAAACGTACATCAGTATGTTTCAATAAAGTTGTTAGTGTCATTCAAATTTTGTTAATTATCATTACGTTTTAAATTCATAAACATTACCTATGCTATATATATAGCTAAATATGTATCAATATTAATATATTATATAGGTCGTATGTTTAAAATCACCCACCAATCAAAACAAACGTGGGGGTATTAGCACACGACTTGCGTGGGTCATCAGCAAAACGTGCTTAACAACAGGATATAAAAGTAGAACTAAACAAGATTAACAAGACTTGATTACTTTGAGGGCAAGAATTTACATGATTTATTCAACTTAGTAGTTAAATTTAAAAAAGCTTTAAAGCGTTCTTATTGGAAAGTGGTTTTAAATCAATAAAATTTACTATTGCTGGAAAAATTATGTATCGAGAAATGTTCCTACGAGAAATAAAACATTAGGAGAACACATAATTTTTTAAAACGACTTATTTACATACAGAGATCAGTCTCAAATAAAAAAATAACATTTCTTACTTGTAAGTTAATACATAAATATGCATTATACATAGGAGTATATTGTTTAACACATCAGTAGTAAATTACTAACCCGTCAATAAAAGATGGAGGTGGACAATAATTATAAGCATACAGACAAATGTAATTAAAATATTATTATACAGATTGTAATTTCCGTGGGCAAATGAAATACCCCGAGTAACTAATAACCAATACTAAATTGTACGAATTTTTTTCTTAAAAAAAACGAACTCGATGCTTACATTATAAATTTTAAGTATTTGTTAACAGAGGTCCGTGCACTTATTAATATGTATATATTAGCATAGCAACCAAGTTTTTTTTTGCAGTAAAAAAAAAATAAAAACAGATAGTACAATACTACTTTACTTAAACGTCACTAGAAAGAAAACGTGTAAAAGTCACAAAGTATAACGGTATAAGCTATTATTAATTCATAAAAATTACAATTGAAATCAATATTAAGGTTAGTAGACAACCTCAAAATTTAGATAGTTAGAATTTTAATAGTTCTTAATTAGTAGAAAGTATTATCCTTACACGAATCGAGTTTCATTAAAAAACTGAACGGCTCAAAAATATTTGGGGAAAAAATTGGGAGAAGAACATGTTTGTATGTTCTTAACAAGTATGCTACTGTGATAGGTACTGAATCTTTAAGAAAGAATATTCTTACAGAATACGGATATATATAATTAAACAACTAAGGCATTAAGAACTGTTATTAGTAGAATACAAAAAAAAATTCATGTTATAGATATAACTTATTAGTATTAATGGCTAAAATAGATTTTTAAAAAATAACGTTAAAAACAATTCTTGCTTGTAATATACAGAATAACTGCAGTTGTCCTACCATCGGCGCGACAATATAAATCCAATTTTTTCGGTAAAATTCTTTCCTCGAATATTGGATTAGGCATGTCAACAAATTTGATGAACACCACTAAACTGAACTGCCGGAGTGTTTACAAAAACTGAATGGTGCCGACCATAACCTTGTGGACCACAGGTGCGGGATAAAGCGCCTACAAACTTAATTTTTCTGCGAAGGTGTTGCAGGAGTGGCCCCCCTTCTTCAAAACAAGGATATAACACAGCTATGTAGATATCTACATCCAAATACACTGTCTATATCATTAACGGTCATGTCAACACACACTCCGTTAAAAAATAGATGTCATATATGGTCTACGGACAATTCAACGATCGATTACAACACACACAATGATATCTAAAAATAGATTTTGTAATAATAATAATAATAATAATAATAATTATTATTATTATTATTATTATTATTAATGATCCTTGTATAGCACCGTCCAAAACATAATTTTTTTTGTAAGTAAATATTACAAGATGCTGATTTTAATTTTTTGTTCAATATTACACTGCATTATTGACTTACCGAGCTTGATGGAAGACGAGCTAGGTATCCTTGACACTCCCATTGTGGGTATTTTTGTAGGCGGTTTCAAACCAGACGATTTTATTTCCTTGTTTTCTGGATTTTCACTCATTTTCTACTTATTTCTACTATACGAAATATTAAAGCACCTATAAATCACCTTACTTTATATACTTTTACACGCATCAAAAAATTAACTAACACATTTAAATTCGAAAATACTTTAAACTGAATGAACAAAAACACAACAAAATTAACATTTATTCTTTCGAAAAGCTAAAAACACATCACGACCCTGAAAACAAAATAAAAACATTTATACGTTAGTAAAATACAAAAAGCGAATCTTATAAATTTATTTAATTAAGCGCATAATTATGACTATTCAACTTAAACTTCATAATATGTTATCTACGAGTACATTATGCACGTTTTTATACAACCGAATGGAAGATTTTTTTTTTAGAAGAACTAGAAGAAATTATTTGGCAAATTGTTTAGTGGGTAAAGTGCCAAATTCCTACACAGAGTTAGTGGTTCTCACCAGTCGTATGTACATAAAACACCCACTTGTAATTATTTTATACATTTGACTGGTAAGAACAATACAATACTTAATAATTTAACCTGTCAAAAGCAATAGCGTAATGGTTAATTGCTTATTAAATTATAATTTATTAGCAATATTACTAAGCTATTCTTAATTTCATCATATGAAATGTACACTTCAGTGCGTGGGAGCTTAAAAATTAAAATTGTTAACACTGAATCATCATTGGCGAGTTGAGCAAACACTTTAATTTAATTTGTATTACTATGTTAATGTATATTGGTTGGTATTTGACATGTTTGGTTCTTAACTAGTTTATAGAAAATATTTATCAAAAATATTAGTGATTTTAGCTTTGATGAGAAACTAAGACGTATTTGTGTTGTTTTATTTAATAATGATAATATTAAATGAAAAGATAATATTAATTAAAATGTAATTTATTTCTTAAGAACATTATCAACAATCTGTAAACAAACGAATTTCTATAAAGTAAAAATAAAAAAATACTATAATTTAATTATAAGGATGTGCCTAATATTATCTTTAGTGGATATTTAGTTTTATTGAAAATCTTCCAACACCTACAGATTGACATCGAAGCGAACATTTCAAGTTATGAAAATTACTATAGATTTGTGATCGGCCGGCCCTAACCTATTAAGCTGACTTGTTAATTTTTTATTTAAAGTTTCAATTCGCATGAAAATAATAGAATCAAGCCTCATACAAAATTGAAAATAGTATACCACTTTTAGAACACTTAGTAAATTGCAATTAATGTTTTTGAACTTTACTTTACTTTTATACAGATAAACGATAGTAGATACAAATACAGATACAAAGAGTTCAAAAATATAGTGTTTATTTTTTTTTATATAGAACCAAAACGTATTGTAGGTCGTTAAATTTGTTTTATTTTTTTTGTGAAGTAGCAAAACTTTAATTAAGAGCCCAATTATTGTTATATGACACATTTAATTGACTGCATACCTACTCCATGATCATAGATGCGGGCAATTATGAGGTCTTTACACCCACCAAAATGTAGTATATAAAATGTTAAACGTATATCCATAATCTTTAAGTGCCTCCTCTAAAAAAAAACATAAGGAAACCACTGAAAAAAACGATTTTTTTATTACCAACTGGAGCACTTACAATTGTTTAAATAATTTCAATTTTTAACTTTGATGCGGAGTTAAGAAAGTATTGATTTTACAATGATATGTTTTTATTTTTGTAAATGGACAGACGGACTCACGCTATCTTCTAAACCGTTGAAACGATATCTTCATGTAGCAAGTCTATCGATCAGAAATCAAACCTAAAAAGTATTGGTCTGAAAATTAAAAAAAAATCCTTTTTTTCGCCTTTAAAATCGGATAAAAAAACCCTCGAAAAATGTATATATTTTTAAAAGTACAGCGCTGTATATATAAAAAAATATTCGTATGGCGTATTGACCAGGATTAGGCCCTATAGCTGCTGTATATATGAGCCGGTGAGAATGAAAGTGACGTAAGTCAAATTTTTAAAAAATCCGCAATATCGCTAGGGCATATAAGTATACTCTAAAAGAGTCATTTAGTCAGTGGAGTAAGTCAAGTTGAATCTTTGTTCGCGGTAGAGCGCCACTTAACATTTTGTTAGTTAATATTAAGTTTCAGAAATACAAAACGCAAACCTTCTATTTCTCATAACAACTTAAATGTGACTTAGGCCACTTTCATTTTCGCCGGCTCATATATTTGAAAAATAATCGAATTAGTCCCAAATTTGAATGGATTATTCTTTAGATAATGTTGTTCTCTCGATAAACGTTGACATCCGGGAAAAATACTTTATAAACCCTTTACCCTAGAAGGGGGAAACCTTTATCTTTGTTTCCATTTTCCAAGCGAAGTTTTAGGACTCTAGGTTTGAAAATTAAACTGAAGATAGATCCAGAGTAGGTTTATAAAACAAATAATTTTTACAAAAATCTGAAGTAAAACTTTTTTTTTTATTATGAAAAACCAAAAATTTTTTACTAGACGGGATATTCGAGATTTTTGATAAAATAAATTATATCTTTAGTTTTCTATACTTTTTATTTTCATATTTTACATTTTTACACACTAGGTTGTTAGACAAAATTGATATCAAGTTAGATTTTTTTTAATCTTAATTTAAACAGTACAATACCAATTTGTATGCAGTCGTTAATAACGACTCGTTATACCCTGTTACCCCTATTTATTAAGAGGCTTGGTATGGACAAAAATTGTTTCATGGAAAATTTTAGATGTATATTTGTTCAAATGTATTGTCTTAAGGTATTATAACTGTAAAGGTACTTGTTAGTTTTTTAGTTTAAATCTATTTTTCTTTTAGCTATAGACATTTTTGCAATAAAAAACAAGTTTACAAAAAAAACTCTCACAGTTTCAGTACTCAATATTTTTTAATTTTGGTTTTTTCTATAAAAATATGAAATACAAATTTATTACATAATATGTAATATACTTATACATAAGTTACTTACTTATGTAAGTTCTCGAATTTTTTTTATTTTTATTTATCAAACTTTTACTTATGCAGTTTTATAATTTCTAAAACGTTATATTGTAATCAAATTTTACAGATAAACTGGAAATAAAAAAACATTTTTGGAGATTGTGAGGCTATATAAAAATATACAAAAGTAACTATAAAAAACATCAATTTTAATGTTTTTAAAAATTGAAAAAATTTGTTTTTTTCTGAAAAACACTTTTTTTACGCTCTTAATACATTTGACATCATCCACAGTGAATGGGTTAAAGCTAAAACTATTACATATATTTTACAATATAGTATTTTAGACTTTTTTTACATGCCTAGTTTTATTTTTTTTATTAGACCATTAATGCATTCAATTGGAATTATAATGATTTTCATTAATTCATGATGTAGGACATAAGCTGATCATAACTTATACAGATTATGTATTTATTACTGTGATTTTAAAAATAAAAAATTTAATCTTTTTTTGAGTTTCTTAGGGAAATAATAAAAAAATGTATATTTAATAATTAAAATTACTATGAAACCATATTAAACGAGCTTAGATTTTATATATTGCTTTATCAAACATTAGTGTAACTTCTTGGGATTCAGAGAATATTGAACAGTTCTAGTTTTAGACAACAAATTGTGCAAATTAATGAAAAATACCTAAAATTTATATTAAATCATATAGAGCAACCTGTTAAACTTTACCGAATGACTTCAAATTTTGATAAACTTATTTATTTACCATAAAAATTAGTTTTTAGTGGTAGGCGAATTCTTTTTTTTTTTGCGCCACCCTATAATAGTTCACACTGTTGCGTAGTCTTTGTATACATTTTCTGTGCTGTTTTTGTACACCAAAACATCAAAATGGTCATAGAAATGTACAAATTAGCATGCATATAGATTAGGGTTGACAAATGTTTGCTTAAGTTTTTACGCCGCAATAAGGTCAGTAAGGTTACAGTAAAAGCACCTACCATATAAAACCATAAACATTTTTCAGTATATTCAGTATTTGACTTAATGAATATTACATGTTGAATTTTAAATTTTTTTAAAAATACTCTTTTTTTCTATGAAATATTATTAAAAACCAAAAATGGATACGACTTTCCCTCCAAAAAGTTATGCTTTTTCTATTTCAAAATAGGCGTTTTAGTTTTAACCTTATCATTCTCAACCTGTATAGGCTTTTAGAGAAATAACTTAGGTATATTTAAATAAACTACATTATTAAATATATATTATTATATAATACGGTTTATAATATTAATACATTGTATTAGTTTAAAAATTGTTATATAATATATTGAAATTAGAGCTTTACATGCAGTTAATTATTTACTACGATCATATAAATTGAATTGCTATCCAATAATATTATTATAATATTGTGCGTTACAATAATTTATTACACTTGTTTTTTCATGTTATAACATATTTACACTAAAATAATAATACTAATAAAACACATATATTATGTGGTAAAATGATAATAACTTGATAATTATATGTGTAACATTCATAGAGGTTGTTTTTTATTTGTTTGTATAACATTATTAAGCTAAGAACATTACAAGACAATAATTATTTTACTTTTTATTATACAATTTTTCAAATAATATTAAAATTGATTCTTATACTGAACTTTTTCATGTTGGTTGTTTATAAAAATGTATGTATTGTAAAATATACTAAGTAAGAACAAATAATTGAGCTGAGAAAAGAATTGATCTATTTAAAATATTTTTAAAAAAAGAGAATAATAATTATAGCCACAGAGGTTTCAGTTATTCATTAGGTGTTTTTTAGGTCAACATTTCTAACTAAGCCAACGATAATACTAATCACGTAATTCCATATATATCTTACCTAGAGGTGTCTTGAATATAAAAACGTAATTCAAACGTTAAATTAAAATCAACACGCACAGTTTTAATTTAATTCACAAAATCAAACATAAAAATTAAAATTAAAACAACTATCAGTTGTTTCACTGTTGTCATAAGATTCCTCATCATCCGTTATCAAATATCAAATAGAACGTTAAATGATAAGGGTAAAAACGACATGTAGATACTAACCATTTATTTTATCATATACCATAACACTGGTTATGGTATTTAAAAATGAAATTATAACATTTATAAGTATAATAGATTTTTAGACCTGTTTTGCATAAAATTTGACTTTATAATTTCAAAATATAATAATTATTTCATAAAATAAATTGTTAATTAATTATAATTTATCAGAGTGAATTCATAACCTATTACCATACTTCAGAGTCCCGAGAACTGCTAAAAAGAGTTCGCATTAGTATTCAGTCATATAATTATAATATTATTACGAGATCAACAAAATGTTTTATAATTTATTTGATCGTAATATTATTATAACTATTTTTTAGTATCTATATTGTTATGATAGAGCTTAAAATTTTTGTTTGTCCAAATAATTTTATCGCATTAACAGTTTTAAAGTTACAATATAAAATTGCATTATAACTAAACTAATTTATAAATATTACATCCAGTCAGTTATAAATAACACAAACATTATTTATAATAATAGTTTATGTTATTATTATAATAAAATAACATTGAATACAATTTTAATTACTGTCTCATTATTTGTATTGTAATGTATAAAATAACTAACATTTAATTACAATATGTAACAAAACATAAGAATTATGAAGTTATAAATGATCAAAATCTACTTTTTTCTTCTTCTTGATCTTTTCGACGAAATATTAGTTTTTGGGGGAGGATCATCATCATTGTCATCATCACTATCGTCAATAACATCATTTGCAGCATTATTTTTACGCTGAAAATAAAATAAATTATTTTGATTTTTTTAAAAAATTATTGAATAATTGTAATTTTACTAGAAAATTACGATTAAATTAAAAACGTATTCACTAAATCAATTTACTTTGCTCCATTCTTTTTGTAGTTCATTTAACATATTTGGCGTCAATAATCCTTGAGCAAGAAGCCTTTCAGTAAGTCTTCCCTTACTAATATTTTTATTAATATTTTTTTGAGCCGACTCTAATTTACAACATACATAAAAACATATACAGTGATTACGCATACACCACATTATTCAATTAAAATACTTGGGTTAAACTTTTTGCTTACCCCTTAAATAGTTATGTTTACGTCTGGCAACATTAAAATCTTCTTCTATAGAATCACCGCCAGGACTAGAACTTTCAGAATTCTTTAATAATCTTGTTATTTGCACAACTCCTTGTTCAATAATGTCATCTAGTTCTGCTTGCATATCTCTTACTAGATTTGCTTCAGGAAACAAGTCTGTAAATCTATAACTAAAATACGACAAACAATATTGTTTAGTAAGTATGTGATGAACTTAGTTTAGACTTAGATTTTTAACTTAGATGAATTTAGTTAGTATTGTTAACAATACTATTACAAACCTAAACCACAAGTATAAATCCAAAACATCGAAAACAGCTTCTAAATGTACCAAATCAATAATTGTTTTCGGAATAGTAAAGGGCCAGCCGATATGTTTGCACAACCAATCAAACGTAATTGACTCGTTTCTACTATACTGTCTGGCGTACTGTAAGAAAATAAGTGAAATATTTATAGATATCCTCATAAAATTAATTAGCCATAAATAAATAAATACATACTTTGAGGAACATTGTGCAAACAAAAGGCATCTTTCTATTAATGGGCGCACAGCAGAAAACATACCTTGCTCTCAATGGCAAAGGTACATGCTGTATCATATCGGCAAGAAATTTAAAGTCTTCGATATTACACATGAAATACAAGGAATCGTCGACTATAGATAGTGATATAAATATATCCTAAAACAAGAATTTAATTGTGAAAATATTAATAATGTTTGAATAACGATTAATTTGTGCTTACTACAAGATTTGCTAGGGTTGAATTTGGTAAATGATAAGCATACAGTTCAATTTGATCAGCGGTCGGATGGAGTCCGGCTTTAATTATGGGCTCAGGTGTTCCAGATAATATGTGTTTGAGTGTAGATAAATCTTGTGGTTTGAATGTGGTTACATAGCCCTTAATGAGAGATGCATAATTTATTTTTTTTTTTTATCATTTTTGATAGATAAGAAACTTATTAACTTAGTCTAATGTTAATTGACTATCAACCTTTTCATATTGCGTGCCGTACCGTCCAGCTCGTCCAGCGATTTGCAACGCTTGAGACACGGATATGGTATCCATTTCTTTTTCCCCCTTCTCGTTTAACGTTGGTTTTATAAGTGAATAAAATATAACTCTTCTGATACTCCTAAAAAATTAAAAATCAAAATTAACAAGCAATTCAAAATCAATATTGAATTTAAAACTTACAAGTTTAATCCCATGCCAATAGCGTCAGTGGCAACAAGGACATTACAAGAATTATTTGGATCGTTAAACTTTTGAGCTTGGGCCAATTTTGTGTTGGGGGGTAAACCTCCATAAATGACTGCAACTTCGACTCCTCTAGATTCGATACCTCGGCTGACCTGTAATAATAATACATAATAAATCAATAGGAAAACAATTGCATTAGTAAATAAAATGAATACCTTCTTTGCTCTGCGTCGGAGCTAAAAATGAGTTAATGTAAAAATTTTACTTTACCGTGTAAACGTCGTTTTTGCTGAAGCATACAATACAATCACCAGGCATTATATTATCTAGATTAGAAACCGCTGAATCTTCAATAGCTAAGTCTGTAAGCCGTTTATACCTGTATACCTTAAAATTGTACAACAATTTAGTAACATAATAACATTTCCTAGAACAGCTATACCTGAACATCTTCTCCAGTGGTAGTCATTAAACCTTTTACTAAATCAACTGCTCCTTCTTCTCCACAAACATGAACTTCATTGGCTACAACGCCTAATAAGGCTCTAGTCCATGCCCAGCCACGACTAGGATCTTTCATCATTTGTATTTCATCAATAACTGCTACTTCGTCTAAGTTTTAACAAAAACCAAAAGTTCAAAACATATTCTTGTGTGTAATGAACTCATACAGAAATTAAACAATTAACAGGTACATACAAGGTACATTTACATTTGCCATTTCCACAGTACATGAAACATGTTTGGAAGCTTCACTTTTCCCATCGGCGAATTTTCTTTCTTCTCCCGTCACCAAGTCACACGGTGTACCCTATTAAAATTAGTTTTATTAACATAATATATTATCTATAATTAGTAAATACTATGAGAAAATATTTGTATACCCTTTCATTTGCTTTACGATAAACTTCAGTGGCTAACAACTTTAATGGACCACAATATACACCAGAATTTGATGATAAATATTTTTCTAATGCGTGATATGTTTTTCCACTATTAGTAGGACCTGCATGAAATATGATTTTACGGTTGATAGCTCTAGCTTCTGGATACCTAAATAAAATATACAATTTTTAATACTAAATATGATTTAAAAAATAGAATGCAATAGATAAATTATAATAACACTGAAACAGTTTGTATGCAAAGGTGCACACTAACAAGTTGAAGCCCTCACTGCAACACTAAATTGTTCAACATACACATCAAAGGTTTATCAAAATACTACATAAGGTGGATTACAATGCAAAATTACAAGCGAAAATGATGGGCGCTTCTCCTTGCACTGTGAGAGAAACCGCCTGGGTCTGATTCAAACCAGCAAGGGTGCAAGCCACTAAAGCTGCTTTAATCTTCTTGGTCACTCTATCCCCATTATAAAAAAATAAGTTATCGAAACTCTTGGCTAAACTAATCAAATTTTGTAGCAGGATATTAATATAACATTTCTATGCCAAAATATTACATACCAGATTAATATATTACCTAAAACCACACTACTATTCTATTAACTATTTAATTGATTTAGACATTTTAAAAGTATAACCTTTGATTATAAATATTAAAGGTAGTCCACCGAGACAAATTTATGTTCTGGACGTCGACATAGGATTGGCGCTTGTAGTATCAATTTCATTGAAAACGATACTACTAGCGCCCGTCCCGTATTGACGTCCAGAACTGAAATTTGTTTCGGTGGGCTTATTTATAATATTTATAATCAATGGTATAACATATAAATTTATACACCTAAATTTTATTAAATATTATATACAGAAATAATAAAAAAAACCAACCAATTAGCGGGTGTTCGTAAATCGCTAATTTTTTTCAAATCATCCATACATTCAAGATGTGGAAACATTTGTTTCGCATGCCGTAAGAAATATGGAAATATATCATCCACATGACCAGCACCTTGTAAAATGTCACTTATAACAACATGAAGATCAACAGGTAAAGTATTAGCTTCCAGACAAAACCTTCTAAAACTTATATAAGCTTGGTGCTGCAGATAATCTAAAAAAAAGTCATTCCGTGAAGTCTTATTTTAATTTTAGTAAATAAATGCTTGGTTGCATTCAATTTTGTGGTTCCATAAACAGTGTTTGGACGTGTCACATGGTTCCAACAACAGTTTATTAAACAAATTGATTGGTGCAACCCAGCATTAACTAATTAACATATATTATATTTGTTGAATATTACTATCTAATCCATTTTCCATAGCAAGTTGTTTGATTTCATTTTTTTGATAAAACCTATTAAGTATTTTTAGTAAATCGCCTTTATTTAAACTTCCGGTTAGTTCTGCACCAACATTTATGTCGTCAGGATTTGGTTTGACTGGTACAGGAACAAATAAAGTTGATAAAATGTCATCTTTTTTATATCTTTTTTGCATCAATATTGCAGAACTATTTTGTTTTCCACATCTGTAAACATAAGTTATGAAGATAATTACTAGTTGGGATTATATTATGATAATAAGCAAATTCAAAATCGTACCTGTGCAGTCTTAATAAATAAGAAAAGTATCTATGATGTTGTTTTATACAAATATTTTTTATAAAATACATTACAAATAAATAAATTAGTACAGCAAATTATTAAAATTAAAATAAATACATTTGTTTACTTTGCAAGTATTGGGTTTAATTATTATAGAACATACTAAAATTATTATACAGACAGTATTCAAGTATATGTTATTGAATTTTGAAAATAAGCTACCCAGTCTTTTTTAGTTTTTAATTTTATATTAATTTCTTGGTTTTTATCGGCTATCCACACATGGCACAAATGATATTATCACAGTATAATAAATGTGATGATTGTTGTTATCAAAGATGAGCGGAATCCAATTCGTTTCTACGCGTGCGGCATAACAAAATAAATAGGTATGTCAGCAACTTATGATAACTTGAAAATGGCTACCCGATTACTTGGGCGGCCGTGTATTTCTTACGAGAAAAAACCGGCTAACCAGAATACAAAATTTGATAGCATTAGTTGCTGACATACCTATTTATTTTATTCCTCGGTGCCAAGGGTTGATCAATACTACTGGTTCAATACTATAATAACACACAACAGTCAACACACAGAAAACTATTAACACAACGCTGAACACACACACAATAAATTATAAAACAGACCTAAGTCTTATAAGTTAAAACACAACTTTGGAGAGACTTCTGAGTTCTGACAAGAGATCTTTTATTGGCTGAACATTTATAAAATATCTGTCACATTTAATATTAATATTGTCAAAATATTTCTTTATACATTTTTCTTCATGCAACTTATTAACTTTTCTATTTTGGTTTTTAATTGAGTAACTTTGAAAAAATTTACCATGGAATTTTTCAATTTTTATGCTGATACCATACAAAGAGTAAGTTGTTTGTGAAACATACATTTTTGATGAGATTCCTGCTAGATATAGGAGTAGGTTACTTTCTATTAGATACATTTTTTCTTCCTATTATTGTTATGTTACCATTAGACTACCAGCTCGTTTTATTTTTATGAATACGAGCTGGTAGTCTAACCAGCTCGTATTCATAAAAATAAATAAATAAATACATTCACATTCAACTAAATAATTAAAAAACAAATTTTAGTGATTCTATTTTTATGCATTAAAAAAGTTCAAAAATTTAGATTAACAATAAACTTTATTAATGATAATTTAATAATAATTTACTTAACCGGAAACCCCTTTTTTTAGAGATTTATTGTTTGGAAATCTGTAATCTGTAGATTTTAAACTTTGGGAATTACTGTTGTGCTATTATGCAAGTTGGCTGTGACTAAAAAAAAGGTGACAAGTAAAGAAAAATACTGCCGAGTATATTTTTAGCATTTCAGTTGGTACAAAATGTACATTATTTTTTTCTATATAGAAAACTTTATGTTCAATTTTTACTGTTTACCATAAGGTTGTGTGATAAATAATTTTAATTAAACAAAGGCTGAAAACTAGTCTAATCTCTCTGAGGATTAAGTACAAGCAATGTATTATTTTATATTTAGATGCAGTCCGACAATGCTATGCCAAGAGTAACTTCACCACGTATTTACAATGATGGAAACATTACGTTTGAAGGATTGATGGTAGTTTTTTCTTGGTTTTCCACTTATTTACAATACTTGAACATCTACAGATCAGTTTGGTGGCTGAGTAATTCTAATTATACTTTATGGGTAAGTCAAAAATAATAGTACCACTAATAAAAATTAAATCTTGATATGACTATTATAATATTAATTAGGCTCTTATAGTAATTGAAAATATGTTGATGAAACACATATTATCAGTTGCGTATATACGGGGTTGTTTTGGGATAAATTGGCCCTCCAGAACAAAAAAAAACCAATCCCACAGTGCAGTAATCGTACCAAGCTATACCGAGCAAAAAAAAAATTTTATTGTTATTCAATATTAAGTAATTAGTACCTATTCAATATTTTATGTATTTTTTTTTCTATAAAATACTTATCTTTAAACATATGGTTGTGAATAGGTTTTAACTATGGTTTATGATAGCACTTATTGCGTTGGATGAAACGCTAAATGCCCTTCAATATATATAAGCACAAGTGTCGAAATCCTATGTTAAATCCCATTTTTACTTCAACCCTTTTGGGGTTAAAATAAAATTTTAACCCCAAAAGGGTTGAAATTTAACCTAGGATTTCGACACTTGTGCACAAATCAATGCATAACTTTTTTTCTATTGCTTAGTTTGAGCTAGTTTTGACGGTTTAATAGCTTGAAGTATTTTTAACACGAACACCATACCCAAAAGTTCATACCTGTCAAAATTTCTACCAGAAAAGGAAAGTTTAACAAAATATCTCATTTTTATTGTATTTAGAAACTTTTAAGGAGGCGTCAAGGTTAAAATTTGAAAATCTACTTTTTATGGACCACCTTAATATATATACATATATTAATGTGTCATTTGAATCACTAACCCCCCCCCCCCCATTAGGAAGTTAAATGTACGCCACTGTATATTTTGGTCAATGAGGTACAGTTTTCAGTTGTATTCTTTAAAATGTACATGCAAAGTGGATTGGCTGGTACACAACTGTTATATGCAGTTTTTCGGTTTATTCAGAGTTAGTCTTGGTAAGATCTCACAGCTTAATTGCTATTTGCAATCTTACTTGATTGTAATTTACTATCCATTTAAAACTTACATCCATCTCGTATCTCACTATTATTTTTCATTACACGAAACTTCACCTGTAATTTTATCAAAATATTTAATTGTTCAATCTACAGATCTATATTAATACATTTTCTTGAATACAATTACCTCCTCGATTAAGTCCACATTAAATCTAATACATTTAATTCAGTACTAACTTTTTTGAAGTGACTAATATGTTTATTTAACTGAAAAACATCCACACCTATTAGAAATGTAATGTTTTCTATTTTATGTTTCAGAAAATACATCTAATTGATTACGAAGTAGTGTTATTTATAATGGCAATGCATTGTCGAAGGTTCGCATATAGCTTGATTACATGGATCTTTCATGTATTTTGTCCTCAAAATTACTGGAAATTGACCAGACTATTTATCAGGTAATTTGGCAATATTATAGAGTGGATTTTTTTAAATTATTAATACATTTCAGATTATTTGTGACTGTTGGATTATCCATCATATTAGGGCTTCTAGCCTTTAATCTCTGTCAAAAGTATAATTATGGAGTTTTATTGTATTTATTTATGCCGTAAGTAGTATTACATTATTTCTGTACATTATTATAATACCAAGTTACAGTCGTCGTAAAATAAGTTGGCATAGCGACGACGGATTTTATCAGCAAGTATATCCCAAACTAATTTTTTTGCTCAACTGTCCGTCGGCTAGGACGCGCATGGTTTGGCCGCGGTAATTCTTTATTGTTGTTTTTGTTATTATTACTATTATTATTATTATTATTTAATTTATAAAAATACACTATCAACTATGCTGTTTTTTCACGCCACTGCAGCTATGCCAAGTTATCTGGCAACGACTGTAAATACATATAAATTTAATTAAAAAAATATAAATAAATAAAAAAATTTGCAGGATATTCGTTTATTTATGTTTTTACGGTTTTAAAGCATGTCCATTTTTCGACATGTCATGTGTAAGTGAAAAAGAAATCTTCCTCAACGGCAAACCATACAGTAAGTTTCTTTTCTAATAAATATTATTTTTAAAATGTTTACTTGTGTAAATATAATAGTCAAATTAGTTGTTGTAACACCTTGTTAATATTTAATTCAAAGTAATTAAATACATTTTTGAATTTTTATATTTTTCAGTTCAGCATACTCACATTCATTTATGCTCAACAAATCCAAAAGCTATTCGCTCAGAAGTCGAAGCCATGAAAGATGATTTCAACAGGAGGCTAAAACAAATTTTATTCTCATCTTTTTTCTCTGCTTATTATTCATGTTTTCTCCCAATAACATTTGTACAAGTATGTTTGTTATACTATTGTCATCTCAAATTTTCTTTAAATTACAATGTTTACATGGAAAGTTAGATTTTAAAGTTAAGTATTTTAATAGTAGGTAACTAACTAATATGTATGTATAAGAAGTTATTAAGAAATCTGTTTTCGAATTTTAACCTTGACATCCCCTAAGAAGTTTCAAAATAATAAAATTAAATAAATTAAAAAAAAAAAAAAATCAATGAATATTCATCGTTGCCTACAAGAATTTAAGTTTAAATGGGATTTAACGTGTTTTTCGATACTTGTGCACTAATGAATGCATAACTTTTTTCTACTATAATAAATATTAATAATAATAGTATTTTAATAGGCTTTATAGCCAAAACTTATCAATCCAATAAATACCGAACCTTTAGTAGTTTATTAAAAGAGGACAACTTTATGGTTTGCATTGATTTCCAATTTTCAAAGCTGCGTAGTATTAAACATTTGGATTATTCTCCGGAACTAAATCAAAATTTGAAGATAGTTGCAATATACTGTAAAAGGTCTTTCTCTTTCAGAAAAAAAATCTGATAATTTTACTAGGCGTCATTGGCTATTCTGTCATTTTTCACCACGAAAATGATTCTTAAAAGTAGAAACAATTGTTTATGTTAAAAATAATACCCTAAAAGTTCTATAAATCAATTGGAACTACTTTTTCTCAAATAAGCTTATATGTTTCTCATTAATAAATAGACCTTAGATACTTTTTATCAAGTGTTCTATAATTTGATTGAAATAAAATGTAAAAATATTATATTATGTCACCCAGAAATTTAGAACTAATACAAGCGAACCAGGCATACTATTCAGTTTGACTTTAATTATCTAATTAGTGAACTATTTCATGTAAACATATCTTGGATTGATTCACTAATTAATCGATACTTAATTTTTTGGCAGGATTATGTTGTTTACGAAGAGAATTGGGTATTAATTTATTTTCCATTTATCATGATGACTATGGGTATGATGTTGTGCCTTCAATACTATCCAGTTAAGTTAGTATAATCTTAATTTTTATTTGAAACATTTAACATTGCAGGATTCACTCAACCTAACCTCGCACTTCTACATTTTTTTTTTTAATAACTATTATTAGGTATCTTTTTTGTTTATTTTACATTGTTTTTATTTGATTTTGATTCTAGATACTTTGACAATTTACAAAAAGCAGCCATGCACTTGGGTCGATGGAAAAAAATCAAACTTGACCGTCCTCATATGCCTATACATTTGTATGTCAATTCATTACTGTTGTTTCTTTATAAAAACCTTAATGTTATAACTATGTAATATGTATCATTATTTTTTAATAACATATAGATGGTCAGATGAAGTGTTATGGCATCTAGGATCTCTAGTACGCCACAATCAGTGTTTGTATAAAGCCGAAGGCATGTCCAATGCGGCAGAACCCGGAAACCCTGCTGACAAAACTTTTTATGTGAGTACACACATCATATATACACTTACAACTATACCACTGATTAAAGTCAATTATTAATCATAATTTTTTTTTTGAAATTATCTTTTATAGAATATGTTTAGTAATCCTTCGGAAACTGTATACTTTACCTTGGCGTCCATTCAGATATCACTTATGTCAATCCTATTAGTGGTGTTAATCAATAGTGCTCAATGGCATCAAAAGTTTTACTTCGCATTCATAATGCTGTTGAACTATATTTCATTGTGTAAAACGTCGTTCAACTATAGAATAACTGCAAAGGTTTATAAATCATTAAAAGAAAAGACTCAGTAATGCTGGTCTGTATTTAGAAGACGAGAACACAAATGGGAATTTCTCCAGCAGTATTTTCTTAAGCTGCTCGTATTGTCGCAAATTTATATATTTAATTGTACATTGTAAAAATTTGTTGAAAAAAAAATGTAGTGATAGTTAAACATTCCTTATTCGCTTGGCATTCCAGCTAAATTTCTATAAGCACTCGAAAGCAAGTTCAAATTTGTTTGGCTGGCAATCAGTTTGTTTCTTAAAAAGTAAGTGCATTTGGTGTTAATTACTTTTAAATTTTAATAATGATGTATACATATTTTATACTTAACTAAATCTAGTCAACAAGTAACTACAAGTCTTAGGTCAAGTTGTGTGTGTATGATCTCGATTTTTTTTATGCCCACTCTTTATGCAATTGTTTTTAACTTAATAAGTACAAATAAGTATTGTTAATTTATTTTAACTTACTTACGAAGAAAATAAAGAATTCCTTGTTAAAATTGTAATTATATCTTTGACATTTGTCGATTGACTATTAGCTATTAGAATGTTTGTAATCTTTAAAATTTGTATTAATTCTGATTAATAAAAATAAAAAATGCTTTAAACTTGAGTATTGTTTTTTTCAATAAAAAATATATTTATTAAAACTGTTCACTTACAGAAATTTATAAAAAAAAAAACTAATAACATAAAATAAAGGTTTTAGCTTTCAGTTAACTCTTGGAGTTCCTTTGGAATCGCTTCGGAATACGTCCATACAGAATATTTGTTTGAATCCTAGGACAATAAAAGTTCAACACAGTTACTACAGTCTACATATGGTATTAACTATTAAGTTGTTAACCATTTTAATTATAAAAAATAATACTTGTATTTTAATATTCACAGAAGACATATCATTTCTCAACAAATCACAAAGTTTTAATACGTCTTGTTTGTTTAAACTAGAACCGGAATTTAACGCCAATTGCCTGAGATTTGTTCTAAAGTCGACAATTAAATCTATGACTAAACCAATATTACAACTATTGTCTAGGACCTGCCAAAAAAGAAAAAAATGTACATTATAATTTTATTCAACCATTTTACAATTAATAATGTTTTACATTTGTTTTAACCAAATCAACACCGAGGTTATCCAAAGTTTTAGACACTATATTTGAAGCCAACATCACTTCTAATGACGAACAATCAAAACGCTGATCCTACAAATGGAAAACATACAAATTATAGACATAAATATTGATGAATTATACAAGATAGCTGATGGGTAATATAAAAATAAAAAAACCCTATTTATTTCTTTATTGTTATACAGCATAATATATAATATATTATTTCCAAAATATTCTATTTAACGTTCAAAGTGACTGTAAATTAATTATTCTCAAAAGTAAATTTAAATATTGAATAAGAGTTTTAATTTCAAAATCATCTTATCCCAATTCAATTCAACAATACCTTAAAAACTGATTTTCTTGGTACGATGATTAGTAATATTTGACAAAGTATACACTGAAAATTATATACTATTACCTTGGTAAAATATTTGTTGTAAGCATTCATTAAACATATTAACGACTGCAAAGCTTTTGAAGTATCAAAATTATCCGCTAAGTTATTGAGAACTTCACTTTCAGTTTCTGTTAAAGTCTAAAACAATGAACATTTTTTTAATATACATAGTTATATATATATTGCAAAACAACTAACATGTAGCAGAGACGTTTTGGGAGCTTGTACGTTTTGTTTATTTTTTAAATGACTAGAGCAATTAAATAGAAACGACTCAAATTTGTTTAGTGTTTTACGAGCCATTTCCATGGATTGTTCATTAAATTCCACATCTAAAAAAATTATTTTATTATTTTATCTTTGATGTACACTTATTAAAAATTGTTAAATCAATTTCTTTTTAAAGAACTTTTAATTTTTAAATTACCGTTTTTGTAGTTTGAAAGTAAACATAGTACACGAAATTCGTTAGCAGTATATGTTTTCAGGACTTCTTTGACACTTACTGTGTTTTTTAGTGATTTCGACATTTTAACGTTATCTCCTAAATGTAAATGACCTAAAAATAAAATACAAATAAAATCTATAACTTTTTTACTTATTTTATAAACGCTATCAAATTATTGTCTGCAAATTATATAAAATAATTTTTAAGTATTTTTTTTTTAGTTTAAAATATTTTTTGGTCAATAAGTTATACGATTTTAAAAATAAAGTAAAATAATAAATATTGCAATAATTTATTGGTTTTTATAGTATTTTTAATATAATATTGTAGATAAAATAATTTGAATGCTTTGTTAATATAAAAATAGTTAATAGAAGTCAGTTAAATACTTCTATTTTTAAATTAATTATGTACGATATCCAAAATTTACATTTTTTGCATTAAACGAAAAAAGATTATAATTTTCAATAACTTTTGCAGCCACCTGTTTATTTAATTAAAATACTATATATTTTATTTATATTGTTCAGTTACATTTTCGGTATAATAGTCTAACCTCTTTCACATGCTAAAAAAAATTAACTTGAACATTGAACAAAACGTTTTAATCTAGAATGTTCCTGAAAAAAATTTAAATAGAATAACTGAATACAAATTTGTTATTCTTATTATTCTTTTAATAGGCCAAATAGTATTAAATTATTATGATTAACATAACCTTTTGAAAAGTGTTAAAAATCTTTTTTGTTTAAAGCATTTTAGCCGGATCAACCCAGCACGATCAATAGCTTAATATTGAGTTTTTTATTTATCGTTTATTATTTTATTGTATATTGTTTTTAAAATATTGGATTACGTGTTATATTTCAAATGATATGAATACCAGTATAAATCCAGTTTTCTACCCAGTTGTCAACGTCATGATAGGCACAGCATTGCGCTTCTTCATTTTCATGATGGGGAAATAATAGATCTATCCCACCCGAGTGTAAATCTACGTTCGACCCAAAGTAATAACTGGAACACCATTTAAATTGATTACAATATTTAGATTACATATTTTCAGTGTTGGGTGGTAACGCAAATTTCTCGTTACACTAATACAATTACTATTTAAGTAAAGTTGGGGTACTGTAATGGGTACAAATTGGTAAACTGTAATGTATCAAAATTATTGATCGAATCACTTATTGAAGAAATGGAATAAATCATCATTTTTACAAAAATTATTTTTTGATGGCAAAACATTTTGTAGAGAGACCAACAAGTTTGTAATGATATGTAAAGGAACAAGTCAACGCTCTAAACCCTATAAAACATACAATCAAAAATCATGTTTATTTATAAAAAGAAATATGTATAATATAATATTACATTCGACTTAAGTTGTAATTAAATGTGTCAATATTAAAATTTTACAGCTACTTTTTTTTTAAACTTATTTTTCTTTTTGTTTGGGGTTGTCTTAGAAATGAATACATTTCTGTTTCACTGTGTTTTATATAGGATAGGGAATAAGTATGCCAGATGTGAGTGCCTAAAAAGACATACTGAAATATATACCTAAAGCCCTAAAAAAAATATAGAAAATATTTCTAATGTAAAAAAAAATTGTTTTCCAGATTTTTATAAAGTTTTTAAGCTTTTATGCAGATAGAAGATATCATAAATTCATGATGATAATTTATCATAATAGGATACAGTGCAAGATATTATCAAATGTAAATTTGTTTATACCTAGCAATAGCAGAGCACTCAATGTGCCATCCAGGCCTTCCAGGACCCCAGCAAGAATCCCAAAATGGTTCACCTGGTTTTGCGGCTTTCCACAGTGCAAAATCTAAACTTGATTTTTTTATTGAATTTGAAACTATATCAGGAACTTTAACAAATTTCCCATATTTATTATATTTGGTCGTGTCAAAATATATTGAACCTAACAACACCAAAAATGCAACAGAAATTAACATGTACATACTTTACAATAGCCAAATAACCAAAAAAGCCAAATAATAAAAATGTAAAACTTACCGTCAACAGAACTATAAGCCAAATCTTTTTCTATAAGATTTTGAATAAAATGTTTAATCTCGGGAATAAATTCTGTAACTCTTGCTAAAATATCAGGTTGTTTTATATTTAACAAATGCATATCTTGTACAAATTCCATTTCGTATTCTCTAAAATATAATTAAAAACAATATCTTACATTAACAATTAGAGTTAACACTTTAATTTTTTTTATATTATAATTTGGTATTTACTATTGCTTTAGTCAAGTTAATAGCCCAAAAATGTTTATTACGTACAAGTTTCCATATGGAAATGTTGAACACGTAAAGTTCATACAGCATTAAATCATTGACCAGAAAAATACTCGAATGTTGTAATAAATAAAAAGACAAAAACTCTGTTCAAATAAAAATACTATCGGCCAATCATAGACTTAGATTTTAAGATTATTACTAAGAAAAATTATTATTGAAGAATAGCATATACCCAACAAATGAGCACTTATACAACACCAGATTTCTACATTGTCTTTTCACAAAATAATTGTTTTGTTTTCCAGTTTACTATACATGTGGATAAGATTTTAATTTAATAATACCACAATTTAAATATTCCACAAGTGATTACAACTTGTGGAATCATTTATTAGTTTAAACTTTATTAGTTTACTTGATTATAACTGATCGTATAGGTATAGCATTCTATAGGTATAGGTCTACTTGCATTCATTATTCGTAGAATTTTAAAAATAGAAAAGTGAAAAATAATATTTTTTTTATATATAATAGTATATAATAAGATAAAACCTTGCTACTTGAAATGGATCTTTATTTAAACGTTTTGCTTTTGTTATTATTTTATCATCAATATCAGTGATATTCATTACTTGAACAACTGTCCTTTGAAAATAATTTTCCAATATTCTCCTGACAATATCAAATTTCACATAGCAACTGTAAAACAGACAGTATTATTAAAATTTAGTTTTATTTTATGTATGGAGAAGCCAGCAAACCATGCGTGTCCAATATGCATTGAATCATAAACAGTTGGCCCACAAATATACCAAGTTAACATCCGACTGTTTTTTAAAAACACTTTAGTTTTGGTTTTCCAGTTGTATACACTGACATTGGGTTTATTGGAGGAAGACGCACGCTTTACAATAAACTTATTGAAAATATTTAAACTGTTCATTTTTGTAAAACCGGAGGAACAATTCATTTTAAACATATTCAAATGAAATTGTTTTTTTTCAACAAGATTATTAATCATGCAATAGAATATATTATTTCCCGCAAACGAAAATTTACGGTTTTCCGATTTAATTTAAGATATATTATACTAAATAAATAGTATCCTTTTTAAAATTATTAAAGAAGTAAATTGTAGTTATCCGAATTCCAATTTCTAAATTCTATTATCACATTTCATAAACACGATAACATGACAATAATAAAAAATTAGCGGCAATAACAAACGGTTCAAAACTTTATCACGGCAATTAGAATATACTTTAATAAGTATTTATTTAATCATGTACACAGTACATTGCGTTAATTTTTTTACACAGCTGACAGATCTTATTTCATTCTATTTAAATCTAAATTATAAAATATTATAATTGTCCCGCAACTTAAAAACAAGAAACAGAAATACTGTAGTACGAAAAATGTAGATTAAACCCATATTTTATAAAATCGGTCTACTGACTACTGAGTAAAAATAGTATCTTGGATTTAGACATTGATTAAATACAATTTTTATTTAATTAATGGTTTAGACATGGATTTAGGAATTTTAAATTACATAGACTAAACTCTCAGGTAGGAAAAGGCCAAGAATAATGTACAACTAGGTACCTACTACAATTGAGTGTATATATATATATATATTGTATATATATATATTATACTTAATGTTACCACCTACACTAATGTGTAAAATGTAAATTTAAAAAGAAAACAATTATTTTTTATTGATATATTAAACAAATAGGCGAACTATAGATGAACAAAATGCATCATTACGGACTAAATAAACATATTTTTTTAACATATTATTATTGTAAAATCATATAAAATATTATTTTGGTATAGTAATGGTATCGCGGCATATTTACAATTTTCATCTAAAATGTTGATATGCAAAAAAAAATTCCCTCGGCTTCCTTACGCAATTTACATAGGGGCATAAAATTTACACTATGTAAATCTTGCTAAGGGCATGATTCATAAAGTGGCCTGACCAAAAAAGGTGAACCATGTATTTTTGTTTTAAGCATAACAGCTGGTAACAGTTTGTTTATATACATTGTTTGTTATTTTCAAATTTCAAAGGAAGAAGTGTATTTTGTATCCATTTTTAAGTTTGCTTATCAAAAAAAAAACAAATTATTCAAAAAAACGTTTTCATTGTCAAAACGTTTAACGTAGCTTAATAATAGTTGATTAAAGTTTTTGTACTATGTCTTTTCAAAAAGTCAACGAAAATATTAACACCGTCACAGAACTCTGTTCTGCCATGACCAAAGCGTTACAAAATTTGGAAGAAGAAAAAATGCAGTTGGAAAAAGCAAACAAATCTTTGAGGACTAACAATGAAAAACTGTATCAGTACGTTGTTAAACTACTCGAGATTAACGATCATCTACGGCATTCTTTAAGTCAAACTGTTGGTAAAAATGAAGCCCTGAAAAAATATCTGGTCACCATAAATAAAGAACAATAACTCGACTGCACACTATAGAAGAGAATAAAAAATTACTCAAATTGTTATATACTTTTGTAGATTTTTAATAAAGTCTGTTTATTTTGTTTCCTTCGTTAACACTTTTTTACAAAGTAAAACATGTATAAATTTAAAACCTATATGATAATTTCTAAAATATAAAGTATCGTTTAATAAAAAAAAAAGGTGTTAGTTAGCGAAAAAAGTTATTAAAACATTTATGTTGCTATATTTTTTTTATAAAATATAATATTCTACCTAATAATATAATGAAATGTTCTTTTTTATGTGACATTTCGTCCACAACTTCGTTAACAAAAAGCGTTTTTTATTTAACACATAGATTGAATAATATAAAGTAATAAACTAAAGTCCTTGGGGACCCTAGGGGAGGTTGGGGGTGTTATATCACCTTTATCATCACATATAAATAGCCTCCCGAATGGTATAATATAATGGACTGGGAGTGAAGGGGAGCGTCGAATTTATGGCGTCGACAACACTCGAATGTGGCCGAACGTTCTAGAACTTTCTATGGACTATATAAACGCAAACGGCAGCCCGCATGGAGACAGTTTGAAATTAGAGTTCAAAGCGATCACAGTTATTACAATCCGCGATTTTCAACGAGTTTTTGAATGATTTTAATTTTAAATATTTCACTAATATAAATTTTCTTCCTTATTTTGTTTTTTTTCGTGAGTGTGTTAAACATCTATTATGGTTGGCAAAACGGCTATTGGTATTGATCTAGGAACGACTTACTCCTGTGTGGGAGTATGGCAGAACGGCAAGGTGGAGATCATAGCCAACGACCAAGGTAACAGGACTACCCCAAGTTATGTGGCGTTTACGGACACCGAACGTTTGATTGGAGACGGAGCCAAAAATCAAGTGGCTATGAACCCCAACAACACTGTGTTTGATGCCAAACGCTTAATAGGCCGGCGTTTCGATGATGAGAAAACACAGGCGGACATGAAGCACTGGCCTTTCAAAGTGGTCAACGATTGTGGAAAACCAAAAATCCAAGTGGAATTCAAAGGTGAGCAAAAAGTATTTGCCCCAGAAGAGATCAGTTCGATGGTGTTGACAAAAATGAAAGAAATCTCTGAAGCGTATCTGGGTAAGAGTGTTACTGATGCAGTAATCACAGTACCCGCATACTTCAATGACTCGCAGAGGCAAGCCACAAAGGACGCTGGAATTATAGCTGGCTTGAACGTTATGAGAATCATAAATGAGCCCACAGCTGCTGCTTTGGCTTACGGTCTGGACAAAAATCTAAAGGGTGAAAAAAACGTTCTGATATTCGACTTAGGCGGCGGTACATTTGATGTTTCCATACTTCAAATTGACGAGGGTTCTATATTTGAAGTAAAATCTACTGCTGGTGATACTCATCTGGGAGGAGAAGATTTCGATAACAGATTAGTATCACATTTGGCTGAAGAGTTTAAGAGAAAATTCAAAAAGGACGTGAAGAGCAATCCAAGAGCTCTGAGACGCCTAAGAACAGCTGCTGAAAGAGCCAAGCGGACCTTATCATCAAGTTCGGAAGCAACAATTGAAATTGATGCCTTAATGGAAGGTATTGATTTTTATACAAGAGTATCTCGCGCTCGTTTTGAAGAACTGTGTGCTGACCTGTTCAGATCTACGCTTCAACCCGTGGAAAAAGCATTGGCAGACGCTAAAATGGACAAGGGAGCCATACACGATGTAGTATTGGTTGGTGGATCTACGAGAATACCTAAAATACAGAATCTACTACAAAACTACTTCTGTGGTAAGTCACTTAACCTTTCTATCAATCCTGATGAGGCAGTAGCATATGGTGCTGCTGTTCAAGCCGCCATTCTTAGTGGAGACACCAGTTCTGCAATACAAGACGTCTTACTTGTCGACGTTACTCCGCTATCGCTGGGAATTGAAACAGCTGGCGGTGTTATGACTAAAATTGTCGAGAGAAATTGTACAATTCCATGCAAACAAACACAGACATTCACTACTTATTCGGATAATCAACCAGCAGTCACTATACAAGTATTTGAAGGAGAGAGAGCAATGACCAAGGACAATAACCTGTTAGGAACTTTTGATCTGACCGGTATACCTCCAGCACCTAGAGGTGTACCCAAAATTGATGTGACTTTCGATTTGGATGCTAATGGCATTCTGAACGTTTCGGCTAAAGACAACAGTTCTGGTCTTTCAAAAAATATTGTTATTAAAAACGACAAAGGCCGGCTATCTCAAGCTGAAATTGATCGTATGCTAAATGAAGCTGAGCGTTACAAAGAAGAAGATGAAAAACAAAAGGTTAAAATTGCTGCTAAAAACCAATTGGAAAGCTATGTATTTGGTGTGAAACAAGCATTGGATGGTGCTGGGGACAAACTCAACGAGTCAGAAAAGAACACAGCTAAACAAGAATGTGATACCGTAATACAATGGTTGGATAGCAATCAGTTGGCCGAAAAAGAGGAGTACGAGTACAAACTAAAGGAAATACAAAGTAAGTGCTCTGCATTAATGATGAAAATGCATGGAGGACAAGCAGGTGGAGCACAGATGCCAGGCAGCGGTAGTTTTCCTGAAGCTCAATCCCGAGGACCTACTGTTGAAGAAATAGATTAAATTTGTACAAAGTATGCTTAAAATATATTTGTATACCTCTCGTAGTGTTAAGCTATGCCATCATAATGTAATGTACTGTACTACATATAAACATATTCCTAATTGTAATTAAACTTATTTTAAAATTGTGAAATGTAAAAGGAAGTAGTAAATTGTTGTTATCTATATTTTATTTGTAAATGTATTAAAGCATAGACTGATTTTTATTTAATAAAATATATTATGATACATTTTAATTATCCAAAAGTCTTATTTATTGGCACGAGCTTAAAATTATTTTTAGTTTTGGCCACTTATTTTTTATTTTAAGCGTTTTTATTAGTACTAATATTATTAAGACTCACACAAAGCTCTCATACTCAAGTAAGGGCCCGTTTCATTAGCACGTTGAGCACTTTAAGTTGGACGCTGTGTCTGATCTGATTATAGAACCAAAATATGCTGGAGGTTAAAAAACTATTAATACATAATACATTTCACACAGTTCGCCATCTATATAAAACTAACAGAATTTAAGTGTTTTATTGAAAGTGATATCACTATTTTTTATCATTTAATTATAAAAGTATGATCCAGCATTCTTATAGTCTAACAATAGTGTATTAGCACAGATTATATGAACAAATAAATACATAATATTCATATATCTATGGTATTCGCTTATTTTATTTTAGCTTACTCGCGTAGCAGTATAGCACAGAAACTTCAATGCTTACAATGAATTATATTTGTTTCTTGTTTCATTATTTATTAATGATATCACTTATATCAAGGATGCGATACTTAATAAGATTTATATCAACAATTGCAAATTTTTTAAATTAAAAACATCTTATAAGTCTAAAGTCATGACGTGAATAAATCTTTAGCCTGTTTGTACTTTGTTATTATTTGAATTATTTCAATTTTGATAACAGTTATCACAAAAAACAAACCCTTCTTACTCGTTATCAGCGGTTAATTAATTATTTATGAGAAAAACATATTTCTAACGTTTTTAATTTTTTATAATTTGTTAAAATTAATTTAAAATAAAAAGTTTGTCGATGTAATGTTAATAGTAGCATTACAGTAAACGGTTATGCTTGTTATTACTTTTATTATTTTTATCAAGTTTTGTAGTAGGGCAGATGCTTCAAAAAGCTAGTAACACAGTTTTTAATTGTTTCAAGTACTATTGTGTTTTTCACTGTGTAACCGAACATGTAGTCGACGTCGTTATAGTAGGTGTTTGTTGACATTTCCTAGCTTGTAAGATTTGTATCAATTTTTAGGCAAATGTTTTTGATGTTCAAGTTCAAACGGTTATATATTTTTTTCTACATTAGGCTTAAAATAAAATAAAGTCAAGTAAGGAACTTAAGTAGTGTGGTTTTTTTGATGAAATATAAAATAGCTCAATCTAAAATGTATTACATTAAAGACAAAACTTGATCTTGTGAACCGCTCTATCAATTTTATCATGTAACAATTCTATCGATCTGAATTAAAAACATGAAAAAATCAATCCTAAAAAGTATTTTTAAAGGCCAAAAATAATTAAAAGTTTACCCCTAAATCCCTGTAAAAATGTACAATCATTTTCAACCTACAATTACAGCGTGTTATAACTTTAAAAAAAAAAAAAAGTCAAATAGTTTTTACGATCCGCAACATCACATGAAAGTGTTTGATAGTTATTTTATTACTAGGCTATAGTTCCTTAAGATTTGTGGCTTCTCACATCCCACTGTTCTGGTTTTTTTTATATATCGCCGCCCCGGTAGAACAATGACACACTGCAATAATTGAAGTTGTAAAGGAGAACCAAAAAACCCAATTTATTTTTACTAAAATGTTATAAGATGTAATTTTAATGGAATGAGAATCAGGGTTTTTTTTTACAACTACAGTTATGTCGTTTTTTCTACCTCATGCATTCTCTATATCTAAACACATTGAAGCATTTAGTTCATTTTACCAAATTTTGCAGTTGTGTCATTGTTCTACCGGGCGGCGATAAATATTATTTATTATATAGGCGTGCCAAATTATTTTGAATATTTTTATACAAATAATAAAAGCTATAAATATTATTGCTACACCTGAGCCTATAATAGATGTTAAGTTAGATAAACGAATAATTATTTTTCTTAGTGTTCAGGAGAATCGATGGAACCTTCCATTCAGTCAGGAGATATAGTAATTATTCAACGATTTTCAAAAGTTTTTAACAATGTCGATAAAGGTGATATGATATTAGCCAAGTCACCAAACGAGAATAAGCTAGTTGTAAAAAGAATACAAGCTATGGATGGGCAGACTGTCAGAAGAGGCATGAGGTATCGGACGGTATGTTTTTTTAATGTAATTCTGAAGACATCAAATTGCTTAACATCTTAAACTAGTATTTGACCATTTATTATTTATGTACAGGTTCCTAAAGGTTCAGTGTGGTTGGAAGGAGATAATAAAAACAATTCTTTAGATTCTTGGCACTATGGTCCAGTTCCAAAAGGTTTGATATGTGGTCGAGTTTTGTGCCGAATTTGGCCTTTGTCAAACTTTACGTTAAGAGTTTGATATATTCTCGAAACGATTATTATGAAAAAATTGGTTTAGAAAATAATTGTACTGTTATTACTATGTTACAATATAGTGATGTTTGGTATATTACAATAGGTCTTAAAAACTTTATGAAAAAATAACTGTTGCCTCTATAATTGATAATATACAAATTGTATTTACACATATTTCACTTATTAACTAATTTACAATTTAAACTTAATTTAGTATAGAAAAAAAACCCATTATGATTTAATGAACTATTAAACAGTCATCATTGGGTGAACACTATTTACTAGAAAAAAAAAGGAAACTTAAAGATATTGATTAACACATCGAGAAGTTAAATTTAACAGTGAAGCGCTTTGGTTTCACAAAGAAGTGTCAAAAAGTTTTCTGGGAGATTTTAATTTCTTATCAGCCACTTATACTATAAACTAAACCGTTGTGAGTTTGTAAAGTTTGTTCTTCTTCGATTTGTCTTTTAATAGTTACGTGGTAACTGTGATTGTCCATTCGTATGTTACAGTCGTCATTTTGTAAGTTTTTGCTACTAGACATATTCATTCTCTTTAGAGAACCTGAATGAAACCTGCCACCTTCGCCGCGAATTCGATTCATGGCGTGTTTGTGACGCGACTCATAAAGGTATTTCTAAACATAAATCAAACTGTTAGTTTTAGAGTATTTGTCTACAAAATAAAGGGCTTTTGATGGTTCTTACTTGTCTAGTTTTGGGTATTTTCCCTTCGGCTTCTAGTTTCGCTCGCGCTTGTCTTCTTTTTAGAATTCGTTTGTACTGTTTAGCATTTACATACAATGGTTCTTCTTCAAGAAATTCCGTTGTTGTAGGTAACCGTTGAAACTGACTGTTATTGTTACTGGTATTATTTGGAACCATCTAAAACCATCAAAATCAAATAAATGTATAATAAGATTTTAATATAAATAATACAATTTTCTCGTTCACAATGATTACCATAACAATATTTTGATTTTGTTGAACACCCTGTGGGATAGCTGACGTCGTTGGGGTTATGTTCGGAGAATTGCTAGTAGGGGCACTAGCCAATTGTACAATATTTCCATTTATATTTAGCACTATAAACAACAATATTATTTATTATAATAAATATTGCAAATAAAGTGTACATTAATTTATTATAGCAAAAGAACTACTACACACGTGTCGGTTGTTGTGGTTGCGACTGAGCAATAGCTTGTGTGTTATCAACTTGTACGGGTTGATATATGAAGGTTTGTCCATCGGGTGTCTGAATAAGTTGTGCTTGGGTCTGTTGTTGTATGACGAGTGGGCTATTATTGGTATTCTACAATAAAATATAATGCATACAGCATAAATATGAATAAATGTTACTAGTAAAATTATAATAATTGTGACTGTATGAATAAAGGAATGTGAATAATAAAGCCACACAATAGGATTGGGGAGGTTACAAGTCTTGGGTACCTCTTGAGGACCCCAAAGTCTCATTTTTCCAACTTGCCAACTAGTTACACAAGTGGTATTTAGACTTCTCTGTGGGAAAAGTTATAGATTGCCTTATTTAAGAAGATAAGTATAATAATTAAAAAATTGTTTCCTTCTAATTTGAAGAACAAACTTTGGCACATTTTTTTACTTAGAATAATTTATATACCTGTACGGGTAACTGCAGTAGTTGTAATTGTTGATTTCCGTTATTTTGAGGAACAGCATGAACAACTATTTGCTGTCCGTTTGCACCCTGTAATACTTGTCCGGCCTGTACAACTTGTACTTGATTGTTAGAGGACGGAATAGCTTGCACAACTGTCATGTGACTTGCATTACCGCCTCCGTCTGTAGTAATTTGTTGCTCCATGGATTATTAGCGCTAATAAAACAAATAATGTTTATTAAGCGATGTGTATTAACTTGTCAAAAATAAATATAGGTAATCTTATTGCCAAAAAGCAACATTTTATTTTCTTTCTACAATTGTTGATCCAATATTTTAATCATTTTAGTTTATGAACATGATACTGAGGCAATATGATGGTTATTTGTTTTGTTTTGTATTCACAATTAATTGATTTCAGTTATTAGAAAATACTGTACAAACTATCATAGCTGAAAGATTTTCAAACTACGTACCTATAACATTGGATATTTATTAGATATAGACAGTTAAATAAGATCATAAATGATTTAGGTACTCCTGATTAGTAAAATTTTGTTTGATGAAGAAAAAACAATTCTTTTTTTTTTAAATTTTTTACATGAAACGTTGAAAATAAGAATGGTAAAGATTTAAGAGATTAGATTTAGAAGAATGAAGACAGCTGGGATGATTGAACAAGATGTAGAAGATCGAGCTCTATGGAGGTGTACGACTAGGGTGGCCGACCACCATGTAGTTGGGAGTGTAAGGTGAACATAAAGGAGAGATTTAGGACAATGAAGAAACGAGTTACAACTAAGTCGGATATTACTGAAAAGTAATAGTGAGTAGAGGTGATGTTAAAAAAAGCTTCTGTAATATATTAATATTAGGTTAAAATCGAAGCAGCATAAATAAAAAGTATGGAGAGATTGGATGAGGAGATTAATAATCAATGATTTATTCCAAAAAACAACCTGTTTATTCTGATAGAAATGCTTTTCAAATTGTTTAGGTACTAAACTTTGTGGGAAAGAAATTAATATGTAAGGTGAATCGCAAGTTAATTTTTGCTTGCAAGTAGTTTGGTCGAGTTTGAAATGTACGGATGAAAATATTCTGTTAAGACACCCTGACTTAATATTTAATTGGCTCATTTTTGTAGCGGAAAAGAACGTGTCGAAAATGTATTGGGTTTTCTTTTATAACCATTTACTTACGCTGTAAGTTTTAGTGAAATCTGATTAGCAAAATGAAAACCAACTGTCGGAGCGTTATCCATACTTTTTTTGTTTTGTATGCGAAAACTTAAAAAAATTACTACGACCACAGCAAGTAGTTTCAACAAAGAGGAACCGTCAACGGTCTACATCGAGCCGAGGTCAAGTTAGTACTTAGTAGCTACTTGACTCAAGTGCAATACTGACATGGACCGTTTTGGCTCGTGTGGTACAGAATATATATATGTGTATAATATAAGCTATCGCAGAGGCAATTGCAAAGCGTCGAGGCGTATATTGTATAAGCGGATAAAAATTTTGTGAATTTAAAGGCGAACTTACATTGGATATCACTTTAGAGATTATTTCCGATGATTGGCCGAAATTCTGGTCGCCAATGAGACAGCGTAAACGTCAACGAGCGAATTGGCTTGGCTCTTACCGCTGACCAACCAATCCACAACACACGGAACGGTCGATGGTACAGTGCGTCCGTTTTACCGGAACACCGCACAATGTACACATTACAGTGTATCCAACTTCGGATCGGAATGATAATTATTCAAGTTTTCAACAAAACAATAATATAATATACTTACCTAATCTTAGAATTTAGATATTAAAGATTATTAATAGTTATGTTTAAATAATAGATTTAATATATAATATAGCAATACCTCATGATAAAATTGAATCCTATAACACAACTTTTTATACATCTGAATTATAAAAGGGTCATCTTTATTTACATTGGTAATTAAGTCATCATCTTCATAAACTGAAATATCAGAGTAGAAATGTATAAATTACGAGCTACAAGAAGATAATTTAATTTTAACAACAAACAGATAGGTAACTCAATAAATACAATCCATATCCTACAAGTGCTGTTAATGAAATAGCAATGCCGTAGAACTTATTATTATCAATTTTTTTAATGTTGACTTTACTTGTATTGCTTTATGATCACCAATATCAGATTTGAATCTATGACAGCCAAAATTCTTATATTTGGATACAGCTAATTAGAAAAAAAAATTGACATTGTATTACATTTTTGAGAAATAATGGTTAAGAAAATACCTCAATTTAAAAAACTTACTGTTAGGAGAACCCAGTAGTGGCCGATAATACTTAGAATTAGATACAAACTAAAAACTAAAAAAATCCGATTAAAGTTACAAATACTTTTAGTCATTTTTTTTACTTTTTTATTTGTATTGTTACAAATAACAACCATAGTTCAATATACGAATATTTTATTTAATATTAAATACAAATGTAATCTATACAATGAATTCTAATTTTTAATATATAAATATACAAATGATTAAATAACGTTTTTATCGTCTTGAGTATTATTAAATATTAGAAATAATAATTAATAGTATCAGTATACATTCTTCATCATACGTTTTGATCCTGACATAATATATCTATTATGTCTATGGTTTTGATCATTCGTTAGTCGTTTATGTCGTTACTTAAATTTTAAAACAAACCACAGGTGACAGGATATAATAATATGTGTAATATGTCTATATAGCCATTGATAATCTATTATCTAATAACAACAAAATATAATGAGTAATAACGATAGCATCTATTCTGTGACGATAGTTCATAAATGATTACTGATAAGAGATTAACAGCTGTTAATATTACAGAGTACAGCTGCATACTGTATAGTGTATACACATAGTCATAAAAAATCCAATTCTTATCTAGCTCTAATCTTATCTCATTAGCTGTTGACTGTTGTTGTGATTTCTAGAAATTGTTTAAACTTATATACACGTGTTAGTTGTCCGAATTTAAAAGTTTAATTTAATAATTTTTAAAATTAAATTTTAGTTTTATATAAAGTGTTGCGCTTATTATTGTTGATTGCTTAAATCAACATGAAAGATAAAATCGAACATTTGATAGTTGATACAGCTGGATTTATCGATAAAGCGCCTTTGCAAGACTTCGGCACAAATATCTATACAATACAAGAAGTAGTAAATGAAGTGACAAATAAACGGCAGAAAACTGACTTGTCCGTATTACCATACAGTCTAAATATTTCTACAGTTTTTCCTGAAAATATTCAGTTTGTAATTGATTTTTCCAAGAAAACTGGTGACTTTCCCAATCTCTCAGTCACCGATATAAAAGTAATCGCATTGACTTTTCAAATACATAAAGAGAATTATGGCGTCGATGGTTTAAAAGATGAACCCGATTCCAAATCTGTTGTGTTCGACAAGCCAGCCTCAAACGATAATAAATTGATTGGTTTTTATGACCCAGATGAACTCTGTAACGACATTTCAGAACTGGACTTGGACGACGAAGGGTGGATAACAGAAGATAATATAAAAGATATAAACAATGATGACAATTCTATCAACGAAGAAATTTCTAAAGTCGGCTGCATAACTACCGATTATGCAATGCAAAATGTTCTCAAGCAGATTGGTCTTGCTATAGTTTCTTTTGATGGTCGGATAATCAAGGAAGTCAGAACGTATATACGGCGCTGCTACGGGTGTTTTACGCTCACCTCAAATATGACCCGCATGTTTTGTCCGAAATGTGGAAACAAAAGTTTGAAGCGTGTAGCAGTATATATAGATGAAAATGGGAAACAATGCATTTACATCAATGGAAAACGACCTATAAATATAAAAGGTAGAAAATATTCATTGCCTAAGCCACAAGGCGGAAAGCATGCGGTGAATCCAAGACTTGTCGAAGATCAGCCAATGCCACATCAACGACCATCAAGACTAGCTAAAACGAAAACTAACGCTTTAGATCCAGATTATACAGCTAGGCTATCTCCATTTGCTACTAGAGACGTATATTCCAAATCTGCAATGTTAGGCTTCAAAGGTTCTGTTCAAAAGCAATGGATGAAAAGAAATCCTAACGAAGCAAACAAAAAATGTAAAAAGTAACTAAAATCTGTTTTTAACATAAGATCTTAAATAAATATATTAAATATTTAACTTAGTATTGTTAATGTTTGTTTATTTGTATACCAAAAATATTCTATTTAAAAAAACTGAAATAAGATGTAAATTAGTTGGGACAATTGTAGAATAATTAAAGACATTACAAATTTGTATATTATAATATTTATATATACAAAATAAACACATTACAACTTACTATTATATATAATAATAATAAATCCTTTGTTCACATTTATTGTTATATTTAATTAATACAAAATTAACATTGTCTATGAAATGTATATTAAAAGGATTATAGATAGGTAAATAGTGGTGGTAGTAATAATAATAATAATAATAATAATAATAAAAAATGTACAAATATGTTATGATATAATACAACAATACTATATTTATTAATTTGTTTTCTAATAATGATGTTAAGTTCAAATCTGTTATTTCGAGGATTCTAATACTGGGTAAAAAAAAAATTAAGTAGAACAAAATTAAAATTAACAAAAATTTGTCTATTTTTGATATGTGTAAACATTAAAAAAAGCTGTTATAAAGGCTGATGGTAATATCACTATTTACAACATTACGTGTCAGCTATAGATTTCCATCTGGAAATGAGTTAGTACTATTGCTACGCGCTAAACTTAGCACACTGCCAGATAAACTGTCCCCTTCCAGCGCCGAGGCTTCTGCGATCGCTAGAGCACTAAAAATAATAGTAACATTTTAATTAATACATACATACATAAACAATTAAAAATATAATCACTAACCTAAAACCCAAACGAGCGGATTCTTCATCAAATTGTTCTAATTCACGTTCTTGCTTTTCTCGAAGAAGCCGAATACGTTCTCCTCGTTCTTGAAGAAACTGTGCAGTTTCCATTTCCATCTAAAAATACAACAGTAAATAATAAACATTTTAAGTTCCCCGGAAAAACTTAGAAATTTGACAATAGCATTAAATTTAATATTTTGTGTATCTTAAATAAATATAAATATCGGCATTATTTAAATTCTTCTTTATTGAAAAAAAGAATCATATAGTTATTAGAAATAAATATGTTCTTCTCTAAAATTAAAAATTATCTAAAGACATTTTTTATTTTCAACTCTAAGTAATTAATAAGCCATTTGAATAAAAATAAAATAATACAATTATTTAAATAATAAAATAAAAATTAATAGTTACTAAGACAAATTATTTTAAATATTCAAATAAAAGTGTGCTTAAATAAATTTAAAATAATTTATTACTTTGTCAATAAAAATTGACTTCAATTTATGCTCAAGTGCTATTTACGCCACACAGAATATTTTATTAAAGATTTGTTTATATAAATATAAGTTATATTTTTGAAAGAATTTTCATTAATTTTAAAAGAAATTATTATTTGTACCTTTTGTTCTAGCAATGATCTCCGAACTGATATACGATCTTCTAGTTCTTTTTTCTCACGGTTTCTCTGCGCATCAGCTTGCATTTTATTTTTAGACTGATATGCTATTAGAATTTCCAATTCATATCTCAAACGTTCTTTGAGTACATGGCATTCCACTTCTTGGGATTCATCCAAACGAATCTAAAAACAAGAACATTTTATACATCAACGGGCAAAAATGATGTCTTCGATGTTAAGCCGACAAGGTAATAAGTAATAAGGTTACAATGTCGGTTTTTTCTTCCTTACTATATTTCTATTAAAAACCAAACACTTACGGATTGTTTTTGCAACATTTCAGAAATACTCTGTTCATACTGTTCTCCTAATAACGCTAATTTTCGTCGTTGTTCTTCTTTCATTTTTTTAATAACAGTTTTTTGTTCTTCTTTGGTTGTTGTTGCCAAAACTTGAGCTTTAAGTACTTTGTACTGTCTAGTTTGAGTCTTACAAGTTTCTCGAAATTGTTTACGAATTTGCATTTCTTTTTGCTAAAAAACAACATTTATAATTTTATTATTAAAACTCAAAATATATTAATTATATTAGTACGTCTATTTACTTTAAGACTTTTAGGTTGCTGGCGCAATTGCATTGCATGTCTTTTGCGTAAATCTCGATGAGCACGAGCCGAATAATCATGCTGGTGTTGTAGCTCAGTTTCGTGTTGTCTGGTAACTTGGTCGGCACGCAACGCATGAACTGCTCTTTGTTGTCTTGTTTCCAAGTTTCTCGTGTCTTCATGATGTCGCAATAACATGGAATGAGCAGTTTCTAGTTGCTGCTGTCGTTTACCGAGTTCCTAAAAACGCAAAACCATAAGGGAATAAAGGTGTTAGAAGTTAAGACTTGTATTTTTAAATTTAGTGTAAAAATAATTTAAATTGTTTTTTTAAATATATATATATATATATATATATATGACTTAAAATTTTGTTATTTAACTTAAGACATACTTCTCTAAGTAATCCTTGCTCAAACAAATGGAACTGATTCAGCCTTTTTCTACGGAATTTTCTAATTTCGAGTTCCAGATAGTCTTTTTGACCTCTTATAAGTCTGTGTTCCTCTTGAGCCTCCATTTGTTTCATATTTTCTTTCTGAGTTCTGTTAATAAATTAACAAATTTATAAATACATTTATGTATATACATAAATTGGCTATATATATATATAACTAATTTAAACCTACTGTAATGCAGCGTCTCTCTGTCGTTTCGGCGTCGATTCGTCTAGTGATAATTCACGTTTCCAACGTTCTTTATTTGTTTTATATTCTTTTTTTCTTTGTGCGTCAAACGCCTTACGGTCGGCCTCTTGTCGATTGGTTATTTCTTTCATTATTTTCTTTTCGGCAGCGACATTTTGTTTCATCTAAATAAGTAATTTTGTTAATAAATAATACATCATTTATTTAATTTAATTCCATAAAAAGTTTTAATTTTTGCTTTTTAAACATTTTTTTGGAAACAAAAAATAAAAATATGTAGTAAAGGTTAGTTAACTATAAATGTTACTTTTTTTTCTAACTCCTGTTGATGTTTAATCTGCAATTTTTCTAATTCTTTGCTGAACTGTTGAAGCAGCGTTTCATATTCTTTATCTAATAGCTGTTTATGACTTTCCATTTCTAATTTACATCTATCTTCAAGCTATTAATGTAAAAAAAAAAAAAAAATTGTTAGTCAATAAAATAAATTAAAATTGTGTTTTATAATAACATGCTCACCTTTAATAGTGCACTTTGATGTTCTTTTCTCATTCTCTTATAACCCGACATTTGTTCGTGCATTTCTTCTTGCATATGTTCTTTTTGTTGTTTTGTCACTATAGATGTTGTTCGAATCGTAGCAAAATTATTCGGGGCACCGACAGGTGGATGGTCGTTTGAGACAATTGAATTATTACTAGATTGCTAAAATGAATAATACAAATTAGATAAAATACAATAGCATGGAATGTACACAAGGTTTTTTGTTAGATAACAAAAGAAAATAAAACTTGATAAATTAAATCTAATGTTATCAAAATAGTAACATTTTTCTTTTAAATATTTAATTTTAAAGAATATTTTAAAAGACGTTATCGTATTACTTATATATTTTTTTGAAATCTAATTGTAGACCCCTTATATTACAAGGTACAATTAAAAATGTATCTAAAACAACACTGTGCTTATAGTTTTTTTTTTAACTAATTAATTTAGTAGATCATCTCAAAGCTAATAATTAAAAAAAAAAAATAATGTATAATCAAAAGTACTATGAAAAAGTTGTAATATTATAAGTAATTTCTAATTAGTAAAGATATCTAAAGGTTGAGTAGTTAAAAATTGATAATTTTAGAATTAAAAATTTTCGGTCACAAATTGTTATTGATCATAATGGCGATTTTTGTTCAGAATAATATCTAAAATGGGTTTTCTTTTCATGTAGATATATATAAAACAATTTTATGATATCAAATTTGCCACATTATTTGTGGGAAATACCGGTACAATGTTTTGATGTTGATTGCACTGGTCTATACTTCAAATATTTTGTGATAACCAAAGTAAAAACAAATTAGTCTTACCACTAGAAGGTAATGACCGAGAGGGTTGAATTTTATAAATTGTGTTCATTAATGTATGTATTGACAAAATTGTTATCCTAAATTACACGAAAAGTCGACCATTAAACTGACTCAAAGGCCACTATTTCACGTAAAAAGAACTACTAAATTTTAAAACTAATTAAACATTAAATTAATACCATGCAACCTACTATGGATGTCTATACTACTTGGATTACCAAAAATAAAAAATGTAATCCCTCAAGTAAAATTTACACGCACTACATTATCTGTGCACTGTGAACTGGCATGTGAGGAATTGTGCAAGCTAAATTGTCAGGACACCGTAATGTAAGTTTATTGTACAAAATTGTTTGTATTATTATAAGAAAATATAATTTTTGTCTAGCCTATTGAAACCACAAAACTAAATGATTATTTTATTAAATGTATAAAAAAAAAAATCAATAATACTTTGTGACGATTTCTAGCCGTTGAATAATGATCATTTGTGCTCATATTAGTTATTTCGTTCATATTCGGCGTACTATTAGTGGAACTGCTGTGCGATGAAGCGCTGACACCTATTGACTGTATTGAATGCTCAGAAGTTATACTGTTACTTTTGCTGCTCTCGCCTCCTGTTTGTTCATCAGCCGTGTCTGGCATTAAATTGTTATAAAAAACAAAAATTAATTTGTTGTTTCGGTTAGGTTTAACACGAAACAACAAAATCACTTTGAGCATATTTACCGTCGGTATCGCCTACAGTGCTCTCACTTTCAAATGAATCGATCATCAGGATTTTTTTCATCTTCCTGTAGTTCAGATTATCCAAATCTCGAACAGCGGCTTTGGTTCGTTGAATAAGATCAATAAGAACGTGAGGTGATCTTGGACGAACTAGAAATTGATGCTAAAATGAAATTCAAATAGTTAAATAAATAATATAATGAAGTTTCTATAGATATATCAATTAATAATTACTGTTAATAGCTTTGTCGAAGACGGCCGATCGGAAGGATTCTTTTGAAGACACAATTCGACAAAGTGACAAAATGTGTCAGTCCATTCTGATGACTGAAGCGAGGGTGTATCATTTTGAGCTATATGATAAAGAGCACTCATAGCATTCATATTGAAGTATGGAGGTTTTCTTTCGGCTAAAAAAAAAAAATTGTTAATAGATTAAAATCAATTAAATGTTTATTATAAAGAGTCTTTCTTTCGACACATTCACAACAAGAGGACGCAAGTGCCATTATGACACTTGCAGTAATATTTTTTTCAATCATAATATCCAAAACCAGGAGATAAATTACATGTAAGATTAACTTATGTTTTCAAAATTCACAATGTATCAATCATTTTTCTTATCTTATAGATTTATTTCAAGCAATTTGAAAATACGTTTTTTGTTCTCATTCAGATTTTAAGAATTTAAAACCATTATTACTATATATGAATTTTTTTTAAACTCATTTTTACTAATTGCATTAGTATACTTGCATAGTTTTCAATCATAATAAAAATAATTTTAGCATGTTAACGACGAAAAAGATCATCTAACTTTAAATGTGTTGTTTATCAAAATTCAAAATAAAATCATACTTTATAATTTCAATTACTTACCTAGTTCAATGCATGTTATACCTAAGGACCATACATCAACTTTGCCATCGTATTGTCCTTCGTCCATAGCTAATATAACTTCAGGTGCCATCCAGTACGGCGTACCAACAAAACTATTAGCTGGACATTTTGTGCTAGCCGAACCAAAATCGGCTAAAATCAGTAAAATTACAAACATTTTATGATAATGTTACATACAATTATTTTGAAATTCTATATACCGAGTTTTACGGTCCCATTTTCTGTTAGAAGAATGTTTCCGGCTTTAACATCTCGATGTATACGACCCAAGGAATGAAGATAGTTGAGTCCTCTTAAAACACCGTCGCAAATTGCAGAAATTTCTTCTTCCATAAGCGGCCTTTTATGAACTTCAATTATATCAGAAGCCGAACCTAAACAATACTCCATTACCAGCTGAAATTAAAAAAAAATACTTCAATTATTACGACTTCTAATTTTAAATGATTATTAATTACTATCAGAACAGTGCTAATGACTTATTTTCGTCAACATTTATAAATTATTTATTACACAGGAAACTTCAGTTATCATAGAAAAGCATAGACAAATTATTACATATTATAGACAAATAAATACCATGAGTAATTTTCATTAGCACAGCAATGAAAATTAGATACATTATTTTCATATGATGTTTCATACCCATGCAGTATGGTCACGTAAAAAACAGCCTTTGTACTCTATCGTGTTTGGATGGCTTAGATGCTGTAAGAATCGTATTTCCTTTAATATATCTTGCCATTTTTCCATACTTTGCTTGCCCAAGTATGACATTTTTTTAATGGCCACGATCTCTTTGGTTGACACACATCTTGCATAGTACACGGCGCCGAAGCTTCCATGGCCTATTTCTCGCAAATCCTCAAATATTTTATCTGGATCGTCTTTATCAAATAGCTCAGCTATTTCAGGGTCTTTTAAGCTTCCAGGTCGTGGAATAGCCGGCATCCTGACTTGCTAGGTTGGACTCTTTTTCAAAAATAGAAGTATGACGAGTGATATTTTTCACATGTCAAATTATCTGAAAAATAAATATTAAAATATTAATTTGGCAACAAAATTACATGTTATTATTATTATTTCTTATCATAACATAAAAGTTATATAAGTACATATAAATATATTACAAAAATATCTCCATTACCTAGATATTTAGATGCTCGTTTTTAATTAAATTTAAATTTAATCTTTTAATAAAATATTATTATTAAAGATTTTAGGCAATAGTACCATATTAGTACTTTTAATGAAACAACAATTGATTCATAAGAATTATAATTACGAGGTTGTTGCTGACGATTAATGTGCAAAGATAAATGTGAGTTGATTAACAATTAATATTGTATAGGATTATGTTTCTACATACTCAATTAGTGTAGGTACTGCATAATACATACATGTTCTTATAGAACATAATATTATCTAGTAATAATTAATTGTAAATTCATAGTATGACTGCTTGAATATATTATTAGTTCTAAAAATCAAATACATAATTTGTTTTTACATTTTTGAGTTTACTAAACTGTTAGAACAAAATACCTGCTTAAAACCAATTATGCTAATTTTTCAGGGAAAACTAACTTTTTGATTTATTTATAAATATGCAGCAGGATATGTAATATTTAATTGTTTCAGATTAATAGATACTACTACTAAGATTGTAAAAAAACTATATTCATAATCAAATACAAAACTCACTCATTCTAATAATGTCAATCAGCAATGATTTTTAAAAAACATCACAGTTAATGTAAGAATAGAAAAATTGAATAATTTTTAATAATAAATTGCTATCTCAGTGCTCTATATCAATAGCAATTATTTTCAACACGTTTAAAGCAGAATAATATTTTCTGTTAGTGTAGGAAAATTATGCGTCACAGTCGAAATCCAACATTTTTGATAGATTAATAATTATCTTTGTCTAGTAACTACGATATGAATAGTGAAAAGATAACACAATAGTTTGAATAATAATAGGAAAAAAAATGAAATATTATGTTCTCCACAATGATAATATTAATCGTTACTATAATATTATTAAGAATTTTGTTTGACGTTTGTAGTAGAGTAAGCAAAGTATAGTAAACGGCCGGCAAACAATAGGTGTCTGTTTAACAAAGTGACACTGATTCATTACGAAATAGCTTGGAAACTAAGAAAACACTGTAAATCACTACGCAACACAAATAGTACATACGCCTTGGGAACTCAAATCAATAACATAGTATATTGGGATCTTATATGGGCAGCTGCAGCTGGTACAGCGACCGAAGGAATCAAACCGATTTAGATTTTAAACACACATATACATAATATAATATTGTTGATTACAACGTTCGACACTTGGAGATTACAATATTACAACCGGGTAGGCACTACAAATGCTGTTGTTGCTGGCGCGTATTCCATCATTCCAACCGGAAACAAACTAACGTACACACAACACATACTTGCGGTATTTTCAACGGCGATCCAATGTTTTATCTTCTTCGTCATTGTCCCGAAATCAATAGAGTACACTAATGCACCAGCGCGTTAGATAACGACACAAGCGGAATTCATTACACGGTCGGTCGTCGTTGGTTTATTGCATTTCGCGTTTCTCCCCCGAACAGCCGATTCCGTTGAAATGCGATTCGTCATCCGTTCTCGTCAATCAACTAACACACGTACGGCGGCCAAATAGATAAGGTGAATCGGGTATAAACAGTCCGAAAAAAAATAATAATTAACGTAGGTATTACGGTAAAAATGAAAGGAGTGAAAATTGTTAATAAATAAAAAAATGGAACAGCGAACACGATCGATCTCGACTTTTTCGTCAATGGGCAAATCGCTCAGTGTTGCCAACATTTCCGCACCGCTGCCGCCGACTTGATTACAATGTAATATTATCGCCCGACCAGAGAGTTATAATTGATAACCGCGCGCAGTGATTGACGCAAAGTGAGCAAACGCTAAACTCAGAAGAGCAGCTGCCCTGGAGTTGCTGCTGTAGCCTGTAGGTCTACGAGGCCCGAGGGCCGAGGGTCGATGACGCGTGGTAAGCCGCGGCGGCCAGTACGACTGCCTAATGAGATTGGACCGGATTGATGATTAAAAAATATTGTGCGTTTTCGATACTAAACCGGTTGCCGGAGCTTTAATGCCTGTTGCATCGTACGCTCGCTGTACTTGTTCTGCTCGCATGCGTTGCATACGAAATTCTGACGCAAGCAATACCTGTCATGTCTACTGTGCACTGGCTCCGGCCCGGTAGATAAGTTCTAACACCAAGACAGTCTTCATACCACACATGCTACTTTTTTAAGGCATTCAGCATAGTCAATTTTTTACCAAAACTTACTTCGTCTTCTATTATTTTGTTTATTTATTAGAATAGAATTGAGGATACTTTATTGACAGTTAACTTTTTTTTTATCAGACTATTATATCCTTTATTTATACTGATTTTCATATAAAAAAAAACAGCCGCTTACTTACTCAGTACAACGTTTTTAAAAATTCAGACAGAAAATATTTTCTTAGCTTGAATTGAGCACCCTCCAAGAATTTATAAATTAATATAAGAATATATATTTATACAAGAATTTATGATTTTATAATTTAAATCGTAATTTAAGTTTCAATACATTTTTTTCCATTTTAAGCTGTGAAAAAAAAACTTCTAAGTATACTAGGTAGTATAATTCTTAATCGTTTTACTAATGATATCATATGTCGGTAATCGGTATGTTTAGAGATGTTAACGGAATGCTAAGTCTTGTTTTTGCACGTAAAGTCAGCATGTAGCCTGTGGGTCATATAAATAAAAATATGAATTCAAGAGATCCTCTTGATACACATTTATAATGTATTGTATCTATCTATATATATATTAATAAATAAATAATTAATTAATAATTAATAAATATATAAAATAAATAAATATTATTAAATAAATAATAAATATATAATAATAATAATAAATTTTATTAATAATTAATAAATTTATAAATATTTTATTGCAGTATAAAAAAATTGTACTCTATTTATAGTAATCATTGTTGTGTTGCCTATTTGTACGCCTTGCGTAGTCTTAGTAAAATCGGTTCTGTAATTTGGAGAATATCGTGGGTCCAGCCTAAAGAATAATAATAAAACATGACAAAAATAATTTATGCCATCTTGTTGTACTGTACTGTTAATGTTTTTTTTTTTTTAAATAGCTTTTATTACTGTTAATGTTAATACATACATTTTCACTGTACGCGAATTATATATTTGTTTTTTTTTCATCTATTTGATGTGGTCTCGAAAAACAAAAAAATCCCCTACCATGGACGCTCAAGTCTTTATTTTTACTAATTTTTATTTTACTAATCATTGTTTATTCGTCGTCAACAATTAGCGAACTACTAATATGATTTGATTAACAAACACCATTCGCCATCACCGCATAAACTGCACAATGTTGATCATTTCTGGTTCGGTGCAATCACAATACAATATTATGAAGTTATGTTGATCGTAGTAGGTACTTAACTGAGTAGGGCGACTTGCAAGAAAACGTTTGTGAATAGTGTTTGTAAGCAAATTATTTACTCTAAAAAAACACAAATGGAATATTAACGAAAAATGAATTTCGCCAACATGTTTTGTCGATTTTAGCATACAACTTGTGGCTATCGTTTATTTTGTTGTTATGTTTTCTAGCGATTTGCGATATCGGCATATACGTTTGGCCGTGCGGTTCAAAGTAAACCTAAACAAAGGTACATGACGTATATATTGGCAAATACCTCTATACATTATGCCGGTCTACTGAGTAAACAATAACGTGTGAATACAGTATACTTATGACGAAAAGGGCTCATGGAAAATCCAAGATTCGGCGATGAACTTGGACGAACCTTCTAAGGGGAGCCGACCCGGCATCGATTACATAGTCAAAGCCAACAGGTCTTGTGGGACAACAAAACCAATCAGATTTCCGTGGTTTTATCAAGCCACAAAATGACGCTGACGCCTGTTCCTTATATTTAATAGACTCGAAGTTTTATTGTTTTTCCCATTCTGCTATGTACGTGTAATTTGAATAAATAACTGTACCTAATGGCTAATGTTAGTTTTTAATTATTAAAAACAATCTGCCAGGGTCACATAGCAACCTGGCATTTAAATACGACCAAAATCGTTCTTTTAAAAGTTTTCCTACGTACCTATATATTTTTAACAAAATGAGTGTGAATTCTTTATTGATTTGACTGTTATATTTATATAAAATAATAGTAAATAATAAAATTATGTGTACGGTAAGGCAATATCTTTTTAATCATTTTTTAATTCATCATCTACATGTTCAGTTTCATTTGTTATAGTAACAATTCCTTCATTATTTTTTATTTTTCTTTCAAAACGTTTTCGTCTTTTTTCTTTTCTTTGTCGTTTGATTTCTTCTTCCACCTTGTCTGGATCTTTTCCGTCGGTTATTAATTTTTTTCTTTTATTGATTAATCGACGTTCATCAAAATCGGTTTCATCTAGCTTAATTTGTGCTTCTCTTTTGGTAACGTGGACTTGTGTCAAAATCTTAGCAACATGAAGTCCTAAACAAAATAAAATATTATTATAGACATATTAATTGTGTAAAGGATAAAACCAACAAAACATTAATATGTTTAAACAAACGTGAACTCATATTTTGTAGTTGTGAGAATTTACATTACCTTTTACTAAGACTTTAAAAATATTACATTGGTTTGTTTTGATTGGGTCTAGTTTTGAAAATACTTTCTAGATATAATTTATTAACGATTTTCTATATTAATGTCTTTTTTCATACATTTGACTTATTAGACCTAATTTATAAGATATTATATATTTGTTTCAATAATACTTTGTAATAAAATACATAAATATTATACTAACACAAAATAGAAATTCAATTGGGAGTTTTAAAATTTTGACTGATGACCAATTAAATAAATGTTTAAGGTGAAGACGCAGTTTAACAACATTTTAGCAGTAGAAACTACTTCACTAAATTGTAAAACTCTCTAAAACTAGAGCCGATCTATAGTTTGATACGACTTGATATCAGTGCACAAAATTTACCTGACACATCATATTCTTTTAGCTTGTAATTAATTTTTTGTTCAATTGATTGAACTACTTTCACATCGTGTTGAGTAACAATAGACACTGCTCTTCCTTGTCGTCCCGCTCTTGCAGTTCTTCCGACTCTATGAACGTAGTCTGTAGCATTATTCGGAATTACGTGATTAATGACTAAAGCCACGGCTGGTATATCTAGACCACGACTTGCTACATCGGTGGCAATCAGAATTTTTGAGACATGGGATTTAAATTTTGCCAACCCAGCTAATCTTTGTCGTTGACTTATCATGGCGTGAAGTGCTACAGTTTCAAAGCCAACTTCATTTAATGTCATATGTAATAACTGACAATTTCTGTAAAAATAAATACAATCAAATTCATTAAAAATGCATAAGTAAGATTTACATCCGTTAAGCCTAGTTGGAACATACAGTTTGCCTATATTCACATTATTTGATTAATTTATTTATACTTTTTTTTTTTTTTGCTGAAATTTTTCTATGGTGATAATTTAATACAAGAAGTTAATTTTTGTACTATGCCAATTAATTATAATATTGAATAAACATAAATACACAAACCTCGGCATACAATTTTTTAGTTACAAGTTATAACAAATAATAGATACGAAAAATGTATGATTAAACTTGTAGGGCCAGGTCCAAAACAGTGATGCCGTAAAGCCATACAACAAGAATCAATCTATTTATATTTACTCTATGATCATAAAAGCAGCTGGTTATGAATACACAAAAAATGGCTGTGTATAAACATAAATTATTGTTTGCCTTATAATTTTAACTTACTTGCAAGTATCAGTAAAAATCATAATTAGACCTTTTTCATCTTTTTCACGAAAATGTCTAACAATTTCAACTAAATACCCATCTTTGACATTATACGGACAAAGCACATAAAACTGTTCAAGTTCATCGACTGTTTTTACTTCAGCTGTCGATTCAAATACAAAGGTCTAAAAAAATTCACATAATATATTTGTAAAAATGATTAAAAATCATTTTTACTAGAAACTTGTACTCTAGTTATAAAATATTACTTACATTTTTGTTTGTGATTTTTTTCACTTTTTCAAGAGTGTCCGTCATAGTTGCACTGAATAAAAGAGTCTGTCTGTTTTTAGGAAGAGCATTAAAAATGGTTGAAATTTGTTGATCGAATCGACCACCTAACAATCTATCGGCTTCATCTAATACTAAAAATTTAATACGCTTCAACGAAAATGTATCGCAACTCTCCAGATGATCTGCAAGTCTATCATATTTAAGTATAAATATAAATATAAATTAAAAAAAAAAGATCTTAGACCTTCAAAATATTAAAACCAAGTACTGAAATACCTTCCAGGCGTCGAAACTACAATATGTGGTTTATTTGCCAATTCACGTGCTTGAACTATCATTTCCATTCCGCCAGTAACTACACAGTGTCTAAGATTTTTTGATTTACCGATTACAGCAAATTGATCTGCAATCTAAAAAAATCAATCAATTTTGTTTTAGAAAACATCAATGCTAATTCGTTATTATAGTAATCAATTATTATTGAAATTATGACGGAGTACTTGATATGCTAATTCTCTTGTAGGTGTAAGTATAAGTGCGAAAATACCATAAGGTTCTTCCCATAATTTTTGTAAAATAGGCAATGCAAAGGCTAATGTTTTACCGCTTCCAGTTTTGGCACATCCTATACAATCAATCCCGTCTAATATTTTTGGTATACAGTTTTTTTGGATTTCTGTAGGTGATTTTACGCCTAGAAAATAATAATAATATTATTAATACAAGTAAATGTCAACATTAAAAAAAAAAAGAACATTGTCACGCCATATAACTAAAGAACTAATTACCCTTGGAAATATTTATTTTTTATTTTATTTATTTTAAGTATATACGCCAATCGGCTGTTTTAAGTTAAATAGTTGACAAAATAATTAAACATACAATTAAACCAATGATAACAAATATAAATAGACATAACATAATAGACATAAAGATAATAATAATACAAATTTAATAACTGCAATCGACAAAGGTCACACTAAATTTGCCGATCTGAGCATTCTGTGCATTGGATGATTGAGGCTATGAGAAGTGGAATGAATAGGAGTATAAAAAGGAGTTGGATTTCGAGTAGTGTATGAAGGAACTTTAAATAAGACACGGAAGAGAAGATCAGGAGCATCAAAGGAATTATTGAGGAGAGCATTTATAAATAGAGAGTCAGCATCATTACGACGGGATGATAAAGATTGGATATTAAGGATACGGCTAATATGGGAGTAATCATGTTGCAATGGAGGTAATTTAAGCTTGTATGCAGCATAAGACAAAAACTTATGCTGGACACGCTCAAGCCGCAATTGATCCTTAGCCAGATAAGGATGCCAAACAACAACCCCATATTCCAAAATGGATCGGACAAGAGCGAAATACAAAGTCCTAAGACAAGTAATTGAATTAAAGAGCTTCGTATTACGCTTGAGGAAATCTAAGACTTTAAGGGCTCTACCGATTATGACATCGATATGGTGGTTAAAGGAAAGATTGCAAGATAATAGAAACTCGTTGCAATCGAGAGCCATTAAGTAGATATGGATAGTGTATAGGATTTCTGGATCTTGAGAAAGAAATCACACATTTAATGCCCTTTCGCATAATGAAAACTACAATTCCCATAGAGTAGTTTATAAAAAAAGCGAACAGAAGTGAATTCAAAATTAAATTAAAAAATTATAAACTTAAGAGAGATTAATGCTTTTTAAATATCAAGAACCTGTATTTCAAGGTAGTATTAATAGCAAAACTACTATAATATGCTTCAAAATTAATGCAATATGACGTTGTGTACTCAATCAAAATAGTTTTCATGTAAAAATGATTTAATTTTAAACATTACCAATAGCTTCAAGTTGTTTACACAAGTATGATGATAACTGTAAACTCTGAAAAGTCATAGTGTTTATATAAACTTGCAAAAATAATACTAATAATATGTATTATTACTAATTAAGCTGCATTATAAATCAAAACTATTATTTGTTTTTTAGCTTTAATTTTAATTAAAATTTACATAAACGAAAAATCACGTGCCACACAAGTTTGTAATCACTAATTTGTTGTTGGTTTCAGTGATAAGTGATAATCATAGATAATAAAATATTTTATTATCAATGATGATAACGCAAAGAATTACACATTTTTGATAACATTATCGTTATCAATATTAAATTCGATAATGACTAAATTATCATGAAGACCAAGCCGAGGTTTATTATAATGTAGATTGTAGCTAAAGTACTCCGTCATTTTCAGATAATTTTCTTTTTGCTCTAGGAATTTTTGAATTCCAATTATCCATCATAAGTTAATATGTATAAGTATAATATTTGTCAAAAATTAAAATTTAAACAAAGTATTTTATTTTAACTAGGTATTTTATGAAAAAGGTTAATTAATTGTCCTATAATAGGACTCCTATTATGTACAATAGTATTATGATAGAATAGACTAAATCAGAATAGCCAATTCTAATTGTGTGTATTAACGAAGTAAAGCACCCCCCAGTATTTTCTCGTAACAATAACATTTTTATTTCCCCTTCTACGTTTCATACGGTCATATTGTTCAACTAAATTTTGTTTGTAAATCATAATTTGTCTACATTTTTGACCACCTCAATTAATCAAATCAACTCGTAATATGTTATTTAAAATTAATGAAAATATTGTAACTAAAGACCATCTTTTTCTTTTTATAATTATGACTCCAATGTAATCTTCGCTTCGCACCAAAATTGACTATGCTCATATTTATCTACGGCCTTATGCCCATTTATTAGGTTTTTGTTGAGGTCTCTATATCCGGGTTACAAATATTATGGTCTTCATTAAATCCATCTAATAAACAAAATTATGTCCTTTGTACTGGTAAAATTAACCAAGATTGCTTGAAAATGTATTCAACATTTTTGGTCAACGACAAGGTATTTGTTTTAACCTTATTCCATTTCAATCAATTTAAGTATTCAAAAAAAAATACTCTATCTAGATTTTTCCAACATTCTCTTGGTGCGAATTTTATTAAATATTTTGACCAAATTTTAAACTCAGTTATGTCAAACACTGATAAAGTTCCTACGCTTTTTGATTTAAAATAAACTAAAACGGCTTTTACTCATTGAAAAAATGATTTAAATATAACATAATTCCTTGAAGCTTATGATGATTAAGTGATAAATTAATTGACATGGTCGTAATTTATTAAAGCCCTTTTTCTTAAACATGGTTAATAAAAGTAGCCATAACTCTTTAAAAACAAACCACATGCAATCTCCTTAAGGTTGTCACACTCACTCCTGGTACAGTGTACACTCCTCTAACTACTAGTAAATGAAACTAAGTAACATTTACACTATAAAAACAAGTGTATTCAAAGTTCAAGTGAATGAAAGAAATAAAAATCATATATGTATTTACGCATAGGATTCGCAGCAAACTTTACATAGGACCCTGGTACATTGGGAGTGCTACGGCGGCGACGGAGCGCGTTTTTGATAATGAATTTGAACACATTTTTTTAGAATTATGGGTCCGCATAACCAAAACAGTTCTAAAATTGTAGGTTCCTAATACTTTTTTTAATAAATTGACATCCTATAAAAAATAGTGCGTTTCAGACGGAGCGCAGTATGTGGTAACGGCGGCAATGTACGGCAGTGTGTTATAACTTATATGGTACCCTAGTGCCAATATTCATTAGTTGAATAAATCTCTATGTCTATAACGCAAAAACGTAACTCGGATTTTCCACGCAAATTTCAGAATGACCCCCAGCCCTAAAACATATTCATGATAAAACAAAATTAAAAATTCAAGGTACTACCTTTTTTTTTTCTTTTCATCGAGTCCATGGAGTTATAGACATCGCTGTTGGCACTAAAGATATTTTAAAGGTTATGTAGCATTATTTTCTTATCAAGTGTCAGAAAAAGAATATCTGAACAAAACTCGTTATTTTGTCTGTCAGTTTGGTCATTAACATAAATTAAATATACATTATATTTAATCTATGTCATTACTCATTTGACATTTCTTCCGTCGTCATCATATAGTTTACCAGCATTGTTCTATTTTGAAAGCTAATATTTTTATTTGATGGTTTTTGTTTGAAAACTTTAATAACATTTTTATAGTCATCTTTTTACCAATGTAAGTATTCACCTTTTTTAAAATTAAATTATGCATTTTAAATCGTTTTAACACTACGAGAATTTTTTAAATTTGGATCGTTATGTTTTAATGAAAATTATCCATATTTTAGACTGATATATCGCCAAACAAACGTTTAGTAAAAACTAAAAACTATAATGAGTAATAAATATTGTGCAGTTTTGGAAAATATCGCGTCTTGCCGCTTACGACTTCTTGCGTCGTCCATCCGCCGTGTGTTGACAATTTCTGAATGTTCTTTACCTTTTAGTAGATATATTTTTTAGATTCTTTTTTTTTTTTACGTAGCTAATGAGAAAAAGGCCGCTTGTTCTCTGTTTATATTATACTGTTGTATATAGTATTAATAAGATAGGTTACATAGCAGTGGGGTACGCAGGATTTTTTCAAGAGGGGGTGTCATAATGTACACAAATTGATGACCTTTTTTTTGCTCATCACTCTAAAAAATCTCCTTCCACTATGTTATAATAGTATAATTAATAAAAGTAAAATAAATATAGTAAAATAAAATAAAACATTTATATATATATATATATATATATATTTGATAAATATACTGTATACACATATATAATCATAATTCATCAAATAAAAATAGTATACATAGTTATAAAATAAAGTCAGTACGACGTGTTTTGTTTAAAAAGATACTTCAAACTATTTAAAGGGGGTGTCATTTCTCCATGCCCCTGTTTTGCCCCTGTACGCCACTGTTACATAGCTATTTTTTTGTTTAATGTCGTTTGAGAACGGACGTGTAGACGCTGTGTCAGCCCTTTTGGCCTGCCATGCCATTTCACGGGTCTTATAAATTATAATGGTTTGGTAATAAATAATAACTTTCCTTTCGAAGTGCGATCTTTTCAGTTCTTGGTACGTTCGTTTTTTTTTAATAATGAAATTGTTTAAACAATTAAAATAACAATGTGGTAACTGATAAGAGGTATCGAAGATGAGGAAGATATACTAATGTTGGGTACGGGTTATATTTATTGAAATCTTCAAAATAAATAAAATAAAAATAAAAGACGTTTTTCGGTAAGAACAACGTTAAAAAAAAGAAATGTGTATGGGTCAATGAACTTTTTACTATTATTATAACTTGTTTTTATTTTTTAACACTTAAATATTTAAACACAATTTTGTGTCCACACCGACCTATAGACTATAGTGTTCATAAAACAAAAACATCGATAAAATTTCCCACCACAAACGGGACACAGCTATGTTCTTAAAAAACAAAACAAAATGTTGAAAAAAAAACAAAATTGTTGGGAAATTGTCGAAAAACATCGTGTTTTTGTTATGTTTCAATATTGTTCGGTCTGTGTACCCGGTATTACAGCCTGAGAAGTGTAATTGTCGCTTATTAGGTCCTGTGCATTTCTAGTTCTTCTGTCTATGACCATATACTTGGTCTTATCTTGGTTAATTTCGAGTCCCATAGGCTAAGTAAGCCGCCATGATAAGGTCTACCGTTTTAGTAATAATTTTTTTACGCTAGCTACCAATCACCATATCTCGATGAACTGGCATATTACTCTTATTACTTTCTCTAGTGCTACGTTGAATAGAGTTGAAGACAGTGAATCACCCTGCCTAAGCCCGGTTCCAACTTCAAAACTCTCTGATTTTCCCCCCCAAATTTAACTTTGCAACTACTGTTAGAATTACATTCTTTCAGTAGCTGAATTAATTTAGCTGGTACTTCAAATTCTTTTAGGGCTTTCCATAACTCTTCTCTTATAATACTATCATATGCTTTTTTGAAGTCTACGAAGCATATGTGTATTTCCTATTACATATTATTATGTGTGACGTTTATAATACCTTATACTTTTTAATACCATATAATACCTTTACTGGTTCAGTTGTGAGATGACAAAATTAAATTTAAAAAAAAATTATTTAGTTAGAATATTTACATTAAATTAACTTTAAATTATTTACAAAAATATAACACAAAAAACTCATACATATAAATATATCTTTATATATACATTTCTTCTGTCATATTATATATTATATTAGGGTGGTCTAAAAAACATGTTTTTTTTTAAGTTTTACTCTTACCACCTTACCTCTTACCATTTTAATTATTCTTATATTTTTTGCATAACCCTGGCCAATTCACTATTTGAAGTATAAAAAAAAAATATTTACCGTAGGCTCATAAAAAAAAACTAACATAGAAAATATATTTCTCCAACTCAAACATTTAAAGTAATGATTAAAACACAAAATATAAGTTAAGTGATACATGTTCTTATGTATAGAGGGTGACTGACGAGTGGTGTAGAGGTGAGGTGGCATTGCGTTACCGCTCACTGTCACATGTTAGATACTTTGTCACATCGGCACTCCCTTTGAGCAAGAAACTGTCTAGAAAGAGTAAAACAAACTCCCAGACGCGACCAAACTATGCCTTAAAGCAGAATATGCCAAACAAGTTGTAATAATTTATTAAATCTTAAAAAAAAAAAATCATAAAATATTGGCATAGATATGGCAAAAATATGTTCATCAAAGTTTAAGTTTACTTATAAGTTATAAGGTAGAAGATTAAGTTGGAAGTAGAAGTAAATCTAAGAATAAGTAGGTGGATTTTATCAAGTGAATAGAGAAATGTTGATGGAATAAATTTGCGGAGAGAGGATTATTGATCGTTTTTATATAGTATATATACAAATCGATTAAAGTTGTTTTTAAATGATTGAAATATCTACTTTCATGTTTTATAAACTGTAAAAAGCAAATATTGTTAAAGCAATCTGAAGGCACATCTTAAACCCAATTAAGTAAAAACTAAACACTGTGCTATCCAGTGTAGTCTAATCAGAAAACGCTCTGATGCGAATTTG